GCTTCACGCCGTCTACCTCGTGCTGGCTCGCGTTCTCTCCCACTTTCCCCTCTCTCTTCTTTTCCTGCTCTGTTTATTCGATTGTGTGTGTCTGTCTCCCCTGGTATGTAATTATTAGGTGCTCATGTGCCCCGTCGTACGCACTCTAAACTCGCGGATTTAAAAAAAAATAAAAAAATAAAAAAAAAAAAAACTGACGGTCGGTTGACCTGACCGGTCAGTCACTTCTGACCCCCACTGACCCTGGATCAGTCTGATCCTCCCATCACTGCCCGGCAGAACGGCAACAAAGACGCCAGCGCGACCTGGCAACTGAGTTTTCTTTTTTTCGTGTCCTACCCCTTGCGCTCTCCGGACTTTCGAGATGGGAAAGCCCATTTGGACGCGCGACCAAGTGGCACAGCGCATCCTTGCCGGCGAAACGCTAATTATACTCCAGAGCAAAGTGATCCGCGTCCCACCATCCTGGCTCAGTGCACACCCCGGAGGCTCGCTCGCTATCCTGCACTTCGTCGGTCGGAATGCAACGGATGAGGTCGATGCGTTCCATTCGGAAGAAGCTTTGCGCAGGATTAGGGGCTACGAGGTTGCAGAGGTGGAAATCGGAGAACACGGCTGGGAACCATTCCTCCCGCCGGTGATGAGTGGCTGGGTGAGACAGGGCGACAAGGGCGGGACGATGCAATGGCACCGCGAGGCGACAACTCTGCGACCCCTTACAGAGGAATTGTCGGAGACAAGTCCACATTCCCAAATTCTACTCGTCCGTAGGGGAGAGCTGGAAACGCAGCCCGGACCAACTCTCGAGACGCTTCAGCCCGGACCCTCTACCCTGTCCCCAAAAGTGCAGGCCGAGCATTCAAGAGCCTATAGGGAGCTTCATCAACAGGTCATCGATGCAGGACTCTACAAGACCCGTTATATCGGTGGCTACGGTCCTGAAATCGTCCGTTATATTACCTTCGTCGTTCTCGCGGTGTTGTTCTACTGCAAGTCATGGTTCCTGACGAGCGCATTCTTCCTTGGTCTCTACTGGCACCAAGTTACATTTACCGTGCACGATCTCGGGCACCTCGGCGTCACGCACAACTGGACAATCGACCGCGTTATTGCCATCCTGCTCGCGGATCTCTCGGGTGGGTTGAGTGTGGGGTGGTGGGTCGATGTGAGTGTATGCTTCGCAATGCTTGTAAAGCTCCATACTAATTAATTATGTAGAATCATAATGTTCATCACCGTGAGCCTTCCTATTGTCCACTCTTTGGCGAAGTTACTGAATGCTCTCTGTGCAGTTGTTCCCAATCATCCCACACAGTATGTCCCGTCGTTCATCCGTAACCTTGTACCGGACTGAGGTGACATCTTAAGCGATCCGGACATCCAGCATCTCCCTTTCTTCGCCATCTCACCGGTTTTTCTTACATCACTGTGGTCATCGTACTACAAACGCGTCATGGCCTTTGACGCGGTCGCAAAAGTACTTATCACCGTGCAACATAGACTTTTCTATGTTATCATGGCTCTGGCCAGGTTCAACCTCTACGCCAATTCCTACAGCTTTTTGGTGAAGACGGCTTTCCAGCCTTCCCGCGCGAAGGGCGGCAGATGGTGGTGGTGGTCAGAGGTGGCTTGCATCGGCTTGTTCTATTGTTGGTACATCAGGGTTCTCAAGAGCTGTGGTTCATGGCCGATGGCTCTGGGATATCTGCTCATCAGCAACGTCGTGCCCAGTCCGCTTCATGTGCAAGTGCGTGTTGGTCCGTCGAGTTAGTCTTCCAACGCTGACTTGAATCACCCAGATCGTGCTGTCGCACTTCTCTCGTTCAACGGTAGATTTGGGTGTCAAGGAATCATTCCTGGCTCGCCAGCTACGAACAACCGTGGATGTCATCTGCTCGCCGTCTATTGAATGGATTCACGGAGGCCTGCACCTGCAAGTCACCCATCACCTCTTCCCTCGCCTCCCGCGCCATAACCTTCGCGCCGCCAGCGCGATTGTGAAGGAATATGCTGAAGAGCAGAGCCTCGAGTATGCAGAGTTTGGCTTCTTCGACGGCAATAAGGAAGTTTGCGGCGTCCTGAAGCAGGTGGCGGAGCAAGCGAAGATCGTTGGAATGGTCGCGAATGCACATATCAAGGAACACTTGGAAGGATCCTTACAGTGAATCTCTTGTATGCAATCATAGAAATACACTGCACTCCTCATTGAGGCCGTGATGGAAGAGCACAGGCAGCTTTTACCCAGTATGACATCGACATACAAGGTTGCAAACGAATAGAGGCATCCAGGTAAGACCGAGGCCCAAAAGTCGTAGCACAGAGCATGGGATGCAGCCCCGGGCGTACCCAGTTTTGAATACATAGAACGCAGAAAACATAGTGCAAAAAAGAGAAGACAACAGCCAGGTAGGTGTTTATTTCTTCTTCGCGGCATCCTCCTCAGCCTTCTGCGGAGACATCCCAGTTCATAAGCATGTCCGAATTGCGGGTGATGATCACTAACCTTTGCGGCCTTCGCCTTGCGGTTGCCCTCATTCTTAGCGAACGCCCACTCGTTGCGGAGTGTGCGGTGAGCCTGGAACTCCCGCTCCTCTTCGGTAACCTTGCGGGGAGCCTCGTGGACATAGGGATCGGGGAGAAGAATCTGTTGACGAGTGGTCTCGGCCGTTAGCTCGTCACCCTACAAAGCAGGTGCTTAGTATTTCTTCCATTTGTCAGTGTCGTGTGCTAACGCACAGTAGAGTCGCCCTTCTTGGGCTTCTTGGCATTACGGGGGAAGACAATGAGACGGGCCTTGTAGGCCTTGAGGCGCTCAACGTTGAGAGCCTTGCCCTCCTCGCTCAGGTTTCGCCTCCGGTGGTCCACAACGATACCAACGCTACGAGCGACCTTGCGCGACAAGCCAGCCTCCTTGAGCTCGGCGAGAGTGAAGCCGCGGCCCTCACGGAGTTTGCGGTTGTAACGGACAGTCTGTCCACGGACGGCGGGACGGAGGAGTTCAAAAGGGCGGACACCAAGGGCAGCAGCCTTGGTCTTGCGGGCCTGGCGACGGCGGAGTTTGCGGCCGGGCTGGTCGAACCAGGTGCGTACGCGCAGCTGCCAGTCCTTGCGGAAGTGGTTGTCGGGGAGAACTAGATCACATAACTCTCCATCAATTCGTGTTCATTTTGCATCTTCCAGGGAAGTAACTAACCGTTGTTGTGCGCGAAACCCATTGTTTAATCTGAACAGTGGAGATTCGTCAGTAAAGCGAGGATCACGGTGGGAGTACTGGAACTTGAGGATGCCGCTACATCCGACCTCCCAACAACCAATCCACCATCCTCCGCCGCTCAGGACTTCGCCAAATCTGGCACTCTGACAGCTCTTGGACCATAGCCACGCCCTGCAAAGTTTCGCGCTGCAACATAAACGTACTGACCTTGAAGGTGATCTTGGCGGATGCCTCCTGGCTGCCGTTCTCGCCACCACCGCTTACAGTCCGTCACAATGTCACTTGTGATCGTCACGTCACGTTGCTCGCTGTCACTTTCTCAGGGTGTGGTGGGACTCAATTACGGTTCGCTCTTCCATCTGCCAACGCTCAGTGATCAGTACTACTTCTGGTCAACACGGACACCTACCTTAATTTATCGCCGGATTCTAGATTTAACCACTTCTTCTGGTACACGGTCGATAATCTCACTCCATGACCTCCACTGCATTGCCCAGTCATGTGTCTCTCACAGTATATTGACTTGCGCCTCATATGCATCAGAGTGCGACACTCACGGCCTTAACACCCTGAGCATCATTCCATTTTACGGCATCTGTCTGCACAATGTCAACCTTGACTGTCTTCTTTAATGCCAACTGATTACTGGAAAGCGCATTTCCTTCTCTGGAACTGAGCTGGATGTGTACAAAAGGCAAACAGGGCATCACAACACGCTTCGTGTAAGGATCGACTCCTACTTGCTCTCAGCAGTGCCACAGCAATATGTCCCTAGCCCCAGAAACGTTGGGAGATACCACCGATGCGTCCTCCTTCTTACATCTTAACCCGCCTTTCCGTGCGGAGCATGTGGGCTCCCTGTTGCGTTCTGCTTCCTTGCTGGAAAGGCGAGCTCAATTCCAAACGAGTGCTTGCACGGCAGAAGAACTTCGAGCTGCCGAAGATGCTGCCATCGCCGATGCCGTGAAGCTCCAGCAGTCGATTGGTCTTCAGACCATTACCGACGGCGAGATGCGGAGGCATGTTACGCTCCCCTTTTGTTGTAACTGAGGTCCATCCTAACTGAAATCCACGCAACAGAGGAGCCTTCTATGAGGGTATCTTCGAGCAGTTTAGCGGCATGTCAAACATTGTTCGTAAGTACAGACTGACGATACATTAAATCGCGCTTACGGTTCTACGAATGGCTACAGGTCCTATTGAGACGTTCAAAGTTGGTAACCTACCGGTTGTCACTTGCATCTGAGGCTCACGTGAATTGCAAGGCGTACCTCCCCTACGTCCAATTTTTCATCTATGCAGGGTTCAAAGAAGTGCCATCTATCTACTGCACAGTAAGTCTGAATGTCCTTTGTTAGGTTCTCTGGCGAAGGCTTAGGCATGACCGTAGGGTAAGATCCAATGGCCGGAAGGAGGCGTCCATCTCCGGGATTTCGAATACCTGAAGAGTTTGGTTCAACCTCAGGTAAGCACAGTTTGGTCAACGCCCTGGCTACACTAATTCTCGGACAGGATATCAAGAAACTGAAGGTCACCGTCTGCGGACCAACGTGGATGCATTTACGGCATGGTTCCGATAATACCTACGACACTGCTGTGTACAAGACGGATGGTACGACCAATGTTTCGAACGCTCAAGTCGTCCGCTTCTAACGCCTATCTCATGCCGTAGACGCGTACTTTGCCGACCTGGTGCAGGCATACCGAGAAGAACTCCGTGCTTTGTACGCAAGCGGCTGTCGGAACATCCAATTTGACGATCCTACGTTTGCCTTCTTCTGTGCCGACTCGACGGTTGAGGGCATGAAGAAGGCGGGTGTCAACTGGGAGAAGTTACTAGACACGTACATACGTGTCTACAACGACATTCTGCAAGACCGCCCTGGGGACCTTACTGTCTGTCTTCATACCTGCCGTGGTAATTACAAGGTGCGCGCCGCTAGGACATCACCTGCCCCACTGGTGCGCCCCCATGTCGCATGTAGGGTGCTGATGTCTCTGCTTGTGACGTCAGGGTTTGCACTATTGCGAAGGGGGTTACGATCGCATAGCCCAGAAATTTTTCAACGAATTGAAGGTGGACTGCTATTACGTGCGTTTCCGGCCCCTTTCGCTGCAGGCTGCGCTGACCCACAGTACGCGGTAGCTGGAGTACGACACGGAGCGAGCTGGCGATCTGGAACCTCTGAAATATCTGCCGCAGAACAAGATCGTCGTGCTAGGCCTTGTCACCACCAAGAAGGGACAGGTATGGGTCTAGACGTCATACTCCATGCAAGCGATTCCTAATGCTTCGGAACGAAAGCTTGAGACTGTCGAAGAGCTGCGGGATGCTATCAACGAGGCGGCAGACCTCATTGCGCAGGGCAATTTTAAGCGCTCCAGAGCGTATGCGCTGAACCAGTACGTATGGCAAACAGATGCCGTTGACCGGGCTTCTGCGACCGCAAATGCACGCGTTGTCCCTAACTTGTTCCTTTGGACAGGATCTGTATCAGCCCGCAGTGCGGGTTTGCCTCTGTGGCCGAGGGCAACCCTATCACGGAGGAGGTGCGGCATTCGGTCTGTCAAGGGCCACCCTGTCTAAGCTGACGCCGGCCTGCAGGAACAACGGGCAAAGTTGGCCCTTGTCGTCGAGGCGGCGAAGAAGATCCTGGAGTAAATTCGGCTCTGTTTCGTAGAGGGGCTGTGTGGCTGTGTGGTGTCCGATCTGGCCTTGTGCCTTGTACAATGTTCATACTAGTAGCTGTGCAACGAACTCCTGGTTGACGGAAGTGAAGTCGGCTTGTTGAGCCCAAGGTCCGAGTTTACAGCGGCTTGTCTCCCAAAAGAGCCGCTTAGTCAGCCGGCGTATTTGGTTGTGGAGGGCCACTCGAGTCTCTCACCCTCTTCCGTTGGTGCTCACGATCCCAAATACCACTGTTGTCGTATTTCTTTTCGCTCCTTTCCCCTGTCCACCATCATCTCCAGTCCCCGTTGTCGCCCCCGCCGGCGTCGCCAGCCCCACACCACATTTCTACGCATCAAACATCACACACGATCCATCAATCTCTTGGCGTGAGACGCAAACCAAACCTCCGCCTGCCTTGAATTTATCTTCTACCGACAAAAGCATGGCTCTCTCAAAGCAACCGCACCGTCATAGATCCTCTTCTGATCCCTTCTCCGACCCCCCAGCCGCCTCCTACTCCGCATACGGCGTCCCCACCCTCTCCAGGAACGCCCCTCCTCAGCGCGACGGTCGTGCGCCTCCAGTGCCTCCAAAGATACCACCCAAATCGTCTGCAAATACCCGCTCTCATCCCAAACAGAACATGGCAACAGAGATCACCACAGTTCCAAGACAGTCTGCAGAGAGCCCTCGCAGCCGTGTGAGCAGGAGCAACACCCAGCTGCCACCGTACGTGCTCTATCTGTGCCGCCTGTCGAAGCGCGCTTCGGGGCTAACCACGCTTTCAGACAAACCCCTGTTAAGCACTCTGCGCCTACCACTCGTCGCTCTCTATCCCAAGACTCTGTTCTGCGCGCGGCTCAGACTGTAGAGAAGGCTAAGGCCGTCAAACGTACCATCCCCACCAAGAAGGGCTCTTCACATGCGGATGTTATCGATAGGCTAGATTTTTCCGGCGTAGGCCCTAGTGCGTGTCAAGGGACTGCCTGTCAAGTACACATTGGTTACTAAAAACTGTCTCTTGCATTTCCTCTAGTGTTCCACCATGATGGTCCTTTCGATGCCTGCGCACCCTCTCGCAACAAGCACCGGACTAAAGCGCCTATGCTTGCATGGACGGGTGCAACGGAGGAAGATCAAGACGCTCTTGCGAATGCCCGCGAGCTCCCTTCTTCACACCAGGCCCCCTACCCGACCCCTGGAATCTACACTCCATACGAGCCGCCCAAGAAGAAACACGATGCAATCGCTGAAGCGTGGGGTATCCACGAACCTGAACCTTTCGAAGACTTCTCCGCTGGCGGAGGATATGCTGGAGGAGGCAATAGTGAATTCACCTTCCCTACTTCGCGCCACGGCACCACATCCGCACGACGCAACAAGGACCGCGAGGCGCGGGACAGGCACGCTAAGGACTCAACCCCGAAGCGCCAGCCGACCACGCGTAGCCCGATTCCTCCTCCTCAGCCTATCTTCGTCTCCGAGGGTGAGGCTGACGTGAGTGGTGGAGCTGTCCCGTCATCGCCTACCGGTCCATCGTCTCCAGGTGCCCCCAAGCGATCGAAGTCCCTCATGCATCGTATTCGCAAGATGCGGGACAACCCAATGGTGCCACCTCTCTCGGACGAGCCCCCCACCGACAGAGACCCTTCCCCTCCAACTTCCACCGAGAACTCCACTTCCTCCCATGCACAGCGTCCCACTCACAGGTCCCAGAATTCCTTCCTAGGACGCCTCGGCGGCCGGGTGAGCAAGGATTTGCCCTCTCCCTCGGAGGAAGCGTTCGTGTACGTCGAGGAGCCTGCAGCGGGTCGTAGGGAGAAGTCGTTGCCGCGTCCTCCTACATCGCCCAACGAAGTCAGCCAGGATTCGTACTTCGATCAGGCGTACGGAGGTGGTGCCGGACTCGGTCGCAGAACTAGCCTCTTGAAGAAGGTGAAGGGTGTCGTCAAGGGAAACGGGGTTGCCAACAAATAATCACGACGGCTTACGAAGACTATGAATAGGGTAGGATACGAGATAGTGTTGTACCGATCGAGAGTCCACAGCTGGTGTGTATGTACTTTGCGTGAATCAACTTGTCCACACCTCGCTGGCATGCTTCTCTTTTTCCAAGATTCGTTTTTCCTCCGATCTTGTCTCTACTTTCTGACTATTCACCATGCAGCTACTATTCCAAACTCTCAATGATTCCCCTACTGCCGAATGTAGATCAGCCACTGTCATTTTACACTTCGATCCCTCTTCAGATTTATGTGACCATCCGCTGCCTGCGATGTTCGTAGTTACTCACCCGTTCAATTTTACTGTAAGTCCTAGTAGCAGTTTCGGCTCCAGTCACCTCGTATCATTCAACATTTCCAGTTTCTGTAGTCTAGTTCGCGCTTCACCAGATTTGCACAATATACACCACTTGTTGCACACCAGTTGTATTCGAAGACTCTGTTCTCTACGTAGTACTGTACATTTGCGATTGCTGCGAAGAATATGTATTCGTCATATCCGTGTGTTGAACGATGCTTTTGAAAGAGCTTCCTTTACGTCTGGAATCTGGACCTCGCCACGATGGAAGATACCTGCAGCCAAAGCAGCCTCTACACCCGTCCTCTCAAAGACCTCCACGAAGTGAGCAGCTGATCCTGCGCCGCTGCTTGCGATGATGGGTATCCGAACATTCTTGCGTATGAGCCGAATTAAGTCTACGTCGAAGCCCTTGCCAGTGCCATCCCGGTCAATGCTGTTGAGGACGAGTTCGCCAGCACCGAGCTTTTCAACGCCGCGCGCAAGCTGCACGACCGAAAGGGGGCGTGCTTCGCGACCGCCGCTGACAGTACACTGGTACCACCACGCCTTCCCCCGCTCTTGTTCCTCTTCGTCTGACCTGCCAAAGACAAGTTCCGACTTGTACGGACCATCGTAGTCGAGATCGACGTAAACCCGGCGTGGGTCAATTGAGACGACGACAGCTTGACGGCCATACGCCTGGGCGATGGTCTCTATTGAGCTCGTCCCGTCGCCGACGGCAGCGTCCTCGTCCAAGCCTGTCCCCCGTGCCTTCTGGCGCATTCGTTCGACAATGTGCACCGCGTCTGAAGCGATGCTAACCTTGTCCGCACCGGCTCGGAAGTACGCTCCAGCGACCTCCAGAGCGGAACGCTTGGTGCCATCGGGATCCACGGTGTCCTTTATGCCACCGCCGATCGTCAAAGGTACAAAAACCTCCTCCGCTGCTGCACGGACCACGGCAAGCATTGGTTGATCGCGTAGGGGAGAGTGCCTGAAGGAAGTGATATTCATCAGGCAAAGCTCGTCGGCTCCTGCTGTGTAGTACCGTGCCGCAAGCGCGACAGGTTTTCCAAGGTTGCGAACCTCACCGGAGGTAGTTGTCTGGACTGCGCCGGGCGCAGCAGGGGCCTTCTCCCGCACGTCATACTGATCGCCCTTTGTCACGACGAGATCGCCCTGGTCATTCGAACGCACGTCCATGCACGCGACGACGCGTTTGGTTAGGCCGTCTTTCAGCCGCGGGGAGCGGACTACACGGGGTGTGGGCGGTGCAATCGCACGTGCGGCCTCTGGTTCAGAGAGCCAGGCAGAAATTATCTCGAGGCCCGCCTCTCCCGATTTCTCAGGATGGAACTGCGTGCAGAAGACGTTGGCCTTGCGTACGGATGCCACAAAGATCTCCTGACCGTATTGCGTGACGCCATGTGTCCATTCCGCGGCTTCGGGGTAGGCAACAGGGTCATACACAGCACGGTACGAATGGACGAAGTAGTAATGTGACGCCTTGGACACGCCCTCATCGGACTTTTCCCCTGAATCGAGGAGCTCGACTGCATTCCAGCCAATGTGCGGGACGGATTTGTCGGTGGACGAAAATTCACCGATGGGGCAGGGGATGATTCCGAGTCCACGCTTGGATGGATTCTCCGCAGATGACTGGTAGAGAACCTGCATACCAATGCAAATGCCAAAGTAAGGTTTGCCAGACGTGATGTAGTCGCGCAGCGGCTGCAAAAAGCCGCTGGATTCGAGGGCATCGATTGCTTGGCCGAACGCACCGACCCCAGGGAATATCAGACTCTGGGGCGTGCATGACAGTAAGCGGATATGCCAGAGTGTGCACGTAAGTAAGACGCACGGTGGCCTTGTGGAAGTCATCGGCAGATGCGACCCACTGAAAGTCGTAGCCCAGTTTCCCGAGCGAGTTTGCGAGGCTTTGGACATTTCCTGCGCCGTAATCTAGGAGGTAGAGGCCCATTGTCGGTGGTGGGGGCAGACGAGTGCTCACTGCTCGTGCGTGGTCAACTTTGATCCAGGGCGTGGGATAGCAATCGATCTACTCTGGGTAAGCGAGGGTTGTTATCGGGGTAAAGCACCTTTTGTGATGGACTATGACTTTTGAATGGTGTGCCCATTAGCACCCAGCTATTCCGAATTCGACCACTTGTTATAATCCCGCCGGACTCGGAGTCAGGACATCCCAAACGGAAATTTGTACGCCTCTCTTTCGCCACCCACCAGCCTTAAAACGACACGATGAGTACCGCTATTGCTATCCCCAAGAGATCCTCCAGCCCCGGCATTGTCTCCGTCTCGCCCACCGCCCCTTCTCCCCTCAAAGACCGCATCCGTCGAAAAGACTCAATGGCTATAGGATTTGCCATCCGCCAGCCCAAGGTCCTCCACCCTGTCGAGAATGCGGACCTTCGGCTGTTGCTTCTCGAAAATATTAGTCAGGAGGCCGTCGAGGCGTTCCGGGCGCAGGGCTTCCACGTAGACCATTCGCCCAAGGCTATGTCCGAGGACGAGCTCGTTCAGAGGATCGGCAGCTATCATGCTATTGGTATCCGCTCAAAGACCAAGATCACCGAGCGGGTGATCAAAGCCGCCACCAAGGTGCGTGTCAAAAATTGATGCGGCGAAAGCGTGTCTCATCGTACTGTGCCACTTCAGCTGCTGGTTATCGGATGCTTCTGCATCGGCACCAACCAGGTCGACCTGCGCACAGCAGCCAAGGCTGGCATTCCCGTCTTCAACTCTCCATTTTCCAACTCGCGCTCAGTCGCTGAGCTCGTCATGTCCGAGATCGTCGCCCTTTCGCGACAGTATTTCGAGCGTGGCTGGGAGATGCGCCAGGGCATCTGGAACAAACAGTCGAAAGGCTGTTGGGAGGTCCGTGGCAAGACGCTGGGTATCATTGGCTACGGCCACATCGGCTCGCAGCTATCTGTGCTTGCGGAGGCATTTGGCATGCGCGTCTTATTTCACGACGTAATCAACATCATGCCTCTCGGCCAGGCTCGCCAGGTTGAGTCTCTCCACGCTCTGCTTCGACAGTCAGATTTCGTCACTCTTCACGTACCCGAACTTCCCGAGACTACGAACATGATCTCCAGAGGGGAGCTCGCCCAGATGAAGCGCGGCTCGTACTTCATCAACAACGCGCGAGGCAAGGTCGTCGACATCCCTGCCCTTATCGATTCCCTGGAGTCGGGGCACCTTGCCGGTGCCGCCATTGACGTCTTCCCCGCTGAACCCGGTGCGAACGGGGCGCCGTTCGACGACTCCCTCGGTCCCTGGGCCACGACTCTCCGTCAGATCCCCAACGTTATCCTCACCCCACACATCGGTGGCTCGACGGAAGAGGCGCAGCGCATGATTGGCGACGAAGTCTCCTTGGCGCTGGCCCGCTATTTGAACAACGGTTCGACCGTTGGCGCAGTCAACTTCCCCGAGGTCGACCTGCGCGCACTCCCCGACGAGCAGGACAGCAATGTCCGCGTCTGCCATGTACACAACAACATCCCCGGTGTCCTACGCCAAGTCAACGAGGTCCTCTCGCCGTACAACGTCGAAAAGCAGTACTCCGAAGCGAAAGGCGAGATCGCATACCTCATGGCAGACATCTCAGAGGTCAGCCCGCAGGACGTCAACCGCCTACGAGAACAGATCAGCCAAACGAACGCGAACATCCTGACTAGGTTGTTGGTATAAAATTATTAACATATCCCTTTGTATTACTTACTCTCTTCTCTCTTGACATGCTGTAATTTTGTTCAACCACGGACGATCTTATGTATAAATGGAGCTATGATTAGAGTACTGCGCCCAGAGGCGATCGCCCACTCAACTGGAAAGTCCCTCACCCATTCAACTGGTATCATATACATCCATAGTCGCAGACACTTGTACCCATGCTATCATTGTAGAATAATGATGATAATACTCTCGGCTACAGTTCTCTATGCTGAAAGCGCGGAATACGGATATATATGCGCGACCCCTCTAGCGTTGAAGCAGTCTGGCGATCAAGCTTCGAGAGAGCAATTCACGTCTCCTCTTCTGGATCACCTATCCCACTCTGCAGAATGGCAAACATCGTTTCTGACTCTGGCAGGCAGGGTGAGTCGTAAATCTTCGCTTGACGAGTGTTGGCGCGTCCCTTCTTGAGTTGCACGCTACAGAAAGGTAAGCTCAGGCCAAAGAGCAGGTCGGATTGAAGCTTACCGAGTAGTCGACGCATGGGCAAGAATGTTACCGCCGATAGGCTTCTTATCATTGCCAGCGTAGGGACCCGCCGACGCATCCGGGTTTGACATGACTTGATTGGTGATCACAACCGCGACGCCGAACTAACAAGATCAAGTCATAAAGGAGCATTCAAGGACTGAACGAGAGGTATACCTCGTCTGCAAGTCGTTGTAGTGTCCTAAGAAACTTTCCCAGATGCATTTGACGGGCAGATAGCTCGCCGCGTCCATTGAAATCGGTACGATACAGGTTTGTGACAGAGTCAACGATGAGAAGACAAAACCTAGAATATCACCGTCTATCAGGAACATAGTCGTTCGCGCGCATATAGCTCGCCGGAAGCTCACCTCGACTCTGACATGAGCGCACTGGCATTTATAAGCAGCTGATTCTGGTGGTCGGCGTTGTAGGCCCTCGCATAGGCTACATTGTCCAGCACCTCCTCGCCATTAAGGCCCAGCCTCTCTGCGACCTGCAGAAGACGGACAGGGCGGAAGGTCCCCTCCGTGTCTATGTACAGACACTTGCCCTCACCTCCGCCCATATCAACGGGAAGCTGGCAGGTTACCGCGAGCGTGTGGCAAATTTGCGACTTCCCGGTACGAAATTCGCCAAAGAGCTCGGTAATCGCGCCCGTCTCGATACCACCACCAAGGAGTGCATCGAGGTTCTTCGAGCCGGTGGTGATATGCACCAATTCGTTACGGCGAGCATGTACTTCAGTTGCACTTTGGAAGCCAAGAGGTATAATCTTCTGAGCTGCAATATCATATTCAAGCACAGCAGCAAGATGTATGGATCCACACTCTTACCCTCTCCTAAGATCTTCTCCGCCTTTTGTTCCGAGATACCCTTGATTGCCATCAAGCTCTTCTTTGGCGTGTAAGCGACAGCCTCGACAGTATTGAGGCCACTGTCCATGAGTTTCTTAATATCTTGTGGATGTATACCCGCTTCCTGCAACTTCATGACCATCATGGGTCCTGAGACTGAGGACGTCTGCTCTTCCTCTTCCTCTTGGTACTGAGACGGCTGCGACATGATTGTATGCAGGTGGCGAGTAAGAAGAATGAGAAAAAGGGAGCGGAGAAACGAAGGAAAGAGAGAGTCAGCGACGGTCCCGGATGTGGTCGAGGGGAGAGAAGGTGCGGGAACTGCCACAACTTTCGGGCCTTCGGCGACGCGCGTAACGCCACACGCCCAAATGAGTCACGTGGACGCGAACAAACTCGACAATTTACGGAAGTGACGGCGACACGCGAATGACCAAGATTTTACTGATAAATTATGCAGCAGCAGTAGGTAATGCATCTGTGCATCGCGTATGAGAGGTTGTCTACTCTGTCTGGTGCCTACCCAAGGTCTGCTCAAACCAGTCAACGGCCGCAAGGTCGAGGACCAGCCGTGGCCACTTCACCGCATCATAGACTGTGAGCTCTTCCGCTGTGACCGTGTCAACCAAAGGAATGTTGCCACTTGCCCTCTCCAAGTTGGTCGGAACTTCGTTCAGACCTGTGACGAACAAGGTCTTGCCCCACGAGAGCTCCTCTAACCTCGCAGCAAAACTCTTTGTCTTCGGCATATCCCACTCGAGGCTCTCCACAACACCAAATGCCCGCTCCTTCACCCTCGCGCTCAGCGCGATACGCATTCCCATCTGGGTCACTTTTCGGGGCAACTTCGTGCTGAAATCGCGTGGTTTAGGTCCGAAAGCAACACCTCCACCACGAAGCATGGGACTCTTTTTGTCTCCCAAACGCGCTTTACCGGTACGCTTCTGTGGTCGGATCTTCCGTCCGGAACCACGAATTTCAGAACGGGTTTTGGTGGACGCTGTCCCTTGCCGAAGACTGTCGAGGTGGTGGACGACGCAGAGGTGAAGGATGTCGCGGCGAATGGGATGTGAGAACACGAGAGGGTCGAGCTGAACCAACATTTCTTCAACGGGAGGTTGATCCTGTTGAGGTCGGAGAAGAGAGGACATGGGTAGCAAGAGCGGTGGTGTGACAGGCTCGGCTACGTTGCACAGCAAAGCGTTAAGCGATTTCGTGCCTTCAATCGAGTGATCACGCACCTTTCAGACTGACGTTCAGCGAACCCGGCTTCACTAACATCGCGGACTGGCCAGTCTGCTGGAGGCCCACAAGGGGACTAGAAGAAAGGGCATGGGTTGCTGTGGCAAGGCTACGCCGCAAAAATCGCGCATTCTAGTTCGGAACATCTCAATACATATCATAAGCAGGTGTCCGCACTTACTCACCCATCCAACCGCACTCCTTAGAGAGGACAACATCGCGGGCGTGAAGGAACAGCTCAGATTAAACGCCTATAGAAGCGCAGTATCCATATTTGGGAATTCAGCATTCCCACGTTCACAGAGGGCGCCCATAAACCAGGACGTCGAGCAAGCACCGTTCGCAATCCACAAAGTCCTCAGAGGGTGTGAGTATGCCATTTTGCTACATGGTGGGAGCATCGAAGACGTCATGAAGGCTGCTGGGGAAGCTATAGTCATGGAACACTCTTTGGATTAGGCTGGATGTGGTCGGGGAACTCTGGATGACATTGGGCCCTACTCTTGCTTCAGTACAATTCCACCCTCCGAGCACATGCTGAAGCCTTGTCTCCCACAGCCTCAAAACATCGCTGAACTAACTCGGCCAACCCCTCTCGACCAACATTATGGCATCAACGGTGAAGGCCGTCCAGACCTTCGGCAAAAAGAAGGTGTGCAGGATGTCCGTCTTTACGCCTGGATACAGCTAATTCAACGACATATGATCAGACCGCGACCGCGGTCGCCCACGCCAAGGAGGGCCGTGGCCTCGTCCACATCAACGGCTCCCCCATCGACCTCGTTCAGCCTGAGATCCTTCGCTTCAAGATCTATGAGCCCATTCTGGTTGCCGGCGAAGATGCTTTTGCTGCAGTCGACGTCCGTGTCCGTGTCAAGGGTGGTGGACACACTTCCCAGGTTTATGCCATTCGCCAGGCGGTTGCCAAGGCAGTTGTTGCCTACTACGCCAAGTACATTGACGCGTATAGCGCAATGGAGCTGAAGAAGAAGCTCGTCGCCTACGACAGATCACTTCTCATTGCGGACCCAAGGCGAGCGGAGCCCAAGAAGTTCGGTGGTCGTGGAGCTCGTGCTCGCCGCCAGAAGAGGTGTGTGACAGCGTGTCGTGAAGTCGGCATTTTCCTGATATGTACGCTCCCAGTTACCGGTGAAAGCTCTGCCCTTGTGTCATCCTTGCTTTCCTGCACCAGTCTGTTGTATCACTTTCTCTGCACTTTATGCCATGGCGCCATGCAACTTTCATGAGGGCAAAATCTCCCGCGGATATTTAAGAGCTGATCCGACAGCGATGCAGCAATGCACGGTATATGTTCCAAATTACGATCTATGTGAAGCCTAAGCTGAGAATACAGATCAACGCTGTAAAATGGACAGAATGTACACGGCGTGTCAGCCTTTTGTCCGTAACTTCTTGCTACCGTCCGATTTATTGGCCTCTGCTTTGCGTTTCAGGATGGATTCCCCCGCGTGAGATCCGACTCTGACCTTGTGGGCTGCAGTAACTCTCTCTTCAAGAGATACAACCTTCGATTGAGTCTGTCGCTCCATTTCCTTAGTGTTCTGTGCTGCATCTTGACCCGGCTGGCGACAAACCCCGCCCATCTTCGGCATTCTCAGTTCTTGTCGCGGCTCAAATTGAGAGGAGCGTCGCTTGGAGCCTGACTGCCCTCTCCCAGTGTCCTTAGCTTTGCGCTTCTGTGCTATAGGGGCCGCCTGGGGGGCGGCTCTCGATCGTCGCGCTCCCAGCTTACTCAGGAACATATTAATGTTGTTGAGAACGTGTGAAGATGCGCTCCATACGTGCTGCTGCCCGGTCGGCGAGGTGATGACAATAGTCAACACCCCTTGCGGCACGCCTTCCTCTTTAGTAGTTATGTAATCGCGAGCCGGAGGTGGCTCTTGGTATGTAAGGGAAGGACCAGGACTACCGAATGTCGTCTCGGTCCTGCTCGGTGGCGCCTGATATTGACTTCGTAGTTGTGGAACGTAGAGTGTTGCTTGGCTGGAAGGACGGTCTGCAAGGGTCCGAGGGTATGGTCCGGAACTAGTTGAAGGAGGATGAAGACGAGCTGAGCTATAAGGCTTGGATGGTCCAGCTCAGAAGTCGATGGCGATGGCCGCGAATTGGCTGGCATGTTCCCTTGCGAGGTAGCACGCCTCTGTTTCTTGTTCCCCTGTCTTTCCTTTGTCTTCTTTATCTCCGCCCGCCGCAGTAAAGGAGAGACGGAGTGTTCCTTCGCACAGTTCCAGATGTAATTGTCCATCGTGCCGTGGCCGAACCGTACTCCCTTCCTCGTCTGAGGCAGCTCAGGTTCGATAAGGCCTGTCTGTGTGGCGTAGAGTGCTGGAGGCGCAGGCTGTGTGTCCCTCGCGGCGGATCGATAGGAAGGAAATGACAGAAAGAAAGCGAAGGGCCCGGACATATCTGGGGAGGGTTACGTCAAGCATCCTCTGTGAGGAAAGGCGAAACACTCACCCGCAGGCTTTGGACCCCTTTGGAGCTGTAAATATAGGTCTTTCCTTGTTATCTGCCTGGGAATGCCCTGCTTGGAGCCTGTCTCTTCGTCGACCTGCCTGTTCCCGGCATCTAACAGTACCGTCGAGACGCAGTGGCGCTCGAGCTCGCGGTCTCTGTTGTCGCAGCTGGGTATCCCAATTCTTCTGTGACCAGTCGTAGCAGCTTCCATGAAGGTGACTATGATCACCTTCCCGTCGTCACCTGGGTTCCCTTGCTTCAGCCTTACAGGGCAACAGCAGTTCGAAGAGACAGACCGCACCAATCAGGATGTCCACTAAGTTAGCATATCCGCGCAGAACTCCGTGTGCAAAGAGTAAGTTATATGCGTCCAAGATCCTGCCTTTCGCCTTAGGAAGAGTGTGGATAGCTGCCCGCCAGCCGATGGGATGCGGGGGCTTCATGGTCAGATAAAGACTCTCTTCAGTGCTCCACGCCTGAACCGAAGTTGGTTTGCATGATAGAGGCTTATTGGCCTGTGCTTTCATATATAAGTCCAGCTATGCAGATTTAATCAGCGAAAAAGTGGGGATGCAGCGGACTTCAGACATACTTCTCTCGTGAATGAAGCTTCTTCCAAAGTAGCCCAGCTGCGCGAAGTGGTGCATTGTTAGTCTGGCTCAAGTGTTCATTGGCTGCACATCTTATTCACCACTTCTCAATCCAATCAAGACTTCTCTTCCCCGTAGTGTCTTCCATGAGATACATCGTACCCGTGTACGTCCCCCTTCCTGGCGCATCTGCCATGGCATGAGAATGCTAATAAACGACACGACATGGAAGGGGATCTACTTATGAGGAGGATACTTTCGCAATGTTGGTCAGGCTGAAGGGATGATCCTGGGCTCCTGTTTGATGAAATGGTCTCTCGAAATGCATCGCTGAAAGCGTCAGCTGTGTCGCGTTTCTGCAGGCGTGGCTGCACTGGGGTCGCCATTATTGTCGGTAGGGGTGTCACACAAGAACAGCAAAGCGACTTCTGCTTCGTAGGAGAGCGTAAAAATAGGAGCGGTGGTGAGGTGGCTGTACAAGGACAGGTCTTTCTGGGAGCGCGTGTCCTTGGGCCACTGGGAAGAAATACAATAATGACCGCCCTGAGACCCGTAGCGCGCCCAGTGACGGTCCGAGTACGGCGAGCCCGAACGTCGCGAGAAGAGCGTGTGCAAGCTGATCAATGCACGACAACTTTATTCAGGCCCGACCATGGTCGCGCGTGCTACGCCCAACATAACATATGACTGCTCACGCTCATTTCTCAGCGTGGATCAAAGTTCAAATTCAACAGCGTACTCAGCCAAGCCCAACAACACCACACATAGTAATACACCTAAAGCATTGGAGATGCGATAGATAAAGCGACCTGGTCACGCTCTGACAACCGTCTTCCTCCGGGGATGTTCGAGTTGATGCTCAGAAGTGCTCCTGGAAAACCATGAATAGCTGAAACGTGAGAAAGAGAGATTACACACCTTTGCGAACGCGAAGTTGATGTTAGACGTGGTTGTGGCATCACAAGCTTCCTTAACAGCCTTGGCGAGGACGCTTGGGCCACAAAAGTATGTCTTGCGAGACGAAACCTGAGTCAACATCATTCATTCAGAGAGTTTTTGAAGGAAGATCTCACCCCGACTCTGGTCTTGAGTTGAGCGTTAGTACCTGGCAGGTACTGGCCGGTTTCAATGGCGTCACGCATGCGGCCGTAGATAGACTTCCAGTCGGGGCGGCCGAACATAGTACGCGACCGAAGTAGAGTGAGTGGATCGTACTCAGCTCCCGCATCGTTCACAGCAATGTTCCACAGCATGTCTTCATTGATCTTCTGGGTGAGATAGATGTTGATGCGCAGGAAGTTGGCTGTTATGAAGTCAGTTTAGACAAGTAGTGAGAGAGATAAGTAACTAACGATCCGCTTGAGCAGCCTCAACTTCCTGAAGCAAGCTCTGGAACCAACCAAAGGACGGAGCATCACGGCAAACCCAAAAGAACTCAACACGCCTGAGCGAGCCCACGTTACCCTTGCGCTGACGGTACCAGATATGCTTCAGGATAGATGCAAATGGAGTAACACCTGTTAGTTTGGCATCAGTTATGAAGGTTGTCAGCGAGCTACCAAGTAAAACATTCATACCGATACCAGCACCGACGAGAACGGCAACCTCGACGTTGAAAACATCCTCAGCTGGGGCACCGTAGGGACCATCAATGCGAACAACAGGCAGAGGACGGGTTGTGCGAGCGGGGTCAAGCTCGACGAAGTTGCCACGTGTGCCATACAGTGAGTCGTCCTTCTCTTTACCCTTCATAGCATCCTGGGTCATCGCGGCCACAACGGATGGGCTAGCACCAACACGCTCTCCGAGAGCCTGGGTCCAATCGCCGACTTGACGGATATGCACGGATACGTACGGATCTTCCGGAGCAGAGGTGATGGTGAACTGATGTATTTTGGGGCTGAGCGCATGGTAACTGATGGAGTCATGGCAACTTACCGGATGCCATTGCCAACCAGAGACATCGGGGACCTGGATGAAGAGCCATTGACCGGCAACGTATTTGAAAGTAGGCTTGACGATACGCAACTCCATGGCACCGCTGGGGTGGACCAGAACCTTCGACAGGCGAGTAGCACGTCGCGCACGGATCTCACGCCAGATACGCTCGCCGAAATAGATGATGCCAGGCCAGATAGTGAATCTCCAGCTTTCATAGCCAAGACAGTGTTCCGTGCTGTAGAACGGGAAGGTCTTGATATAGTCAGGGTTAGTGGAGTCGCGGACGAAGCATCCAGTGGCGTGCGTGTAGAGGCCAATCATGAAGAAGAATGCGAGGTGGTGGGTGTACCAGAAGGCCTCGAAGCATTGGTTGCGGACCTTATGGTGGGCAGTTGTGTACATGAGGACCATTATAAGCAGCATAAAATGGCCAGTAATGCCGCCGGCTTGCGTGTAATGAATATCAAGGGCCCTCTCCGCACGAACCTCTGCAGGGACGCGTCAGACGCAGAGACGAGCGAGGAGCGGACATGACATACGGGTGCGTTCCACGTTGAAGAAGTTCACGTAGTGCGCAGTGGTATGAACCATAGCCCAGAATGCCATCGAATACGCGACTTGTCTGTGAAACCAGATGTTCTCGTCCGCAGGGAAGAGCCAGGCGAGCCTGGGACGAACGACACGGATAATGTTACGCAACATTGGCACCAGAATCATCCCACCATCGAAGGCGAGTACGAGACCAGCACCGCGAGAGGTCCACACGGACCACTTGAGGCCGTTCAAAGCAGCTAGCTTCTTGTTCGTTTCCTGGCAGTCATCAAGATAAACAGGCGGTCACCACGCATGGGGATGGTGAACGCACCTGGCTGTACCACCCATATGCGAACAAGAAGAGCTGAACGCCATAGAAAAAGAGGTTGAAGACAAGCCGTCGGGGGTTGAGGAACTCGCGGTGGAACCAGTTCTCGCCCATGGTCGTCAAGGTCTGTTGTTTTGGCCAAGTAACCTGTACTGGAGTGTGTCGACTCTCTAACTAGTAAAGAAAGACGTCCGGGGCCGGCCAGACAAAAGAGTGGAAGACGAGCTTCAGCTGAAAGAGAAACAAGAGAGGGGAGAGAGGGGAGAGAGGGACAACAGCCCGCTCAGGCAGTGGTTGTAGATAAAGAAATAGACCACCGGCGTCGGAAACCTCGAACAGCCACCACGCGGCCGATCATCATTTCCTCCGCTGTCATGACAATGAGGCCTCTCACTGTGAGGGATTTATTCATCTTTTTCTACTACACTTGTAATCTGCTGTCACTTCGGAGCAGTGCACATCAGCATTTGCTGTTGCGAAGGAGTAGACGCCTATACTTGGCGATGGAATCCTCTCCACCAGACGAGACGAACAATCATACCGTACTACAATCGGAAGATGCGTTGCCAAAGCCCACAGAAAGGACGTAGCTGACAGACAGATAGCGAAATCTGCTCAACGTCAAGGAACAAATCCTCGAATCATTTCCCACCCGTTGTTTAGCCCTCATACCGGTAGGCAACCATCGCCTCGATTCGATGCACATCGGTGCTAAAGCTCCGCAATTTCACTTGCTGGCTCTTACTCGCCTCGATTGCCAAGGGGTCGGTATCTACCCACTCATCCGCAGGAACGTCGGCGGACTCGGAAGTGTAGGCGAGAATATTGAAAACCGTCGGCTCGTCGATGACAGGCAAGAAAGTCACTGTAGAGACAATTTGTTTGAGAATGTTTCTGATCTCTGCCTGGATCTCAGAATCCGGTTTGATGGGTGCCCTACGGGAGGACTTTAATTCCGAAAATATTCCCAAGATAATAGAACAACTCACGGTTTTGGTGGGCCCGATGGTTGGTCCTGATCCATGATATTGACGTCGAATACCCACCGTTCCAGTGTCAACCGAGAATCCTTAGAGATAATTGCAAGAACGAGCTGGGTGATCGATCCCGTGAGGAGCCACTCTAGTTCACGCCGCTGATGAGCATTGCTAGTCAAAACATAGTGCGGAGGAGGGAGCGGCTTACTGTTTACTTGAGTCAAGATCCTGAAAAAAGGATGAGTCGCGCCGATTGCCACCAAGACGAGGCGATCACATACTTGTCCAGATAGTTCTCGAGGGCTAGGTCTTGTGTTACGAGAACCGTTTGCCCATATTTCTTGACCATATGAAAGTCATCCGCAGGATAGACTCCGCGCTGAAAGAGAATTCTATGCAGAACAAGTACAGCTAAGAGTGTGCTCATGGAAGATGAATAGGCTTACTGACGTGTTGGCCGCGTACTTGAAAAATTCCGTAACGAGATTTGTCGAACCTTTGAGGGTAATAGCCTGGCGAGTGGGTGCTTGCTTTACAGCGGGCATTTGGTGGGTTTTCCTGAGATCGCGTAGGTGTGGGCTTGGGGAAGATCGGAAGCTGGGAATGAACGAAGTTCGCGCGCGTCGCGCCGCGTGGGCAACATGAACTACCACGTGCGGATCACATGATCGGAAACTTCCTGTTTCTGGGAATCCGGGATGCAGACATCATGCAGTTGATTATCGGTCATACTAGTGCGGAGTAAGAGCACAAACTACAGGAGAGATTGCAGATATGTATCATGGTTTAATGGCCAACGACTCATTTAACTACTTGCTGGGATGAATGTAGCATCGATGTGGTCTATGTAATATGTCTTCCCATCCAAGCCTTGCCGTAACTCCCAGAACTCAGGCAAGGCATCGGAAGACAGATTTTCTGGAGGTATAAAGCCTGCCGTATAACCTTCCCGCACAAGGTCAGGAAAGGCGACAACATCCGAACCAAGTGGACCAGTCCTGCTTCCTTCGTCGTCTAGGTCTGATCCAGCCGTCGGACGCGCTCTCCAAGCTGCAGGCACTTCTCTAAGCGGGGGAGGCGATGGTGTCTGGACGCGACGAGGATCTTTCCATGTGGTTATATGCGTCCGATGATCGACAAATAGAACTTTGCCATCTGGAAGAGGGACTTTCTCCCAGAAGTCGGGCAGCGGCTCGTCATCACTGCCGTCAGGCGGTAGATAGGGGGAGAAAGCATGCTGTCCGGTCTCGTCATTATCGTGCCAACCTGATGGTGTATCGTGCCCTGTAGAAGACGTCTGAGCGTGGTTCAAAGTCTCGGCAGTAGTTCTCTCTCCGACGGACTGGGCGACGGGTCGAGAGTCTGATGCAGCAGGCCCCTCAGCGAGAGACCGCTCGCGAGCTGAAGATCGCGAGGTGGTTCGTTTGTGCTGCGCAGCAGATGACTGTCCTCGGGCTCTGGCCTTTCCCTTGCCAAGAGGTGCGGGTAAATCTTCTGCACAGTTTCTGTCGAGCTTTCTCTGGCTACGATCAGATCTCAGCACTGGAATTGACGCACAACAGTAAGCTGGAAAAGAACCTACCACTCGTCAAACGCAATGCTGGCCTCTCGGACGAGAGGTTCATAAATCCGGATAGCCCACGCGTGAACCGCTTCAAAGCCCTTTTCTGTATAATATGCACCGACGATCGTCTCAAAGACATCGCCGATGTTCTTCGTGTCTGCACCTCCATAGTCTATCTTCATCTTTCGGGCTAGGTGGCAGAAGGTGCGGTTTGCGTGCAATACACTGAGAATGACCTTGTTGCATTGTCCAGCGCTCACCATCTGTGGAGCGGGTAATTGGACTCACCGTGTATTTGTGCGGCGTGCCTTCCGGTACGATCTTGTACAAGGCTATGGCGATGCTCGCGTCCATGAGCGAATCACCCAAGAACTCGAGGCGTTCATTCTCGTTCATGTTGTCTGGGGTGCGAATGGAGACACGCTCCCACAGCTCGAGTGTGAGTTTGGGTAAGTCGATAGTGAACGATGTATCGTCAAAGATAGCACGGTAAACTGCTGTTTCGATTGCTGCTCGTAACTTGTTTGATCTTTCGTGGTTCATTATGTTGAGAAGTATGGGTACTCCGGAAGTCGGCGGCTTCCGCCACAGTACTAGTATTGCACTATCAACCTAGCGCGCGCCCAGTGGGGGCTATTGCAATACCCAAAGTCGTACACTGTACAACCATCGTGCATGCAAAATTCCGACCTGAACGAAGAGTCACTGGGTGGCAAGCACAGTTTTTCTCTTGTAAGATTGGTCGAAAACTGGTTGAACAAGGAGCTGTGTTTCTCCGGTTTTTACCCAAGGAAAATCGGAGGCAGACCTTAACTTTCCATCAATTTTGCCGTGTTTTTGACGCTTTTGGCTAATTTTGCACCAATACTTTACTTAATTTGCCTCAACCGAGGAATAACTCAGACTTACTTAACCGCTTCTGCCCAAGAAAAAAACCGCGCTTATGAATCACCGGAGTGTGAAGTGTCGCAAACATTTTGAAACAGTGCAGCCGAGAAAACACCCAGGGTATATATGATAGACCACGTGAAGTAGTGCAGCAACCAAACGCGGCGATGCTCTAATCGCCTGCCAAACACATCTTCTCCAGGAAATACTCGTCACGGCGATCTCCTTGTTCTTCTCTTGTCAGCCTCTGTGGAAGAACATGTCGAGTCTGGAGGAGGAGGGCCTATGTCGACAAAGACCAGCGGCGGCGAAGACAGCTCATCCTCGACATTTGATTCGAGCTCCATATCAGAGTCGGCATTCGCAGTTAGGTCAATGAGCATAGGTTGCTTGACGGGATTAGAGCTAGAGGATCGAGCCGAAATAGACGTCTTGGGAGGGATTTGCTTTCTCGGCGTGATAAATGACCGGGGAGACGTCAGCCCTACGCGTGGCGTACGCAAAGGCACTTATACGTGCACCTACGAGGGCTATAAACCAATCAGCTCATTGTCAAAGACATCGCTTAAACAATGTCACACACTGTGAAAGATAGGCATTCTTTCCCGCGACGATCAGCCTCTGGTAGAGCTCGGCTGACCACTCGCACAGCGCCTCGAATCCTGCCTCGTTGAAATATGTACCGATGATAGTCTCGAAGAGGTCCGCAGTAGCCTTGACTTGACCCCAAGACTTGAAAGATGTCATCGTACCTTCTCCAAAGGTCCGGGCAGTTAGCGACTGTAGAGCACGGCCGCTGACAGCCAAGATATCGAGTTTCTCCGCAAGTCGGGAGAATGTCTGGTTGGAGTGAAGCGCTGCACGAAGGATCTGCGAGACAGAGAAAGTACCACACACTTCACACAGGGTGGCTGACAAGAATACGAATTGGTGGGACATACACTGTAGAGGCCGGGTGTTCCAAGCGGGATTTTCGTATAGAGCTGGCGGCCTATTGTGGCGTACATGAGAGCGTCACCAAGAAACTCCAATCGCTCATTCTCTTCGCGTTGCCATCGAGATCCGTTGAGTATCAGGAGCCAGGAGGTATCAGAGAGCGGAGGCAGGGCAGCACTAAAGTCTGGACGCTCAATCTCGGCCAAGATAGCTTGCTGAACTGCTGAAAAGCGAGGGCATTTAGACGTGGACATCTGTCCGAGGTGGCGTAGACTGGAGTTGGTGCAGTAAAATTAAGATATGGTGTAGACTAGTAGGCTGAAGTGTACGTATGAGGCGAGGAGAGTTGACAAGCAGAGATGTGGTTGCAACACGAACTGGTGAGACTGAGCACACAAGAACGATTTGGGCGCTTAATACACAACACGTCCGCGTGTGTATAGGCGCCGAAAAACGCGTTTCTCTCCAACATTCGCTGCTCGCGCGAGATGGCCATGGTCCCTTCGTCCTCAGCCCTTCCGTCGGGGACCAACGCGGTCTGGAAAACATCAACGGCAAGAAATACTCAACTTCAACATGCCATAAAACCCGTCCCTACGGTCGACTTACCCGCCTTGCAGGGTGCTGGGCGCGTTATACACGAACAGCTGGTCAAGGATGCACAGGCAATTCCAGCGTTGGGGGATATGTTGACAATACGTTCGCTATTTACACTATTCAAGCTTTATAATTAGTTAAAGCCTTGACAGCTGGCGCGCCATCCTCCGCGACCTATAATGTCTTTCCAGATGACCACCGCGTACCGTTTCAAAAGCGGAGGCTCATAGGCATTCCCGAGAGCTTGTTCCAGTACTATAATAGTAAGCACACAGTTATCTACCTCTGCCTCGTCTAATAACTGCACAGCTGCCAGCGTAACGACGCATATGGGACTCATACCGGAGATTGACAGAGTCTGGATAAGCATCGACCATAACTTATTTCTATGGGATTATATGGGAGGGTGCGTACCCTGTGTAGTGTTTCCTGACGCGAGTAACTTCAATGCTGCTCATTAGAGACGAGCTGAGCTCCTTCACCGATCAACCAGACGTCATCACCCACGTCGCGCTTGTGAAGCCGAAGGCTGGGGTCTTCATCGACGAAATCACGTCTCTCTTGGTGATTTGTACCCCAGTGTCGGTCTTGCTGCTGGGCGTCTCGGCCATCTCTGCTGCCTCTGGTCACTCTGGTCACCGTGATATCAAGCTCTACGCCACCGAAATGACTGTGCAGACAGAGGTCGAGATGACATCTGTGGTTGGTACTTCCGACGGCCGCATCCTCATGTGCGGTTTGCAAGACGGAAATCTGTACGAGCTGCATTATCAAGAGAAGGAGGGCTGGTTTGGCAAGCGAGTGCAGCTCGTCAACCATTCAGTGGGTGGCGTGCAGAGCTTCTTACCGATCCTTGGTGCAGCCAAAGCAGAAGGTGAGGTTGTCATTGCTTTTGATTCTTGGATTCCCGCTAAATTGTAGCAGACCGGATTGTGTCCATTGCTTCCGACCCCTCTAGGAACTGTTTCTATACGCTGACCTCCAATAGCTGCATCTCGGTATACAGAATGGCCGGCGAAAAGGCCGTCAGCCATATACAAACACTCTCCAACCTCTGCAAGGCTGCTCAAGATAAAGCTCCGGGGTCGCCTGCTATCACACCCCAAACATTCTCACTTTCTGCCTTGCACGTCATCGAACCAGGCACATCACAAAACGATCTTCATCTGATCGCGCTGACGAGTAATGGCTTGCGCCTGTACTTCGCTCCAGGGACGTCGGGATACTACAGCTATAACTATACGGCCAGTTCATCCACAGGCGGACAGCGCCCGCTTCAACTGGTTCATGTCAGGTTGCCGCCAGCGAGTCTCCTGCATCCTGACGAACTGGCGCAGCTGTTTCCACCTACTCTTCCCGGCTATGGTGCCCACCCAGGGCAAACTGAACATAATCCTCGTCCGTTCATCATCAAGGATCTGGATAACTCGTGCTACGATGCTGGTCTTTTAGTTGCTGCTCAGCCGGGGGACACAGACGGCACTGACTTCATCCTTTGTCTGTCACCTGACCTGACAAAAGTAGGCTCTTTCGGACAGGTCAATGGTCCCCAGACTCCCCCACAGCCGCAGGCAGTGGCTTATGGCGCGGCCGCTGGACCACCTCGTCCGCTGTTGACAGAGTATGCCACTCTTCTGGCCATCCCTGGACGAACTTGGGCGATGGCGCCAGTCCCGAGGCCGTCATTAGTCACTGTAACCGACAATCCACCCAACTGTCCTGCGCCCTCTGTGCTGAATGAGGTGGCGAGGCAGTTCTCCGAGCCCCCACGCCAGTTCATGATCTTGACGAACAGCGGACTCACCTTCCTTGTCAAACGTCGCGCACTCGACTATTTGCGGGCGGTAATCGAGGAATTTCAGGTGGAGGGCAATGCGCAGCCTCTGATTCAATTCAGAGATAGCTTCGGCCGTGATCAGACTTGTGCCATGCTACTTGCTATCGCTAGCGGTAACACATTCCTCGATCTTGGCGACCAGTCTGCCTTGGGTACGGTGACTACCGTCAGCGCGGAACTTGCAACTGTGGCCAAGCAAGCTTTCTACGACTTCGGAGAGCGGCCAATGTGGGCGGAAAGGACAACATACGGGACAGGTGTGCTACACACATTTCATCATCTCGACGCCGCTTATCCCACCCACAGGCGATGCTGCGACGTCAGGGACCGCGACATTTAGCGGGCGCCGGGAAGGCCTTGCTCTCTATTTTGCTCGTCTTGTGCGCCCAATATGGACAGCGAAAGTCACAAAGACAGGGTAAGCGACGTCGTCGTTAGTTCACATGATCCTTTGCTGATTTTGCTCAGAGCCAATGGTTCGGTGGAATCCAATATCTCAGATGAGGTGCTTATCACCGTGCAGAAGAACCTGTACGCGTTGAAGGATTTCCTGGACAGGAACCCACATTTGTTCCATTCTGCACCTGGAGACCACACCGGAGCACGTGCGGCAGCTGTCAGTGAGCAGGAGGCTTGGAAGGTAAGATAAACCTTCTTCCTGCCTACATGTGGGTTAACACTTGGAATAGGCTGAGCAAAGTTCCGTAAGCCAATTGCTGAGCCTGCTGGGTCGGACAATCGAAGCTGTTTCGTTCATCCTATTGCTCTCTGATCACAGACTCGGCGACTTGGTTTCTCAGTGCGTTTTCATCTTGTACCCTCCACCATCTTATGCTGACGAACTCCCTTCATAGGTGTGAACAGTCCGTCCAGAAGCTTGTGACTTCTGTGTCATACGAGCAACTGATCACCTCACAAGATGGCATTACTGTCTCGCGGGCCTTGGTCAATGTCGTCATCAATCAGCAGATTGGCCAGCAAATAAGTGTGAGTATCTATTCGAGGTCCCGAGCCTCGTATTATAACGGTACAATAGGTGGACACCATCAGCGAGGTCTTGCAGCAGCGCTGCGGCTCGTTCTGCAGTACAGACGACGTTCTGCTTTACAAGGCTAAGGAGAACGTCCGGAAGGCTGTTGAAACTCGCAACCCGGCAGAGCAGCAGAAATGGCTTTCGGAGTCCTTGAGGTAAGCCCGTGATTCCTAACGTCGTTTCTTTCACGAGCCGACTGTTTTCTTTCTGCAGGTTGTTCGTTAAGGGCGCGCGGATATTGGACACTGAGAAGCTGCGAGAAATCGTTGGCGACTACCAGCACCTCCGATACGCCAAGGGCGCCGTAGAGCTGCCCCTCTACTGCGCACAAGTGTTCGACGACGGCCAAGGAGCAGAATACTGGGCTTCAGGCTGCCTACCGAATGATCCTCGTGCAGAGCACTGGCAGCGCCGGCATCACTGCTATGAGCTCGTGCTTGATTCATTAGAGCAGTTCGAGGAGCTGGCAAAGAAGACGCCTTCCGACGATCTCGATACTGTCCGAACTTATTCATATGCGTTGGCGTTCGCCAGCGAAGATGAGATGCTCCACTCAACACTCTATGACTGGCTTATTCAACGCGGCCTCGCTGATGAGCTGCTCGAGATGAGACCGGTGTACCTTGAGGCGCATCTCAGGAGGGAGCCGATCACGGTGCAGAAGTACCAGTTGCTTTGGCAGTTCTATGTCAAGGACGGCCAGCCATTGCGGGCTGCTGAAGTACTTGGTGCCTTGGCTGAATCGACGGAGTACGTGAGCGCTGTTATGTTTCTCGTGTCGAGCTTGCTCACTGTTGGCTATCAGGTTCAATCTTTCTCTCGAAGAGCGCCTAGAGTACCTCACGCTGGCTGTTGGCAATGCCAAATCACACCCCATCTCTTCCATGGGGGCACACGAGGCCGCCATAGCCTTTTTGACTGACCTCGAAGAGAAGCTCGAAGTCGTTCAAGTGCAGCTGGAGATCTATCACACGCTTCTGCCACAGGTCAACGGAGAGGACGCAGCCAAGGTGCAGCTGCTCAGCAAACGGCTGTTCAGCGTTACCGAAGTACGTTTATGGTACCCGTGCTCAAGAGTTTCGTATTCATTCGTTGTGCAGCTGTATCAGTTGTTTGCTGAGCCCTTCGACCTCCCTGTGATGAAGCTGCTCATCTTCCACGTATCGGGTCACCGCGATGAGGCAATAGTCAAGCCCATCTGGAATCGCATCGTCGAAGAGGGTACGTTATGATTTATTTTCTATTTGGACGTTGAAGGGTCCCTGATATTCAGTTCAGCTGCGGACAACGCCGACCCGAAGATTGCTGCGGACCAGATCATATCCAAGGTCATTCCTTTGGGCCAGCGGTTTTACCCCTCGGACAGTGCATTCCCCACGCGCCACATCGCGTCGTTGTTGGTTCGCTTCGCATTAACTCACAAGGGTCTGCTTCCCCACGGTTGGGCGCCACGAATATTTGTGCAATGTGGTATGCCATATCACGAGGTGTGGGACATCTTCCACGAGATGTACGAGTCACAGGTGCGTAATATCTGTGCTTCGATAGCCATAAGACCAATTCCTGCTGCCAGATACCACCATTCAACGACCAGACCAATGTGCAGGCCGTTTCGTCTGACATTGCGGTGTTGCTCACCGACTGGCTTGAAGACGTCAAGCGGCCAGGCTCAGCTGCCTCGCGTGGCGAGTTTCCCGTGTACAGGATAGACCAGGCGGTCGACCAGTATGTCAGCGAGCTCCAGCCTGGGCGGACAGAAACAAAGACTCTGTACGAAGCCGTCAAGAGGCAGATCCGTCGCAACTGGTAGTTCCTAGACGCTATATAATCCCGCTGTACTTAGTGTCCCTTCTGGTACTGCTTGTCCCATGCATATTGATATCGACGGACTGTTCAAGACAAATTCCAAGACTAGTGTCCAATATAAATACTGTGGGTACGCTGCGAGGTTATGAAACCTCCAGAATGGCATCTTCCGCGCGAAGCAAGAGTCGTTTCACCGTCCTCTCAGTGAGGTGGTATACTTTCCATAGCGCGCTTGCCTGGGGTTGGTCAAGTTTCATAGGACAAGGTGAGTGATGGCTTACCGAGCTGCGCCTATGACAACGGCAGTAAGGAGGATGAGAGTCATGATGTCAGACGAATTCCGGCCTGACCGTCGAAGCCTGACTCTGAGCCAATGTGTGATGGGGAATGGCAATGACCATAGCATGTTGAGCAAGGAGCCTGCCCCAACAGTGGGTAGGCCCAGTAACAGTCGTTTGACGAACTTCCCCAGCAGGGTAGGTGGACCCTTTGGTGTAGGGTACTGGAGCTTCCCCCCTCTAGTCTTGTGGCGTAGCGTACGGGCACCGCCGTCGCATGACACGTCTGTCAGAACGCAGACGGCGGTGCGCACAACCTCACGAAAGGTCTCCCAGGGATATACCACAAAGTAAGAGTCTTCGCCTGTCCCCGAGATCAGGTACGTCGTGACGAAGGATGATAGGAACAGCAGAAGGGTGAAGGCGATGCAAGAGAGTGCCCCGACGACGACTGCGTAGACGTGAGCCAAAGGAGAGCATGCACCAGCCTTAGACGTACTAGGATTGCTAGCCATGCCCATGACTTGCGTCCGAGCAAAGCGATAGTGATATCCGCACTGCGGACAACGGTAGAAGGCACTTCGGGAGGTCGAAGAGTTCCGCCAACGGTGGAGGCACTTGACATGCACATACTAATGGGTTTCAATAACCACCGTGTATTAGAACAGAGGAATGTTGTAGCTTACGCTGACGGAACCCTTGCAAAGACACGGACGAATAAGCCTTCCGAGCTCGGGGTCCTCTCCGTCCAGGCATATCCGACATTGCGGTGCGTCCTCTGCGCGATTGTCCACGTTTGGGTTGCTGCCTAAAGGTGCTGTTCCCGGCTCGTCAGGCATGCCAATTATTCAGATTTAGTTCGGGTACAGTAGAGGATGAAAGACAGAAGCAAGTTGGGTAGTGTGACGGTGTCTACGTGCAGTGCACGATCGAATGCGGCGGAATGGGAAAGCGCCCAATGCGAGGCGCCGGCATTCGCCTCGCCTAGCGCCACGTGGGCACTCGACGCGCCCAACAGCCATGGCGAGCGAGCAAGCCGGCGAGCAAAGACTCAAACGCGACGCGGACACACCAATCTCGTAGACCTATCTGCGTCGAGGCTCTCCGCTTGTGCAAGTGGCAGAGATGGCGGATCCCAGCGATAACGGGCACGTACGTTTGGTAGGAGCAGTTGCCGGGGTCGGAAGCGGTCAGTCCTGCGCTAGCAAAGTTCACATTTGTACTAGTAGCAGTGGCTGAACTCGTACACGGCATATTTCCCTTTCTTAGGTCTTACCAAGGTAAGATGATAGCCTCTGTCTGTTTTGAACATGATTCTTCATCTAAAATAATTCCTAAGGTCGCGGTCGGACATGGGTCCGTATGAGCTACTGTCTTCCTCTGTCTTCGTAAGTGCAAGACCCTCCGGACCCAAGTGTCACTGCTAACATACATTTGTTGTTATAGGTAAGACTAACTTCCTGAGATAGATTTGACACGGTCAAAACGCGTCTGCAGTGTTCGCCACCTGGCACGTATCGCGGTGCTATCGACTGCCTGGTCCGGATAGTCCGCAACGAGGTCAATGGTCAATACGTATGTTCCATTTGATGACGTGCTAACGCTTTCCAACACAGTCTGTTTTTGCTCTGTATAAAGGTGCCACACCTCCCGCGGTGGGATGGGCAGCCATTGACTCCGTCCTGCTTGGCTCTCTGCACAACTATCGTCTCTTTCTCATCCGTCATAAACTTACTGAACATGTCCCCGGGTCTGATGCTCAACGGCTGACCCTCGCCGGTCATGGTATCGCCGGGTTCGGCGCTGGTTTGACGAGGTGAGTGAGGCATTGAGCCCTCGCTTACCATTCGACAGCTCACAGTATTCCGTGACACTGACAGTTCTGTCCTGGCAACACCTATGGAACACCTGAAAAGTAAGTGGTTGTCTACTCACATGATAGACGACACGTCGTATACTGTAATATTAACAAGCCTTGCAGTAAAGCTGCAGATGCAGATGCAGCGATCTGTGGCAGACCGCCAGTACAAGGGCCCCATTGACTGTGCTCGACAAGTCATCAGGAGCCAAGGTGTCCTGGGCCTTTGGACAGGGTTCACAGGCAGCATGACTTTCCGAGCCAACTTCCTGTGGATGTTCCTCTCCTTCGAGGTTAGTTCTCTTATGATGACGGCAGGGTCTGTGATTAACATGAACGAATCTTCAGGCACTCATGCGAAGTTTTACCAAGCTCGACGGGACTCGCTTCCAGATGAGCACGGGCACAGCCAACTTCCTGTCCGGTGGGCTGTCCTCGTTTGCGTTCTGGTTCATGGCGATCCCTGCGGACAACATCAAGAAGTATGTTGTCCTCGACTACCTACCTTGTGTTTAGAGGCTGAGATCGTCTTCAGTCGTATGATGGCAGTACCACATACGGAGCTGAGGCCAACCTTCAAGGGCACTATTCGGCATATCTACTCGGTAGCTGGTCTCCGAGGGTTCTTCGCGGGACTGGCGCCGTGCTTATTGCGAGCATTCCCATCCAATGCCTGTGCCTTCTACGTATATGAGGGCCTCATGAGAGCTTTTGAAGCAGAAAAGGTACGGAGTATTCTTGTGACTGTTCCGAGTACGCGATGCTCAATTCGCTCGGACAGACTCGCCATTAGACGATAGACTTAACATCACTAGCTAGATCACGCGCGTTCTCTGTTGATGGCATCGTCGCTTGGTATAAGCCCCCGCGATACTGTGATGAATTCCCGACAGCCAGGCGTACAATTGCTAAAAAAATCATTTGCTTAATCTGCCCTTCGCCCACTCCAGCCAGCCGTTTCTCTTCTGCTCCTCTAGCTTCGAAATGTCATCGTCCGACAGTTTGATAGTCGTCTCGAACAGGCTCTCGAGGCCGGTCGGCTCTTCCCGCGGGAAAAAGCGCTGTGGCCTCAAGAATATATCGTCGTTTCTGATGCCGTTCGACCTCTTGCTCGAGCGGTGGACACTTCTGCGCTCCGGGCGTATCGGTGACCAGTCCATGGCGTCAGGGTCTCGTTCCTTCTCCTCGTCGTCATCGTTCATATGCTCATCAACGTCATACACGGCGTAATCTTCGTCCATGGCGTCCTGCCCCAGCGACACATGGCCATTCGCATGGCTGCTGCTGCTGCTGCCGGCGTGGCCGTTCATCTGCGCGAACGATGGCACGCCGAAGACAGGACTCTGCGGGCGCCCGGAATTCGCGAGGATCGGGTTGTTCGACAGCGAGAGAGTCGAAAACAAGTCTGGGGCAGCGTCAAATATCGGTGTTGGCTGTCGAGAGGTCGATGTTGAAGAGAGATCGGAGGGTGGAAGCGATGGCCGGTAGGAGAACTGTTGCATGAGGCGGACCGAAGGGGGACGGTCGAAGCGAAGGATCATCGCTGAACGCAGCAAGATCTTTGGGCAAAGTTAGCCTTTGAGCTGTTCGCATGCTTGAGACTCCACTCACACCTAGCTCCAGAGCGAGTAACACAGCGAAATACCACTGAGACCTCCGTATAGATAGTGACAATAACGGGATTGTAGTTTGTGCGTGATAGAGCGCAATCCAGGCAGGCTTGAATGTCGGTACCCAAGAAAGCAGAGATGTGATCACGCGCGAAGCCCATGCTAAGCTTTGCAGGATCTGTGGTACCGAGTTAGGAGGAGTGCAGTCTGAGTGCATCGAAGACATACGTTGTATTCGCGTTTCCTTCTCAAGCGGATCTCCCGACCTTGCAGTTGCGATCGTTTGAATGTAGCATACCGCGGGTCCCACGCTGTCCAAATAATGGACAGAAAGGTAAGAAGAGGTGCTGTGGCCCGTAACAGAGGGGGGAATCGTAAGGGAGCGTAGTCGGCGAGTACTGTGAACCGCGAATGAGCTTTACTCGAGTCTGCAGTGAAAGGTTACTCGCCACATGTGTAACATGATAGTACAACGACCAGCGTCGTGAACCATAAGACACCTCTTATCTTCCATAGGAATAAATCTTTCTCCAACGCCGGTCTTTGCAGCTGTGCTCGACTCCCTATGCTCTGCCTTTGCCGCTCCTTCCCTTTGCTGTTCTTTAGAAGCACGCCGAGAGCATTGGTACGTGCCATTTGATCTCGTCGTCTGATTTCTTCTTCAACGGCAGGTAGGCAGTCAGGGCAGATTGGTGGATAGCGTTCTTCGAGGGAGGCGCGGTAGGTAGGAAGTTGTTCGGACAACCTGGAGTGTTCTGGGTCCTGCGGCGGATCAAAATAAACGAATCCATGGCTCGACACTGAAGGAACCTACGTCCGGAGAGGGAAGGTAGTTGGAAAGGAGATTGGATATGAGCATCTGGTTCGTCTGGCAAGTGTGGCAAAACACTGGGGTTCCGTACGACATCGGAAGCCTGTCCTTTCGGGGTGAAGCTGGACAGGCAGAGAGCACGAACCGGTTAGCAGCTGCTTTCCGCAAGGTGGCGTAGTGTATCGAACCTCGTTTAGCGAATGAACGCTTGTTCAGGCTCTCGTCGTGCATGGCGGGGTCGTCTGACAGTATCTCTCCGTTGGCGTCATAGCGATTCCAGCAGCCACACTGAGGACAGAGAAAGGAACGAGGATCTTTCGGCAACACATCTGAGTTGCAGAAGAAGCACGTTTGGCGGGTCGGCCTGCGGAGTAGTTTCGACATCGGGCGGCGAGGCGGCGAGGACGGTAAGGGGGGGACGGGAGAGGTCGGGTGGGGTCGTTGGGAGGAGAGAGACCAGCTAAGCGAGTAGTTCAAACAAGCCCATGAGGCCTAGGAGGTGCCTGGGGATGTCGATGACGGGATGCGTCGGGAAGACGAGGCCGCCAAGCCATGGGCCAAAGCCCTTGTGGCACCCACGTGGCCTGCGCATCACCGGGCCTGCGCTGGCCGCCCCCGCCTCCAACACCATGTCCACCTCGCCTGCTCCCTCCGTGGCGCGAGGAGAGATTTTACTCCAGCCCTCGTACTTTACGTCGTCGCTCTTCGTCGATCCCGTACGAGAAGACATTGCCCAGCTCGTTCAAATATTTGCACAGGCTTTCCTGCAGCCCGCTCAGCAAGATGACCAGCAAGCAGCAGAAGGCGTTGAAATGGCTCCTGCAGTAGATGCACTGCTACCACGCCAAGCTCAGCCTGTCGGGTCTCCGAGCGCAGTCTCTCAGCCTTTTGCTTTCTTCAAAGCGATTTGGAAAGACTCTGGATGGACCTGGTTCCACTTCAAGGTGCTGGACGGCAGAGCTAGAGAGACCTTCATCAGGATTGTACTCCGATGTTTCTCAGGTGTGTTGGATGTTATATGCTCTCTGAAACCTGCTGCTGAGGAATATCCAGAATATTTTGTTGAAAGTGTAAACCCACTGGCGCAAACGATAGCACTCTTTGGAATGTACACATTCTTCATGATGCAGCCATCCACTTCTGCACCGTCACTGTACACCTTGAAGCATATCCCGCTTCCTCTTGGTATGTCTCACGTGAATTTCTGGAACATCGGCTTCACTGACATCAGAGACAATGTGGAGACGTTTACAAGACACTCCTAGAGTTACCGAGCAACTTATCTACACCTCAGCTTCTTCCGCTTCAGCCGTACGCCACACATCTACTGGAGACCCTACTTACAGCGCAAGCATTTCATATTCTCCCTAGCTCTTCGCTACGGGCCCAGAATCCCAGCGACATCCCGCGGGAGCGCTTCGTCGAGGACGGCACAGAAGCTCCTACAGGCTCCGCAGTTAAAAAGAAGGGTCGGCCCTCCAGGCGCGACAAAGCACGAAAAGCGAAGGATGCTGCCGCTGCTTTGGACCGCTGGCTCGACAAAAACACGTACACTTATCCGGGTACCGTAGCTGGGCCGAGCGTTGGCGGCAGCTCGACGTCAACACCTTCAAAGACGACACATACACTCATCTCCCACCCGCCAGCCGCGTCACGGGCCATCTACACGATGGAGAAGACTCAGCTTCTGAATGTCATCGACACACCGGGAGATAATCTCCCGACTGTTTCGGAGGCGGGTGGCGCTGCCTTGGGAACAAGCGCGGCGTCGCGACCGCCTATTCTGGATGCGGATCCCATCGGCCCACACCGTCTCCAGGCTCTCACAGGCCCGTGTGGATATCTCGAGCGGGAGGCCCTTATTCGGGCAAATGACGCTGTGCTCACACGGCTCAGGAAGATTGACGAGATGGCTGCGGAGCGTGGCTTGGAAGTCGGCGGCGAAGGCGGAGAGAAAACGGGCCTTGCTAGGGTGGATAGAGCCGTAAAGGAGCTCAAGGGAGGCCATGCAGGCAGTCGAGGTGGGATCCTGAATCTGCTGGAAGGTGCTGGTTTGGAGGGGCAGCGGGTGGGGGATGCAGACGAGTGACTGGCTGGCGGGTGGCCTTGACAGGCGGTGTATCACATGGGACAGATCGCGTCGAGCTCGATGTTGTCAAGTGTAACGAAATAATTTGACCTGCACTCTGCACACCGAAGATTGCCGCCGTTGCTGTGGAGAGAAGGGTGGAGGTGTTCGATTGTTTTGTCTCACGGGCGCTCCTCGCCTTGTTACCTTCTCTTCCACCCCCTCGTCCTATCCTCTTCACGCCTGTCCTCTCCAGCTTTGCCCTGATCCCAGAAGCATACTCACCTTCATTCACTTCACGCTCATTCAGTCTGCACGCACCAACGCAGGACCGTTATGGCTTCCCTCAAGCCCAAGCCGTATGCTCGAAGCACTGCATCTTCAACCACCAGCCTCTTAATTCCCCAGTCTCGGAGTCCAGCTCCTCAGGCCACGTTTGCTCAGTCACCGAGGTCTGCTACAGTTAGCGAAGCGTCTTTTGTCAGTACGCATTGCATCATAGGGCGGCTCGCACTGACTGGTTACGACCTTAACCTTAGGACGATACTCGGTACACTGGAAGATCTGCGCCGATACCGCAGTCCATCTCTGACAAGGTGCGTTCTCCCAGCGACTTGTCTCTCGGGTTTTTTCACATCCGTCAATAGTTTTCACTGTCTCCAAATCCCAATGAATGGGGTGCAAACTTATCCATAGAGCATCCAGAGCCGGACGACTTCATACACAATCCTGACCCTCGACGCGACCGCAAGAGCGACCGCGGCGGCGACTTCTTCACGTACCGTGCTCTTGCTAATCTAGGATGTCTGGTCGTCTTACTTGTTGGGCTGCTTGCGCTTTTGTACGTTCCTCGTTCTACTGCAAGGTCGCAAACTAACCCCACTTGCCATCGTAGTGCCGGATACCCGATCATCAGCCACTTTACAAAACAAACACAGTCTACACTTGGGGGATTTAACCTTGGTGGGATAAATGCGTCCGGACAGGTGAATATCTTTGCTCATCTGTCGGGCATTTCTGTTCACCTTTCTCACAGATTGCTAGTATGCCTGGGAACTGGGGTTTGGTTGACTTGGAGACACCTAGCGACGCGTATACCAAGCAAGACTACAAGTCTGGGAAGAGCTGGCAACTCATTTTCTCTGACGAATTCAACACTGACGGTCGGACCTTCTACCCCGGCGACGACCCTTACTGGGAAGCTGTGGACCTCCACTACTGGGAAACCAACAATCTCGAGTGGTACGACCCGGCCGCGATCACAACTGCGAACGGTAGCTTGCAAATCACTTTGTCCCAGAAACAGACGCACGGCCTGAACTACCAGGGAGGCATGATGTCGAGCTGGAATAAATTCTGTTTCACCGGCGGGCTGATCGAAGTTAGTGCTGTGCTTCCTGGCATCAACAATATCGTCGGACTCTGGCCAGCTGTCTGGACGATGGGTAACCTGGGAAGGGCAGGTTATGGTGCTAGTCTCGAAGGCATGGTGAGTCTTCGCACTTACCTCTTGCCACATCCATACTGATGTACGATTTTACCATGAGTGGCCTTACACTTACGACTCCTGCGATATCGGTACCGTTGCCAACCAAACTATGAACGGACTTCCTGTTGCAGCTACTACTGGTGGTGATCCCTCCGAGGACGGTGTTCTTTCGTTCCTGCCCGGTCAGAGATTGTCGCGGTGTACGTGTACTGGCGAATCCCATCCAGGGCCGGTTCACTCCGATGGGACCTACGTTGGAAGGTCCGCGCCTGAGATTGATATATTTGAGGCGCAAGTACGTAACCTACTGATTTCATAGATATTTCCTATAGCTGAATTGCGCTATAGATCACCGACGGTTCGGGTCAAGTTTCTCAGTCTGCGCAGTGGGGTGTATGTGGACACTTGTTTTCAACGTAGTGTTTACTTACGCTTTCGTTTCAGCCATTCAATGCGGGATACGAGTGGTTCAACACCTCAAGTAACCTCATTATCCCAGAGCCTAACATCACGCAGCTCAATACCTATATTGGAGGTGCCTACCAGCAAGCTACTTCTGGTGTGACCGAAAGCAGTAAGTCATCGCCGCGGGCCGCTTCTGTGACTACGACTCATCTTTTTGCAGACCAGGAGGCCTATGAGCTGACCGGGAATCAGTTCGCTGTGTATGGCTTTCAGTATCAGCCTGGCTTCGATGGCGGAGTAAGTTGGGACACGTCTTAGTCACGTCCGCGATGTTGACGCTTTCTTCAGTACATCAGCTGGATTGCGAACGACCAGGTTGCTTGGACGCTCGAGCAAGCTGGAATGGCTGCGGATACTCGCGTTGAGATCGGATCGCGTCCCGTCCCTCAGGAGCCTATGTATATCATCGCCAACCTGGGCATGTCCACGAACTTCGGTCCGGTCGACCTTGAACATCTGACGTTCCCTACCACCATGAAGATCGACTACATCAGGGTGTATCAGGACCCTGACAACATCAACTACGGCTGCGACCCGAAAGGTTTCCCGACGGAAGCCTACATCAACACCTACATCGAGGCCTATACAAACCCCAACCTCACGACTTGGCGCAACGACTATGGACAGCCGTTCCCCAAGAATTCATTCCTCGGTCAGTGTTAGATCGTGAAGCGCGACTGTCTTTCCGCTCTGTTTGTAACATCCACATCTGTACCACCCACATGCGAGGCCCGTCACTCTTCACTTCACGCTCAGTGGCGTCAGACACTTACCTTCAGCGAATTGCCGTCTTTCGGCGCCTTCGACTTCGCCCTTGTATTGCTACACTTACCACGCCAGTGGCGGCTCGATGCGCTCCGGAAGCCGTTGTTCCTTCATTTCCAAGAAACTCCGTTCGTGCGGCAACTGGGAGATCTGTCGCATTCCTTGTTCTTTAAACCTGTCGCTGTAGTCTCTGTCTCACCTAGCCTCGCTTCTCCGTCCCCGTCTTATCATTATTTCCCCTCCTTCACCGCTCGGACTTCACGTTTCCCATTTTACTCTCGTGTAGTCTACGTCGCACCCCACAACCGTGAGGATGTCAGGCCTTCGCCACATAGCGCCGCCGCCAATCACTTGCATGACCGAGTTCAAATTCATCTTCGTCATGATACCCCTCTCACTGTGCCCCGCCACTCGTGTCTAAATGTGCATTAAGTTGTACGCTGTGCACAAGACCAGGAATGAGGTCCAGGAGTTGAATTGATTCATTGCTACATGTTTTGAACACCATTAACTCGAGTGACTAAGTATGCTACATATACACCGAAGGAAGAGACTGAGATGGGGCCAGCGGCGGTGTCCTTGCCTCACCCCGAGAGAGTTCTTGCGTGACGGTCATGAGAGGTCATGTGCAGCTCGCGTCGTAGGTAGTTTGGAGTTTTCCCAATATCCGTTCTAGAGTGATGATTCCCCCTCCCGTCAACCTGGGCACGGCCAGCTCCTTGTCTGCCTCGCTGTCTTCCGCCTGCGCCTTGCTTTTCGTGATGAGGGCCCGCGCGTCATCGAGGAGCTTCTTCAGCCGGCCGTTCGTGAAGTACAGCCACTTGAGCTCAGTCTCGAGGCTGCCTGGCGGTAGCTCCAGCGCGCGGCGCACAAAGCCTCGTGAGAGGACATAGGCCTTCTCGCTGTACAGTCGGCTGCGGCCCGGTCCTCAGCAGACAGGTCCTGCGATTCCGGATTGTACGCTTACCTATTGACGATGCCTTCCTCGGTGCCTCTCAGCTTCTCGTAAGCAGGCTCGCAAAACCACGGCTCTTTGACGAGCACGAGGCCTTGGATCGACACGAACGCCTGCAGTAACGAGGAGCGTGCCGCGCTCCACATCTCATTCTTGTCGCCGGCCCACGTTCCGAGAATGGACAGACAGACCTTGCCTTCCTCGTAGAGGTTTCTGCACAGCACATTTAGCGTCGGATGATTCTAGGTACTGAGTATGACTCACGGGTTTACTACGGCGAAGAACCGGATGAGTTCACTCACAAGACATCAAACAAAGAGTAAACATACCTCGTCCATTGCCATTAGTCCAGCTGTGGAAATGTGCTATAGGTGGACTTTGAGGGAAGTTCGAGTCCAACATCCAGTCGGTGACAAACGGCGCATCCTCGTATGGAGTGTTCTCCGGGCCTATGATGAGACACCGAAGGAGGTCGTTGCGATCCTCATATGTCCGCACGATCACGGAGCCTGCAAGAACAATTATGAGCCAGAGAACGTCCACTTGAGAGGAGCTACGTACCAGGCAAACTACTAGAAAGCACTCGATACTCCTTTGAAAGACGTGCCAGAAAGTTTCGCGAGGGCTGGGCAGGGGCTGACGTATAGAAGGCATGGTCGATCGGCACTGAGGGCAGAATCTCAAACCGCTTCCAATACTTCTCCCTGTCCTCCTCGTTCGCCGACACCACAGACTTATCCCCGTTCTGAACAGGGGAAGCGTCTTTTGGTACGTTTTCTGGTACAGGTCGGTCTGCAGACGGTTCAGGTGTAGCCGTCTCTCCTGGAGAAACCTCAATCTCTGCCACGGGTACATCCTCTGTCAACTGCATTGCTGTAGGATCAGTGGATAGCCAGCCCTCGGCATCGACCTCCATGGCGTCGCCTTCATCCGTCGACCAGTCATCGCCGTCGTCGGCATTCACTTCCCATTCGCCCCTCTCGTTCAATGCCCAGACCTGCTCGGGTTCGTCGTGGCTCCCGTAGCTGTCTCCACTATCGGATAGGTCATCGTCCCACATATCTTCAAGCTGCTCGAGGCCGTCATACAGGCGAGTCAAGCGTCCCAGTGGCAGATTACCAGCTATGGAACCCGGAAGCATGACATCGACAGTGCCATCTAGCCGTAGCTGAGACTACTTCAGTACTTGCGAGAGTAAAAGCCTTCACCAAAGCACGTACGTCAACCACCTCGCCGAACCAATTTAGCGAGGTATCATTCTGCTGCGGTCTCTTCAGCTTCCCTTCTTCCACAGCTGGGTCCTTTCCACGTCGTTGCGCAATGTCATTGCCGATCTCCGCCATGGTTCGTCGCCATCCACCCAGCTGCCCGTTCTCGGCCAGCTGCGTGACGGGTGACTCGCGCACCCAGTCTTCCATTTCGCCGATACGCGGAACCATAGGGGATTGTGCGCCATTTGTCGTGCCTTCCTTGTGAATGAAAATGAACTCGCCACGGTGGAGTCCGAGGCCTTCGACAGGCGAAACGGAAGACCAGTCGCTAGAGCCATGAGGATCAAGTTCGAGCACTGAAGCAAGCTCCACGCTGCCGTCGTCTGAATATCGGATGTATGCGGTGCGGTCGAAAGCGTTAACCGACTGGACGACTGCCGAGCGTGTCTGATCTTCGCCCTTCCATATGACGTGATCTCCAGGCCTAAATGAACGCAATGAGCGTTCCTAAGCTAAAAAGTGTACAACTCATACATACCAGCAGTCGTATTCGTCCGGGTTGAGGTAAGGGATCGTATCCTTGGCGTCCAGAGTCTCCCTTGTGCCGTCCTGCCAGAGCACGTTGACAGTTGTGCGAGTCTCTCTGACCACCAACGTTCTGACGGTAAGGATACCTGGCCCTTCACCTTCACGTCCATGAGTAGAGACTGGACCTTCTGTATTCTTGAGCACGACACGATCTCCTACACGCATGGTCTGCTCAGCTCGCCTTCGGATGAGCGTCAATTTGTTCAGATTCGGCCCGTGCCAGAAGCGTTGGGGACGAGGTCGCTGTGCAGCTTCCATTGGGTCAAGCTAGCCAATGTTAGCGAAGCTCAATCCCTCGGGATGAACAAATAGAGCCCGCGCACTGATTGGTTTATTGCCAGCCAAGCAACGGCAAGAACGGTCCGCTTGACTTCGATGACAGTATCTTGAGCACTGGGCCGCACGTTGCCCAAGAAGAAACTCATCAGAGTTTGCATTCCAGACATCGGTGGGGGTAGGATATTCTATGATAGAATGAGCTTCTGTATGTGCTAATACGTCTCACAAGACGCACCGGTCCCTTTTCGCCTACCGCAAGTCGCGCGCTCAATTCTGGCAGTCGTACAAGGGTCCCAGAGCTCATCTCGACGATAGCTTCGTCGAACATCTTCCTGCCGTGTTAATCTGAACGTACGAATTCAGATAGGGTAGAGTGCATACCTCGACGACCTGGGCGTAGCGATTGTAAGTCGACGGCACCGACGAGAAAGAGAGAGAGAAATGAACGTACTTGACCAACCCAATCGTCATAGACGACATAGTCTCCCATGTCCACATCTATATAGCAGTCAACATCGTCTTTGCTCTTCCATCCCGAGATTTCCTCCCCAGAAATGGCATGCTCTAAACGAGCCTTGACTTCGATACTATGACGATGTTCAGCATATAATTTGCCAGATGTCTACAGGATCGAACGCTCACCTTGTAACAATACCCGAGCGTACATCGTCTACACTGCGCTTGAGGAGATCGCCCGGCTGGTACATGCGATCTAAGAGCATGAGCTTCGACTCTGGGAGGATTTCTCGTTGTGGCAGGTCAAGTCCTCGAGCAAAGAACGAGACACCAACTTCCCCGTGCTTAAGTGGTCGCATGAGCGGGTCGGCAGCTATCTGCTCGGGGGTGGTAGGGAGGTCTTCGGCATCGTGCCAACATCTCTAAATTCAATGACCAAGCATAAGAGTTACGAGGAAGAGTGTAGGGGTAGAACACACACCAAGACTACTCCATATGAGCGCGGTTCATCTATGAGCTGGACGATGTCCTCTTGGTAAAACTGACCGGCGTGCATGGCATGTTAGCCCGAACGTACGACACAGGCGGCTTCATGACCCACCTTCGCTGCTGGTGTCCGCCGTCGTAGGTTGCTCATAGTCAATAACGACAATCAGACCAGATGTATATGCTGCTATGGCTGTACAGCGCGTGAGTACAGATATCCAGAGTCGAGCACACGAGGGTTGGCGGTAAAGTGACGAAATTCGGGCGACAAACAGAAACGCGTTCGGCCTGTTTGTTTATGGACTTCCACCATTCTTCGTCCGCCCGAGCTCTCATCGTTGCCATTCGCATTGAAGAATGCTAGTGCACGGCTCGATGCTGCAAGAAATATTCTCCGTACCCTACCGTCAGGAGGACGGCTGAAGCTCATTATACCTCATATCAATCTCTGTGCTGTGCTGCTTCCGAAGGCTCGACTGGCTAGCTGTACTGCTTACTTTCTCGCTGACGATTCCTCAGTCCTGTCACGATGAAAGTTAGAGCTTCTTTATGTGTATCAGCAGGTCGTTCCCGACATTGGGAGACAAATCACGCTTAGGACCAACACCTCCTCCGGACGCTAGATGGGTAGGCGTAGTGGTCGCTTGACGTCAGAGTAGTGGATAGGATTCGGCCAAACCCACACTCTGGAATGTACATATCGATGAGGACCATTATCAATTCTACCTTTGACCTGACATGTCCATGCGTGCTTGGATATCGCAATTTGCAGGTCGTCTGCGCAAAAAGGCCCACGCGAAAGAGCCCACGTGCAGCAACATGACGACAGTGTCGCCTGTTTCTCCTTGCTTAGGACCGTCATCACAAGCAGCCACGGTCGGTCATTTCCTTTCCAGATCTCTGGTACCCTCCCGCTCACGCCTTTTGATGTATCCAGATTACTCCGCTTGCAATGTCGCCACTCGCCGATCTGCCTGCTGAACTCATAATAGAAATTCTGCAATATCTGGACCTGAAGAGCTCGTTAACATGCAGACAAGTCTGTCAACACTTATTCACTAGTCGCTGGCTCGTTTCATGTTTTTTCTCTTGTCTTAGGTGTGCCGCCTATTCAACGTACTTGTCAAAGAATCTGCTGCGATGCAGTATAAAACTGAACTCACGCTTGCCGGTATGGAAGATGGCCCGCCAAGCAACCTGCTCGTCGCCGATCGTCTGAAAATGCTTCGAGACCATCAGTCTGCGTGGCGTGATCTTAATTGGACGTCTGAAAAGATAATACCGATGATGCAAGGAGGCCTCTGGGAATTGTACGGGGGAGTGCTGGCACAGTCAAGCATGCCACGAGACGTACTCCACTTCACTCGATTACCATCCCAGATTAAGGGCATCGAAGAGAAGCAGTGGGAAGTGCAGCTGCCTGTGCCAATCCGTGACTTTGCAATGGATCCTTCCCAGGACCTGCTTATTGCTATTGGAACACCGAATGACAAGTCAGTAATGAAGCTCAGTATACTCTGCGATATCAGCTAAACAGCTTATCCACTACAGTGGCCTCTACCGGGTACATGTTCTCGAGCTCTCCTCTGGTCAAAAGCACCCAAACACGACGAGCTCTGGCGTCATAGACCACTCAGCTGGTGGCATGGATTTCTCATTCGCCATCCAAATCGCGGGCTTGTTCATAGGGGTCATGTTCATCAGTCATGGGGTGCATGAAAACCAGTTACTGATATGGAACTGGAAAACTGGTATAACTGAGCTGGTAAGTATCGGCGTTCGCTCCATTTATTGAACGCAAAACGCTGACATTCTCCAGTCACTCCACGGCCGAGAAATCAGCTCTTTCGGCTTCTTGACCGACCATCATGTCTTGTTGGCTGTGGTCGACAACCCACTCATTGACCCCGATGAGGAAGGGTTCTCCAAGCCACCTCTCGTGGTGGTAGATTTCACGGCACGCTCCAAGGAACCCACAAGCCTAAAAAATCTGGAATACGAGTGTGCTTTCGATTTCCCGCCCATGCTACCTACGGCCAGCGTCATCGCAGCCTTTGTGCGCTCCGACCCCGCACCCAACTGGACTCCCAGCCCCGAACTCAAAGTGCCGTTTTACACTGCCCGGAGAGACCGGCTTTTCGTAATTACCATATGGGTGGCTGAAGGCGCCGATATCACTGCTCTACTTCTACTCGTTCCAACTTCGACCATCGTTGCCAAGCTTAACTCTCTGCCTTCCGATGAACGTGGGCGGTGCTTCGAATGGGAGGATTGGGGACCAGCAGGGGCGCATCTGCGTCAGGCCCCTCACGAGCACTCCATGGTATGGGTCTGTTTTGTCTTCGGCTCGTCCTTCATCGCGCCGTTCAGACCCGGCGACCCCGAAGCACTGCTACCGCCTGCTGGGTCCAAGATGGTGCAGATCCTCGACTTTAACCAACTAACAATCAAGCGGCTAGTCGCCGAGAGTGTTGCAGTCGAGAGCGAAGTCTCGCACGTAATAGCGAGACCGTCTACTCTTATTCTCAATAGGATCTTCTCGAGCCGAGTTGTCACATCTCTTCCCTATCGACGGCTAACGAAGAAGGTCCCTCGTCACCTGATACGCCCGTTTGGTTCTGCTATGCTCAGTGAAGATGCTATCATCACCGTGGCCAGCGTGAGTGGAGCAGGCTGCAGATGGGTGTCACTACTGCTCACGTATCCGGTGTGTAGTCTCCGGCCGTCCGGCAGTATCGCGTCTTGTCCTTCTGAGTCGGTTGACGTAAAACAAGTAAGTACTGTCCGTTCTGGGCGTTCATCTATCCCGAAACTGACCGGCTTCTTCGAGTTCCACGCAGCTGAGGGCATCGGATCGCATGTAGGGCTCATGCTGGGTGCATAGCGCCCGCTTGTGATGAGACCAGCGGGAAGCTGGTCTCAGCAGAGGGGGACATGCGGAACAACATCGGGCATTGCGAGAATCATAACACCATTCGCTCGTCAGGCTACGCACGGCCGCAGTCCGCCTGTAGGCAGAACGTCGGTACGGCCGCGTGCAGATTCTCGTAAGAGGGACATTCGCCACTGTGTCTTCGACTCATATCACTACGAATAAATAAAGACACTCGTTGTATTGAGAGGGCATGACGAAATGGCAGTAATGACTCGCGGTCCGTATGCGACCCTGTCCGCAGGCCCATCTCTGAGGCTGTTCTTTTGCCATTGGCTTGACGCTCAGCTTCTTCCGACTGAGACTGAGCCTTGGCGCTTAGGAGCGAAAGCGCGGACAGTGCCGTAGAGGACAAGCGAGGGCGGAACGAGTTTTTTCTGCTGCTCTCCTCCCATGACTCATTTATACCTCCGACTCTCCAGCCGTTTCGACATCATCCCCCCCATCCACTATGCTCTCCCATACGACCCGGACTGCCCGTAGGGTATTCTCATCGTCGAGTAATGCCCGATCAGCTCAGACCTTCAAAGCTTTCTACGCCGTGAGTATCACTATTCGATTTATTCTCAAAACAACGCTCATCACATACGTCGCACCCTACAGACTATCCGCTCATTGCGGCAGAGTACACCACCGCCAGATGCGGAGGATGGTGATCTTCCAGACAATGTACGTTGAAGGTGCAATCGCGCAGTCTCCGACCTCTAATACCTTTACGTGCTCGCCTAGGACTTCATCATGTCCATCCTTCGTGCCAACCCTTCTCTAAGGGATACTCGATCATACCTAGCCGACTTTGGTCCGCGACCCGTGAAGCCTGGTCAGCCGAAGACGCAAGCGATGCTTTTGCCCGCTGCTGCTCCGCCAAAACCTACCGCGCCTGAGATCCGCCCTCCAGACATACGGCAGGAAGGGGAGTCTACGACTCAGACTGCCCCAAGTCCAGTCATCGCCTCTATCCTAAACCCTATCTATCGTCGCACATCTCTCGTTAAACTCCAGGGGCCTTTTACCGATCGACAGCTCGAGAGTATTGCGCGAGGCATGGTCTATCTGGAGAAGCTGGGACTTGTTAGCGTTATCGTCGTCGAAAACGACAACCTTGTGCGCGGAGATGTTGGCGAACGAGCTGCCATCATAGAAGAGACGATGCGCGTGGTCTCCGCTTTGGAGAAGCAAGGCGCGAAGGCTCGCCCCGTGCTCGGCTCTGTAGTACGATTGGGACCAAAACCTGGAGACGAAGATTTGGGTGGCTCCGCTCCCGTTCCTGAGGCCCACACCTCCCCCTCCGATCTTATCCCCATCCGCTCAGCACTCAGGTCAGGAGAGATCCCTGTTCTCCCTCCTCTGGCCCTCGACTCGTTTTTCCGCTCCGTGCGCGTGGACGCCAACGATGTCGTTGCTGCTCTTGTTCGCGGTATGGTAGAAGCTGCTGCTCAAGAAAAGAACGGAACGTCTTCGCCTAGCACTATCGAACGCCCGGCCTTCTCGGACGAGGACATTGACCTCACTCCCCTGCGCTTGATGATCATCAACAAGGAGGGTGGCGTTCCCTCCTACGCCCGCTCTGGCTTGCCTCACCTGCTAGTAAATCTCACGTCGGAGTTTGACTTCGTCAGGAACACCTTTGACCCTCGCTGGAAGTCCACGCATCCCTCGGCTCTCTCCAATCTTTCCCTCGCTCACACATGTCTGAGTTACATGCCTCCGACGTCTTCTGCGGTCATGGTCTCTCACAGGTCCCCTAGTTCTCTGATTGCAAATCTCATCACCAACAAGCCTGCGGTCAGTTCCAGTTTGCCTCACGCACTGCTGCAAGGGAACCGGAAGCTCGACTTCCACACGCCCACCTTACTCCGCCACGGTCTTGATATGCGCGTCATCCGCTCGTCTGCAGACATCGACAGAGTCAAGCTTAAGGTGCTGCTTGAGCAATCGTTCAAGCGCGAACTTGACGAGCACGCCTTCTGGGACAGGCTCGACAAGTGCCTCGACTTTGTCATCGTCGCAGGCGACTATGCCGGCGCGGCTGTCGTGACCACCGAACAGTGCCCGTTGGGGTCCTCGGGTGCCTGGGCGCCGATCACGTATCTCGACAAGTTCGCCGTGCTCCCTAATCACCAGGGCGACGGCACGGTTGACTTCCTGTGGGTCGCGCTTCATGACGAGTCGTACGGGCTTGGTCTACCGTTCTCGGCGAACCCGAACGGTGGCAAGGAGGGCAAGGGCGAGGGCCGCGACCTCGTCTGGCGCAGTCGTGCGGACAACCCCGTGAACAAGTGGTACTTCGAGCGCAGCACGGGCCACCTGCGCATGGGCGACTGGGTGCTATTCTGGTGCGATGCAGAGAAGAGGTTGAAGACCGAGGAGGGCCGCCGCGGGAGCCAGGGCCTATCGTATCTGGAACATTGGGAGCACGGGCGATTGTCTGCATGGTCGGACGTCGTCACGAAGATCCCTTCGAGCTGGATGCCGAAGAAAAAATAGAATCCTCGATGAGCATGCTGGATCTGTCTCGTCGCGGCCTGTTTATTGTTATTCTGGATCAAGTCATTGTTGGAAATGTATCCATATCACAGCCAGTTAGTCGTTACTTAATTTAGATGGCTGTCATCGTATGAACACTCACGTAGAATTAAATATATCTTGAGCTTGTTACCGTCAGGGCTTGAGCGCATCTAGCATCGTGAGAATGCAGTACAAAATGCTCCCAAGTCTATTACAAACAGGGCTATAAACAACAGTTGCCTCAAACGAGATTACATATCCCATGTATACGCAGCTGGTCACTTAAAAGTACTTTTCCATGAATTTCTTTGATGCCTCGACACCCAACTACATGGCTTGTTAGTGAGGTTTGCTGGCTTGTACATGAGAAAACTCACGAATGTTGCAGCGTTGGCAGGGAATGCTCGAGCCATGGCGGGACCAAGACCCTTCCAAAGCGCACCGACACCATCTGCTGCTATGGTCTTGCGTGCACAATCCAAGAAGCCAGAGTACGTGCCAGTGGGCGCAGACTGGATCCTGGACTTGAGGACCTAGCGAAATAGATAAGGATTCAGTCACCGGAGCATTGTCCAGTGAAGAACAGTGGCACGTACATCTGGTGGAATGGCTATTGACCACATGGCGACACCAGCCATGCCCCCGGCGAAGATAACAGCGCCAAGATTGAGGTCCTTGGAGCCGGCAGGAGTCATCATGCCCTTGATGACCTCGTAGGCAGCGAAGTATGCCGCACTTCCAGGACCGTCGCGCGCGATGGTAGCGACGGAACCGCGGTACACGCTGCGCAGACCACCCTCTGCGTACAGGTGCTTCACAACGTCGAAGACGCCCTTGTACTGGGTGCCGGATCCACTCTGGCCTTGGACCTAAGCTGTCGTGTGAGCGCAGCATCCTTCTCTGAGAGGTTGTGAGACTTCGTACCTGGAGTAGGACCTTCGCTCTCTCGACTGGAGCAGTGACGAGCGTTGCGGGTATCGCAGAGAGGAAGCCTGCGGCCGCGTACTCTGCAACCGAGAGCTCCTTGCTCTTTCGGTGGGGAGTCGCAGCATAGATAAGGGCTTTTGCTGTGTCATATGCCTATTCACGCCCAAAATGTAATAGGCATCGCTTCTTCATGCTATTTCGAGTGTACGCACCCAGAAGGAGACGGCGAAAATGGGGGTCACGCCAAGTAATGGTGGGACAACTCCGCGATATAGACTAAATACAAGATGAACTCCTAGGCCGATAGAACAGGAAGATTCAGGACACACCCAGTGGCACCATCGCGAGCCAAAGCTTGTTTTACTACATCCACCGCTCCCTTGTATGCCCCTGGTGGTGCAGTCTGTAGGCGAGTCTTGGTCAAGTCAAATGGATGTCCTGGTCGATATTAATGAAGTTATTTGGAGCTCCAAAAGAACGAAGCATTTGTAGCACACACCGACAAGCACTGCTGCGATTCCCCCGACTCCTCCAGCGACGAACGATTTGATTGACTCGGCGGTCGAGCTTGAAGCTGTCTTGCTCTCGACGGCGGGGGTTTGTGTCGAATCCTTCTCAGGCTGTGAAGGACGTGATCAGAGGAGCCCATGCGCACAGCGTAGAACTCACGAACCATGATGGAGGGACTACGCAGAAGAACAGCCAAGCTGAGCTTTATGGGCCGGCTCCTGCGCGAGCTAACTTGAACCGGTATCCCATCGCGAATTTGGGGTTCTGGCGCGTGATTTTGATTTTCCGTTCTACCCCCACAGACTCACCGAGCTCCCGGTTCCGCCCCATCGAGTGCCATATGGTAATCGCCGATTACGCTGGAGTGGACAGGAAAATTAATCTGTACATGTACACCTACATAAGATCTATTCTACATAAGCCCCAGACATCCAATATCGAGGGACAAGTTCAATCCTGACACTGTTCATAAGTAGAAGTGATTGAAAGTAAAAGCAGATATAAGTATGAGCTATTGCTCTTCGTCCTCTTGGCTCTGGGCGAAACCACCTATCGGCTCGTACGTGGCTTCTGTGGTGTCTCTCTGCCAGAACTTCCAGACAGCGTAGAAGAACGCGAAGTTGAGCAGCGTTCCGACAAACGCAATCGCAACAGGCCCCCCGTACTTGACCCATGGCGACGGGTAGTACGGCAGAAGCAATGTGTCAATCTGCACAACACCGCCTGTTCCGCCACCTGTCGTCGCCCGACCCCACGCGGTGACACGGGCCCAGTCGTTCTTGCCATCGGCCCCCCTCGCACCCTTGATTCCTACGACAGTGTTCCCACCTTCGAGGACGCGGAAGACAACGTCCGAATAAAGCGACTCCGTCGTGCTGGTCAGGAGGGTCGTGTACGAGGTCGAGTCGTCCATGACAAGGGGTCGGTTCTCGTTGACTGTCGCAGCGAGTGAGGTGTCGTCTGGGGGCGACCGTGAGGGTCGTTGGACAGGGATGACATGTTGGAGGACTACATCCAGAGTCTTCTCAGGGTCCTCATAGAGTTCTGTCAGGTTGAGACCTTTAAATGCTTCGTCCGGTGGACAAAGTACGGTCCATCCCGCGCCGTCTAGACCCATATCCGCCCAAGGGGTTCCCTCCGGAGGAGAAGTGCCGTTCAATATCCACTCGAGACCCGCCTTAGTCACAAGCGAAATCATGTTCGTCCCCTTCGCGGCGCGCATGAGTTTGCCTATCGTGAGGTTGATGGAGCGTGGGATCATGACCTCCGAGACTTCGTGTATAACTCCAGTCTCCGTGAGAGCGTCCCTGGGATAGAGCACGGAATGCATGTCGGCCCAGCCGCCACTTGCACTTAGCAAGATGGTGGAATTGTCTTTGGCTTTCTTGCGCTGAACGTGCAGATCTGAACCCTCAAGGGTGGCGTACGTCCGCTGCGAACCATTGACCAGACCTCCAGCATATTCCACGCCACTGATAACGTGGTGTCGGATGACGCTTTCCAAGTCAGATTTGGAGGATGCCGCGAGGAGGTGGGTAGTAACGAGCATGCCTAGTCTCTGGAAGGCGTCGTTGTATGGCATGAGGAAGGTCGTGCGAGAGGTGTTCCTTAGCTTGTCGGCCAAGCTGGTTGAGAAAATCGCAGTAAGGAAGGTGGAGTAATCGAGCATGGGAACCGCGGTGGCCAACGGGTCTACAGGTGGCGTGAGCGGTCGCGCAATGAAATAAATCAAGGTATTATTGATTTCCACTGCCAGATGGGTCAGCACAGCAGTAATGGTAGATTGATATAGCAATTTGTACCTGGTTCGCCAATGATGCTCGCGCCACCGAACGTGATGGACGACTTCTCGCGAACACTTTCGCTCACGTCCACACTCAAGACCTGCCGACCGCCATCTAGGCCTGGTTCCTCAAGCGCAGTCTCTAGGAGCATGCCGCTCTTCAGCTTCTTCGATGCCTTCTTTCCCGGAATAAAATGGTACTGTAGCATCTTCCTCAGTTCCTCACTACCAGGAGCGGGAAGGCCATTGTCCCCAAGAATATCGAGAACATCATCTCGGGGAGCGAGAATAGTCCAGTGAGCGTCCGTGTCATTGATTAGCGAGGTGAGATTAACGGTGTGAAGGAGAGAGACGAAAGATGTGCAGTTCAAGACCAGGAGGAATTTCTCAGGATTGAGTTGAAGCGCTTCCGGCGGGACGAGAAGCTCGGAAACAGTGTGAACCACACCGTTCGATGCATAGATGTCCGGCTCCACGAGCTCCGCAAACGATATGTTCGTCTTTCCATCTTCTTCCGAGTGATGGACCTTTAGTACCTGACCGTCAATTGTTGTAACTGCATGTGGCAATTAGAGAAATAGTGGTCAAAGGACGTATAGCGGACTTACACTCCGGAGAAGAGGAGAAAGATTCGGAATAGTGAACTTGTTTCGCCTTCTTCTCGACTGCGAGCATGTTCACTATACGAGTCAGATCGTCCGTGGCATATTTGCTTTCGAGGTATAACCGTTCGTAATATGGCAAAGCCTCCCATGCCTTGTCTACCGGGAGAAAGAGTGTCATGTCTGAAGTAGAGTTGAGGAACTCGACCAGCTCAGGAGTGAGTATATTCTGAAGGTACGATAGTGACGGGTGATGCAGGATGACGGTAGCTAGTAGCTCCCAGTAAGTGTGCATTGCTTCGCTATTGATGCTCGAATGCGTACCTAGGTCTGGTGGGACCTCCAGCACATTATCTATTCCAATGAGCAGTCCGTTCGACGCCTGCACGAGCTCCTTGGTCACTGTTGCACCCCCTTTACCAAAAGCGTCCACCCCGACCCGCGCAGCAGCATTTCTCGAAGCAGCTCGTAGGCGCTGCGGCTCACCACCAAGTGTGCCACCAGGTACCGGCATCCATGGAGGATATGGCGGAGGGTCTTGGGAAGGCGGTTCGGTAGGTTTCCGTGGGAAGTGCATGGTCTTCAGCACACTGGGATCCTCGTTCTCAGGCAAGGAGGACAGAGTGCAGTTGAGCATATGGTAGAGTAGCTCCTGCCGCAGCTTCTCTTGGATGTTGTCTCGTGGTGCCAGCTCCTCATTCTGCAGTGCACTTAGCCAGAGTGCGTTCGTCGTCGCGTGCCTCTTGATGGCCTCATTAGTTGGTGCGAACAGAGTCGTGGCAGTCAGCTCGTTCAGCGTTGGGATGAGCTTGGCAAGCTGCAACAAGCCCAGCAACGATGTGTAGTCTGGATCCGCGGAGAGTGCATCAATGATGTTCGTCGATAGAACGGTAGCGTTTGTCTGGAAGGTGATCTGCGTTGAATACGCGACGGGCAGCAGCGCGAGCAGTGACAGCGGGAGGCTGGGTAGATGCATGGAGGATGAGCGTCGGAGCGTGAGCTGCGAGCTCCTGCGCAATAAGTTATATCTATGCGTGCAGCCCTGACCGCAGCGTGTAGTAGATTCACGAGCAGGTGAGACCAAAGTGGCAGAATCCCCCCGTGCGGCGTGCGCAGACTGGCGGATCCGGACGCCGGGCGGCATGACGCCCATCACGTGGCCAATGCACGTGGAGCCGCGCGCGCACTGCGCGCCCGGTCGTCTGCCGTACTCCTCGCAAAGCGCATGAAATAATCATCTTAAATACAGCTACCGCTAGTCGTCTCTTCTCAACCAGCATGCTCGATCTTCTCACCGCCTACACGAGCTCTCCGGCAACAGGCCTGCAGCACCTTGCCCTGCCTCGGGAAACACTGCTGGCGAGTCTACCCGCCATCACGTCCCCGCGCTGCAAACTGAGATAATAACTCCTGAAGCTTCATCCCTCCCTCGATTCTATCATCATTCGGAATGCAAGAACGCTTATTTTCATGCAGGCCCTCGCGTTCTGGGAAGCATTTCCAGGTACATTGCACGGAAATGAAGCTATACGCTGTCTTGCCGTCGATCCAGGCATGAAGCTTGTACGTGTTACTCTTGCACAAAGCATTTCAGACCCCTAGAATCTCAAGTCGCCGCCAACCCAGATCGTAGCCACGATGGGCGTGCGTTTGGCGACATGGGCCTTGTCTGGTGTGCGAGGTGATACATGGCGCGTGCACTCGACGCTGGTCTTGCCTGAGGGAGGCCCTGTGATTGCAATAGATTGCAAGTCAGGTATGTAGATCGCTGCGCCCGGTATATTCGCTCACCGTCTCGTATCACAGGGTTGCTTGCTATCAGCACTACCAGTTCTCTCTCAGTCTACACACTTATCCTTGAGAACGACCTCCCAACGTGGTCTAACAAATGGACTTTATCGTGAATACATTATCGTCGACAAGCCACACTCATACAGCTTACCATGATCATCTCAGCATATCAGGACTGTCACGCTTGCGATTATCCCCATCTCTTATGTACATTGCGAGCACATCTACGGTATGTCACGAGAATGACTCGCCAGCTACTCTCACTCACCTCTTTCGAAGCTGGATAATGTCGTTCGTGTGTATTTGACCACAAGTGGAAAGCAGACGCAGCAAATACGACACCCAAGACCGGTAATAGATATGAACTGGAGACGTTCGCCAGCTTCCAGTCGGTCAGTTTGCATTCCTGTGACTGTAGTGTGTCGGACTCTAATCAGTGCTGCGATAGAGACGATCTGACACTGTATACCATAACTTTAGACGCTACCCTAAGAGTTTATCTCCCAGTCATCGACGCCCCTCACCGAATGCATCTTCATGCATCTTTAGATGTGTACTCTGCCACACCATCTTCCATAGCCTCTCACGCTACGAGCTCCCGCATCTTCTGGCTTGATCGAGAAGTCATGTCCGAGGCACTCGTTGCCGCCTTATCTAAAATCAAACCAGAACAAGAAGATGGGCGGGGCAGACGGGTGAGCGAGATTCAGGAGGAGGGCTGGGATCTCTTCCTGCGCGTATTTTCAGACGGCTCGCTTGTCGTGCAGGCTGTAGCTGTAAGTAAGCTTAGGTCCCGCAGTGCTGCTTACAGGCTCAATATATGCGCTTCAGAATATTGATCGACGTCCTCCAACACTCCTAAAACAATTCACTTTGCTGCACTCTGCTCCTTCTACTCTTCCCAGTATTCCCGACCATCTGTATCTCCTACCAAACCCTGCCGATTGTGGAACGCCCAGCCTGGTCACCTCCGCGCCGCTCATGTCGCATAAGCTCGACCCACTACCATTCTTCGATGCCTGTTCCGACGGTCTTGCGCTACAGGGCAACGTTCAAGATGTGCGAAGTAGGCACAGCTCTGCGCTTCCTCGTCGAATATCACGATTTGTGCGCACTCCGGATGGAGAAGGGCTGGGTATACTCAGACAGGATGGCACTGCAGAGGTGTGGAAGACGAGTCCTGGTGCACGAAGGGTCTTCTTGCATGCCGCGGTTACTGATAGTATAGAACCAATCACTATTATGGCTGTATTGCAAGGTGGTATGTGATCGCTTCCAAATTGCCCCGAACAATGCGCTAAGTCCTGTGCATTAGGCCAATACTTCGCGACCTACTCCAATTCCTCACGTACTGTGACCTTGCAATCGGCACATGCTTTGAAATCGTCTTCTGTAGAGGTTCCTCCGATAATGTCGCTCTTTCCGCTGCCATCGTCTGAAGGATTGTCGGCCTCGTTCATCGCCATTACCGAGACGCATACAATATTGATCTTCAATGCGTTTCTTCCTGAGCCCTCGTCGATGCCTTCGGAGAACCCCGCCATCTCACTCTCGTTGCACTCCGAGACCTCTCTGCCGCTCACGCTCCGTCTCAAGACCCTCGTTCCTGTGGATCCCATGGCATGGTCGAATCCAGACCGGATGAAGACTTTCGTTGGTTCACATGACGCACTGCTCAGTGTTAGTGAGAGCGGAGAGCTTGCTTTCTGGATACCGGATGTCTCTTCGAAACCCGCGACGTGGAGATGCACGGGACATGTGAGAACAAGGAGAACGAACATTCTCATGGCCGCGTGCAGTTCAGCGAAGAAGACAATCCTTGGTAAATTACCATTTAAACGACGTGATTCAGGCTCGCTGACGTTGAAGGAAGTGTGCAAGACTAGTGAAGGGCAGGAAGTCACTATTTGGAACTCAACAGAGTCTGAGTTCGCCACAGGGCTGGAATATCGTCGGGTGTACGGGTGGGTTCTGTGGCATGTCGTGCCCATACCTCCTTAACGTTGGCGTTTTCTAGCTCTTCGGATCCCATCCTCGACTTAGATTGGACTGCTACGCCGGATGGTCAGTCGATCCTTGCCGTCGGATATGCGCATCGAGTAGAGCTGCTCTGCCAACAACGTATGACCTACTTCGATGATACCCCTGGCTGGGGCATATGCTGGAAGATCGATTTAACTAAGTGAGTACCGATGGCTGGCATGGAGTCTTTATGACAACAAACTTGCTGTTAGTACCATTCCACACCAAATCAATGATTCGATATGGCTCAAGGGCGGCTCGCTGCTGGTCGGTACTGGCCATCTGATGTCTCTATATGGCCAAGTGCCTTCGATAGCTGACAGCCGTGAGGAAAGCTTATTCGAGCACGTGGCACGCCACAATGGACCTTTGGACGAGTATCATCCACAGATGATACTGCAATGTTTATTGTGGGGTAGGTGATTATTGTGCTTGATGTGCGTCTATATTCTAATGATATATTCGCGTCTCTCTAGAGAAGGTGGAACTGGTCAAGAATATCGTTATCAATCTAGCTAAGAACATCAGGTGGACAAGGGATACTTACGAATGGAAAACATTACCTACCGAGGAGTTCCTGAAGAAGGACGAGACTGCAAGAGCAGTAAGTTCATGATAGTCTCCTCGTCGATAAGTATCGATGACCGTTGTTATAGATCCATGCCTCATCTAAACCTCGTTACTCCAGCCTCTTCACTGTGCCTGAGACAGCGGACGAGTAAGTAAGCTGTCCCTTGAGCCGCAAGTGAACCATAACCGGCTAGCAGGTCCGATGCAGAGCAATTCTCTTCTGACCTTGTTCAGAAGCTCGTTGAGCGGCTGGAAGAGGAACCGCTACCGCATCTTACGCCAAATGAGAAAGATGCCCTCATAGTACTCATGCAAGCCACATTGGAGGTGAGCGCTTTCTGATTGCTCCCCACACGCATTTACGATGGGTTGCCCGTAGATTGAACGACAACGCCGCGCGTTAGATTCCAATGGTTTGCGCTATTTGATCTCAATGCGCGTCTTTTACATCTTCAATCGGCGTCTGTCGTCTCCAAGTTCTCCCAGTTCAAATGGGACACTGTCTGGCCGGACGCACAAACGCGAAAGGCTGCGATACCGAGACATGCTGTGGGCTTTCCATAGTGAAAGTCAAGGGCTCCTACTGTCAACCTCCGTAGCGTCGTGCGAAGGTCAGAAAATGCGCTGGTCAGACGCAAGAGCTTTGGGCGTGTATATCTGGCTACGGTCAATAGAAACAATGGTGCATTCAGCCAGACCCTGTCCTTCCAATCGCTCTCACTCATTGACTCTCAGAAAGCTCACATGGAAGTGATAGCGCGCAATCAATACATGGCTGGCGACAACCGTGACCCGACGGAATGTAGTCTATTCTACTTTGCACTCGGCAAGGCCAAGCTGGTCCACGGGCTTTGGCGACAGGCATCATGGCATAAGGAACAGAACCCTATGCTCAAGTTCCTCAATAATGACTTCTCGCAGCCTCGCTGGAGAACGGCCGCGTTGAAGAACGCATTCGCTCTTCTGAGCAAACGGAGATTTGGTAAGAGTTCACATCGGATTTGTGAGCTTAGAGGCTGATATAACATGCTGTAGAATACGCCGCAGCATTCTTCCTACTCGGCGACAGTCTGAAGGATGCCGTCAACGTGTGCTTGAGGAATCTTCAGGATTTTCAACTGGCTATCGCACTTGCCAGGGTAGTCGAAGGTAGCGACAACGGTCCGGTCCTCAGAAGCATTCTCGAGTCTGCTGTCATTCCAACAGCGTTCAGAGAAGGCAATCGCTGGCTGGCAAGTTGGGCGTTCTGGATGTTACACCGCAGAGATCTTGCGGTTCGGATACTTATAGTGAGTACCTTCTTAATAGCTTTGACATTCCTTTAACCCTGCCAGACCCCACTAAGCGATATGGCTAACGTATGGACGGGTATCACTGAAATCGGCGAGTCGCACTACGACGACCCAAGCCTCGCACTGTTGTTCTCTCAGCTCAAGTTGAAGACCTTGCAGACGGCGAAGGGCACTAGCGAAGTGTCTGGACGTACGGAATTCAACTTTGTCTTACAGATTGCCCGCGTATTCTGCAGGATGGGTAAGCCACTTCTGCGATCATCGTTTCTTCAGTCTTACCATCAGCAACGCTAGGATGCCACGCACTGGCACTTGATCTCGTGAGAACGTGGTCGTTTGAGAGGCCGTCAACAGTGGTGCACGATTCGCCAGTCATCCGTCATCCACCAAGTCCCATCATAGCACGCTTCGCTCTAGAACCGGGTATGCGTCGGCAGTCTTCCATCATGATCGACATGGACATCCCCACCGAACCGCCTACTCGCTCCGCTTCTCCCATCCGCGGATTGCCAAATGGCGCCGGACCGTCTAGCGACGCGGAAGTCCTCGAGGAAAGCAACGGAGACCTGGTTGCTAGAAAGGCTGGTATGGGACGACTGCTGAAGTCTGCAAAACAGGATGTCCAAGTACCAGAGTTCGACATGAATGCCTTCTTTTAATACACGACACTTCCTTACACGCCAAAAATGTTCATTCATGTTTTTCCCCAAAATCCAGAACACGCTGCAACCTCTATGAACTGTGTGACTATGATTTATCCGCTGTTTGTACATGATGGGGATGATTAAACTGGTACTGGAGAGTCAGAGAACGAAAGTAAGTGTTGTAGTGTGTATGAGCTTATGCCTCAACGTTGACCTCGCGCTTCTTCAATACGATATCTTTGCCAATCATGCGCTTCCAGACATCATGGACATCCTCAACGACGGTCTCGAAATGGGATGTCGCATCGTAGGAGCGGGTGATGAATATGCCGTCCTCGGCACCGGATGTCGCCGGTGTAAACACTGGGCTGACAGTGACGAACCTGAAGAAGGTAACCATCAGTTCTGCATATCGATAACTGCGAAATGATCGACTTACTTGTCGTGAATCGTTCCGAGGAGCTGGAGGCCCGGCTGGATTTCAAGCTCTGGCTTGTCAGTCTCGACAATGGTGGAGACAATCGCGATGTAGATGTCCTTGGCACAGACATTGTGCGTCGACGAGACCATGGCAATGTAGATGTCTACCGCGATCGTTCAGCGCAAGTCCAGGAATATGACCGCTCGTAACTAGCTCACCATTCTTCCTGCCGACCTGGCCCTGAGGAATGATAACCTGGGCGCTGTCCGCATCGTCCGTGCCAGGAATGGGGTGCTTGAGGATGCAAATGGCACGAATGACCTTGCCCTCCTCAAGGACACGCTGCTTGCCCTCCGTCGTCTTGCCTGCACCAAAGTAGCTCGGGTCACCGACAACCTGCTTGGCTTTGACAGTCTCGTTGCCACTCCGCACACCAACAAACTTGCCGCTCTCGTCGGTGACAATCTCGTCGATCGCCTTATCCAGCATGTAAGTACCGCCGTAGATGGCACTGAGACGGGCGAACGACTGGGGGAGCTCGCCAAGGCCGTAGAGAGGGTAGATATATGGCGACTTGCCGTACCGGGCCATTGACGATGTGTACAAGATGATACGCTCATAGGTGGGACGAGCGGGCTTATTCTTGTAGCTACAGTCTTGATTGAGAGGATATCATGTTATGAGCCTTCACGTCCACTTACTCGTCAGTAAGATAAAGAGCCATTGCGTGGCCAATAAAGTCCTGAGTACCGGGCTCCAGGCCGAATTTCTGGTAAACGCTGCTCATGGTGTCCTTGTCCAGATCGACACCTAACAACCCAATAATCATGCAATCAATGATATGTGAGTGATTCGGCCTAGGACATACCCTGGTGAGTAGCAGGGTCTTCGTCCTTCCACCCCTGAAGGAACTCGAAGAACTTCTTGGCCCGCCGCTTTTCAAAGAGACCCATGAGAGGACTCCTCACTGCCTCCATTTCGTTACTTGGGACCTTGGAGATCTTGCCATCGCGGTACACATAGGAGCCGGCAATCTGCTTGAATTCGAGATAGCGGGTGACATCAGTGTGGACGAGGATCTTGGTGAGCTCGCCAGACGCGATGATGAACTTGGGGACCAGATCAACGGCGTAGTCGCGGTCGCGTCCCAATTCAGAGGGAGGAGTCTCATCTGGCCGGAACTTGCGATACAGCTGTCACAGCGTCGATATCGGCGTGATGCTCGACGAACATACTACGGCAAGATACGTACCTGGGTCAGGTTCAGACTGGCACTTTCGCCACCGTAGTAGTCGTTGCGATCCATGTGGAGGACCTTCTTGCCCTCAACAGAGAGCAGGCCGGAGAGGATACATTCGGTTAAGCCAGTACCGAGCACGACGACCTGCAAAGCGATTGTGGTTAATCAGGCTGTGTGCAGAGATGAGCTACGGTGGATTACATCGTATTCTTCATCCATGGTAGGTCAGATGTGTGTTTGTGAATGTGCGGACGATGCTTGAGAAGAGAGACGGAGGTTGTTGGTTGCTGGCAAGGTGAGGGACTTGATATTACGCGCTGCTATAAGTCTCATCGATCCACCTCACACGTGGCTCTCGCCTCGCGACCGCCGCAGAGCTTCGACGGGTAAACCTCTCACGGCGGCGGCGACCGCATTATGCAGAAGACTACATAATCGACGGAACGAGTACTACACATCGTAGGTATTATATGACAAAGTCGCAGGGGAATGTACAGAAAAGAGTAGCGATGAGAAAAGAGTAGCGATGATCTTGCGGCTAATGGGAATGAAACCAAAAGGAATCACAACGAGGGTTCGTCTCGTGTCCGCTTAGACGACTGACTGTCTTCTTCCTCATATGAACGCACTCGTTTCAGACCAGCGGAAGATGTCTGCTTCTTTGCCCAGCTCGGTACCGCCTTTTGTGATAGCACGGACTTGCGGGCAAAGCTTCTTCTACGGTACTTGCGAGCAAGATTGTTGATGGCTGGGCAGAGCATCAGTCAACGAAATCCTGCTAAAGGCTAAGTTACCTCTCGAATGGACGTGAAAAATCTGTGCCCAAGCCTTCAAATTTCGTTGAGGATACTGAATAGTAAAGTGTTACTGGTGGAGGTATAACTGCTTGCCAGATATGCTTACTTTATCTACAATGGACTCCCATCTGTCCTTGTAGCTCATATGGTCCCAGTCGGTACCAAATGCAGCGATGTATCGAGCGAGGACCCTTTTGTCAGCGTCGTTCAATGTCCTTCCAGCACCACTCATGTTCTTGATATCTTCTTCGGAATCTGTCTCCTCGCTTGATTCTGAAGCACTGGAAGAATACTGCGAATCAGTACCGTCATCGTCCTCTTCCGAGTCTTCGCCCGAGCTTGCGCTATCTCCAGTAATGGGTTCCTCCTTCGAGACATACTCCTGAAAGTGTGGGATGACGGAGGCGTAATAAACCCGTTGCTGCCCCCAGTGGCTCATCCAGGACAAGGCTGAATGGTGCGGGGCCTGGGGAGAGCGTCAGTTACAATCACTAGCCGGTGAGGCGACGGCAGACTCACTTTCTTCGCAAGCTCAGCGCATATATCCAGCTTTTTCAAATTGGGATCCTCCTTGAGTCGATAGTTGGCGTAGCGCACGAACCAATCACGGTCTTCGTCCGTGAACGAGTACTTCTGACCCCGTTTGACAGGGTTCCGAGGTGGTGAAGGCGTGCGCGACACGCGGTCCTTGCTCTTTGCTTTCCCCGTGCGTTCAGTTTTGACTTTCACCTTCGTGTCCGATCGTCCACGATCCGCAGCGCTGACACGTTCGTGCTTGACCTTCACCGGAGGCGAGCTCGAGTGCCCGTGAAGATGCGATGAGCTGCCATTTCGCAGCTTAGAGTCGATTGCTGGCTTCTTCGCCACGGCCACCGGCCGATCGCCGTTACGCTGAGACAGCAAGGAATTAATACGCTGTGTGTGCTCGAGATAATAGTCCTTCCATTGGTTCGCGGTGTGGTTGTGTACCTGCAGATAGACTCTAAGAAAGGTCCTGTAACAAATGCAACGATGGACATATGCTCACACCGTGCAGACCTTCCAAAGCCTGTCTGTAGGTCAAACCCTTAGCGCCACTTTCTCGCAGAGCAGCGACAAGCAGCTCCTCGTCACTTTCACGCGACCCAAACATTCCGCCTACTCCGTTCGTTATGCCATTGGCGGACGCGATTGGGAAGCTTGAGTTTTGCTGCAAGCCAAGAATAGAGAACAAATTCGGCGCGTTCTGTGGCGGTGCGAGAAGTTGTTGAAGTTGCGCTTGCTGAGGAGCTTGTTGGGGGACATAAGATGTAGAGGCTAGTTGAGTGTTTCCTCCTAAGCTAACACCGTCAAGAGCACCTTGGTTCAGCAGGCCTCCGAGCTGCTGCAGAAGCACTGTTTGCAGCTGGCTGTTCATATCAAGCGGGTGGGTTCGAAGGGTTACTTTGGGCAGCTGTGGTCATTCGAATGGAGGATGGGGAATCCGCGACAGCGTGGCAATGGCAACGTGTGGGTCCGAAGGCAGAGCTGAGGACGGAATGAGGAGCATAACCACAACGCCTGCCCCAAACACAAGCACAAATCATGGAAATCTCCGGGCGTCTAAACAGCTGTTTTGGCCACCGCCATTACCGGGTTCCGCACACAACACACGGCGCTTGCACATGCAGACGGACAAGTTCTATGGATTCAGCTCATATTAAAGATGCGCTGGACAAGCACGAGACCATATCCTAGTAGAAAACAAGTGTAATGATGTGGGTATGTCTCCTGAAAATTATGCCAATGTAAATGCAGCGGGAAAGCACGTGGAACAATGAAGATGTGAGCAGTCTAAAGGTCCTGTGTCCTAATCCACGAGAAGAAATTAGCATTGGCCCAAGAAGTTGCTCTTGGGGAATGGCTGCCCAAAATCGTTACGCCAAGTTGTCAAGTTCGGGTTAGTGTACGCTTCGATGTACCTACGAACTAAGTTAGCAAGCTGCGCTTGTACTGTCATGGATGACGACCTACTGGTTAATGTAAGCGGCAGTTGGGAAATCCTCCGGATCACAGCCAATGTTCTTGTTGTCCGGGTCCTGATACACGCGAATCCAGTCAACCTTCAATGTTGTGGGGAAGGTGAGATGGGCGATGTCGACAAAGCCGAAGTTCTGAGACATTCCCAAGTTGGCTATCAAATACTGTTGAAGAGAAATGATAAATGCTACTGCTCCCAGATAGGGAGTGATGCACTCACCATCGGTTCTTGCGGCACAGGGCGAGAGCCAATCTCGACGCGAGGGTCAGCAGCCATACCAGGCTGGTTCAGCTGCCAGGCCATCTGGCCGTCAGCAATCCAGGCGATGTACTATTGAAAGGCCTGGGTTAATCACGAGTTAATCAATACACGTCGGGACTACTCACGGCATTGTCGAAACCAGGCTGATACTGTACGCCATAAACCGAGAATTGGTCGCCGGTCAGCTCATACGCCTCCTGGTCTGGACATGTGGTGAGAAATAGCTCGAAGTCCCGGTCAATAGGACTCACTGGTCCAAGTTAAACCGGAGGTGGCCTGCTGGAAAGCACCGCCCATATAGGGGTTTAGCACAGTGAGGGTGGTGTTGGGAATAATGAGATTTGCAGACGTGTTGAACCATTGGTATTCGGCGTTGAAGGGCTACTCTATCCGTCAGCCTCATGCTAGATCCAAGGCGAAGACTCGCAATAACTCACGCCCCACTGTCCTGACTGAGAGACCTGACCTTGGAGTGGGCTACCGCCCATCTGTATCGTGTGACGTGAGACATTTTGATACCTCAGTACTGGCGCTCTCGGACATACCGTAGCTTCGAAAATATCGATTTCGGGTGCAGAACGGCCGACGTAAGTACCATCGGTGTGAACAGGACCAGGATGCGATTCGCCTGGGCAGGTGCAACGCGAGAGACGCTGACCAGGTAGGTAAGAGAGTACATCGCCATTACTGGGATCACCGTTCTCTGTAGCTGCGATTGGGAGACCATTCATTGTTTGATTCGCAACCGTGCCGACATCACAAGAGTCGTACGAGTAGGGCCACTGAAATTTGGAGTCGTCAGTTTAGTGTTTCGGCCGACAAATAGCCCCCTACCATGCCCTCGAGGCTTGCACCATAACCGGCCCGACCGAGATTACCCATCATCCAAATGGCGGGCCAGAGGCCGACGATATTATTTGTACCGGGAAGAACGACTGAAGCTTCAACAAGGCCACCGGTAAAGCAGAACTTATTCCACGTGGTCATCATACCGCCCGAGTAGTTCAGCCCATGCGTCTGCTGAGCGGACAGCGTGATTTCCAACGATCCATTGCGAGTAGTGATGGATGCCGGGTCGTACCACTCCATGTTGTTTGTTTCCCAGTAGTGTAAGTCGACCGCTTCCCAATAAGGGTCGTCTCCAGGATAGAAAGTACGACCATCAGTGTTGAACTCGTCACTGAAGACCAGTTCCCAGGTCTTTCCGCTAACATAATCGACCTTAGTGTAAACTTCTTCAGGCGTCTCTAGATCGACAAGACCCCAGTTGCCTGGCATCTTGGGCACCTGGGAATTAAGTTGACATCAGAGCGTTCATCTCTACGCATGCTCATGACGTACCTGACCGGTCGCGTTAGTGCCCCCAAGATTGAATCCGCCGAGACTTGTTTGCTGCCTTTTAGTAAAATGGGAGATGAGAGGATATCCGGCACTGTCGCAGAACTTGAGTTAACCGCATAGAGTATGAATTGACAAGCGCAGCTCACAAGAGCATTCCGATGCCAGTAAACAGGATGACCAGACATCCCAAGTTCGCAATGCCACGAGAGGTCAAGATTGTGCCCCCTTTGTCGCTTTTGCGGTCCCGCTTAGGGTCGGGATTGTGTAGTTCGTCGTCAGGTTCCCGAAAATTCGGCGAAAGATTACCGCCCCACGATGACGGGTCTGGCGACATTGCGAACTAACCAGGTAGTGAATGAAGGCTTTTGCGCAACAAGCTAGCTGCTGCAACGTACCTTATCGGATATTGAGGCAGGGACCGGGCTCGTCGAACCTTCGCTTGCTATGGCGTAACGCGAGTCGCTCTGCGACCGCTAAAAGCATCGTCGTGTCAGACATTTAACGAAGACGGTCAGTGGGTGACCAATGTAACGCACAAGAGACGCATTGCTGGCGACGGTACGTATCGACGGTGCACCACCTGGGCTGATGGGAGGCAGAAGGCTGTGAGTTGACGGGGACTGGAGTGGTTGTGACATCGAGCCAAGGTCAAGAGGTGAAAGGAGCGTGGGGGCAGAGGGCTGTGCCAACTGCAAAGAATGGAATCAGGTAGGATGTAGAAAACAGGTCGAAAGGCTGAGCCGTCGAGCGGACAACGCAAAGAGGGATGGTCGTCGTCAAGAATAGCGGCCAAATCAATCACAAGGTTTCGCACGTGACGGATAACGTCTTGAAAAAAAATTCTGGAAGATGCGCACCGTGTGGTACGGTGTGCGGCGACGCGTCGCCGTACGCGCGCGCACGGCTCGCCATGTAACGCGCCGTCGCGGCGCCCGCCGCCGCCAACGACGGAGAGACGAGACTGAGCAGCGCCGACGCCAATGCGACGAGTATATGGAGCACGTGAGCGTGGCGGGGCGGGGCGCTTTCAGCTCCGCCCCGTGACTTGAGTCCGGAAACGCGACTCCGGCTGGAGGACTTTCGCCCGAACTCCCGAGTATTTAAAGCTTTCCGAGCGTTGGTCATACTTTGCTCCACGCTCTGCACGACTATGCATCCTAGGACAGTAACTCGTCTGCGCACTCTTCAGACACGCTCCTACGCTGTTACATCAACGTGTAGGCCACCCCTCAGCGGGCTCAGTGCTGCTGCTCGTTCTCGCGCCGAGAAGCTCTCGTCGGAGTGGCAAGGCACCAGTGCAACAGGGGAGAATACCAAGAATTTCATCGCCGGCGAGTTCGTCGAGAGCAAGACCCAAAGCTGGATAGAAGTTGTTGACCCGGTACGTCCATGTCATCATACTAGGACACCAAGATCATGCTAACAACTATCACTTCTAGGCATCTCAGACACTTCTCACTCGAGTACCAGAGACCGCGAGCTCCGAGTTCGAGCAAGCCGTGACTGCTGCCCAAGATGCTTTCAAGACATGGAGCCGATCCACGGCGCTCACACGTCAACGTTTTGTGATGGAGTATGTACCAATAGTTTTGGTAGCTGTTACACGTGCTAACTCGTCGCCTATAGACTCCAACATCTTCTGCGAAAACACGAAGACGCCATAGCCAGCAGCATCGTTCTTGAACAGGGCAAGACCTACGCAGGTGGGCCAAGGAGAGCTATAGCTTGCCTGTTCTCGAAAGATTAACGAATATTGCGCAGATGCGAAAGGCGATCTTCTGCGTGGCCTGCAGGTGGTTGAGACAGCGACCGGCATTCCCTCCGCATTGTTGGGCAATACCATCGAAGGTGTGTGCTTTCACGAACTTCGTCATTTGCACGCGCTCATGCGCTTCTAGTGAGCAAGGACATGGACACTTCTACTCGTCGTTTGCCTCTCGGTGTATGCGCAAGGTGCACATTGACGCATAAGCGTTCGCCCAGTTTCATTCTTTACTAACTGTCTTAATAGTATTGCACCTTTCAACTTCCCTGCGTGAGTTGATTTCGTTTGTCATAATCAAGACCTGAAGCTTATTCGACTATTTGTAGCATGATTCCTCTGTGGACAATCCCTATGGCTATTGCGACAGGGAACACCCTCATTGTGAAGCCTTCGGAACGAGACCCAGGGGCGGCCATGATTATTGCTGAGCTTTGTCAGCGTGCTGGTCTACCCGCTGGTGTTCTCAATATTGTACATGGCACGGTTCCCACCGTCAACGCGATCTGTGACCACCCAAAGATCAAGGCTATCAGCTTTGTCGGTGGTGATAGAGCTGGCCATCACATATACGAGAGGTCAGTGAGGCGCTTCCTGATCTACTGTCACGACGCTAATGGTTTAGTAGAGGCCGCAAGACTGGAAAGCGTGTGCAGGCAAACCTTGGAGCCAAGAACCATGCCGTGGTTATGCCAGACGGCAAGTAATATTTACCTCACTATCAAATGGTGTGGCTCATAGCCGTCACTTAGCCAACAAGAATCATGCTCTTAACTCTCTCATTGGCGCGGCCTTCGGAGGTGAGCGAAAGACCTAGAATGTGTGTCACGAATACTTATCATCGGTCTAATAGCTGCTGGTCAGCGATGCATGGCCATCTCTGTTGCCGTTCTTGTTGGCAACTCTCAGCAGTGGATCCCCGAATTGGTCGAGCGGGTTAAGAAGCTGAAAGTTAACCAGGGTTTCGAAGGCGGTGCTGATCTGTAAACTACTAATATCTATCTATCAGGCCTTCTCACTAATGATTGTCCTTAGTGGCCCTGTCATCTCAACCGCCTCCAAGGCTCGCATTGAGGGCCTTATTGCATCTGCCGAAGAGCAGGGTGGCAAGATTGTCCTGGATGGCCGTGGTCACCAAGTGCCTGGGTACCCTAACGGTAACTGGGTCGGCCCCACAATCATTGAAGCCACGGCCGATATGAGATGCTACAAGTGCGTACCTGTCCCAACCCTCTAATGCTTCTTACGAATGCACCTCCCAGGGAGGAAATTTTCGGTCCTGTCCTCGTGGTCATCCCGGCAGACACGCTCGACGACGCCCTTGCCATCATTAACGCCAATAAGTATGGAAACGGCACGGCGATCTTCACGCAGAGCGGCGCAACTGCGCGAAAGTTCGAAGTTGAAGTCGAGGTTGGTCAGGTCGGCATCAATGTCCCCATTCCAGTACCGCTGCCCATGTTCTCTTGGAGCGGCAACAAAGCAAGTTTCCTCGGTGACATCCCGTTCTATGGCAGGAGGTAAGCGCGGTTGTTTTCAGCGCTCAGTCCTGGTGTTGACGACGTGCTTAGCGGCATCGACTTCTACACACAGAACAAGACTACCACGGCGCTCTGGAAGGCAGAGGATGCTATCGGCAACGAAGCATCTGTCGATATGCCTACTCATCATTAGACCCTCACCCTTTGTAATTGATGGCTGTAAAATACGTCGTTACACCTGGAATGGATCTCGGAGAACCTCTAGTTCTCCTTGCCCACAACTTCATCCAGGAAGGCATTACTGTACTGCACGCACTGCCTGTACACCTGCTCGAACCCATCCTACCGAGCAGACTTTAGTCACACTACTTCTTACATCAAAGCCAGGGGGTGGATTTACCATGCCACCATAGTATGGATCCGCAATGGGTGCGTTGTCGACATATGATCCCCACAAGCGGACCTCTGCAGTCGCGTTCCTGGGCTTCACGCGATCCAGAGCACGAAGGTTGGCCTCGTCTGAGGCCAGAATATGTGTGAATCTCCTGAAGTCTTCAGTAGACACTTGACGGGCTTCGTGGCTTATGGGTACACCATGCTACATACGCAACTCAGACATCGCCCAAGCTGGGAGATCCGGAGGGCTGTGCGAGCGTACCTTCTTGCATACAGCAACAGTCCTGCACGTCGTTCCGGCATCCTGGTCACCACACAGAACTATCGGGTGTAAAACTGAGAGAGACGCACCGCTCATCTGGCTCCTCGCCGACGTGATACCCAGCCATACCCGCCGATTCGATATGGATGTCGATCCCTCGTTCTTTGGCGACATGCTTAAGCACGGCCTCACCCATGGGCGAACGACAGATGTTTCCGAGGCAGACAACCAGTGCAGAAGGTGCCATTGTCGCACAGCGTAGATTTGAAGAAGTGCAGTACAGATGATAGTAAGGGCAGGTGCAACTAACCAGGTCAGGCATCCGAAGTGCGAGCAATAATTAATCGTGCCGGCGCCGCCCTCAGATCTATGGCTCGCCTCCCCTAGGGATGTCCTCGTGCTAAACCGTCCAGCTCAGAACGGATGATACACACTAGTATGCTATCGAGATAAACAGAGATCGAATACCAAACGCTCTCAGTGCGCGGATTAGCAAAGGAGCTGTTTCGGACGAAGAAGCGGCCGTGGAGATCTTGAGACCTCATAGCAACTTCACCTCGGACAGCTTACAACCGGTTCACGCTGTCCTCTTTCTCCACACAACTCTCAGAATACTCATAGACCATGACTCCCCCACCTATTCAAGTCTTCCTCACCACCATCGCATCACAGGTCGAGCTCAGGCGGCGCCAGGGTGCGTCACCAGCTTACCACCCACGCCGTCCATGTTAGACGTGCCCTGACACTGCACGTTAGAGTACCTCCTGCGCGTGCTGCAGGTCAAGAAGATCTCGTTTACGTCGTATGATCTGGCATCGGACGAGGACGCCAAGCGGCTGTGGAAGAGGAAGGCCCCGCTAGGTCCGTAGCTATGTATAGATAGACCTACGGATGTATTATTGACTGATAGTACCATTCTTGAGCAGACAAACAGCAGCTGCCAGGAATTCTGGTTGGTGGCGAATTCGTTGGCGTAAGTGCACGAATACACTCCATATGCATATGCTTATATCCTCTCAGACCTTTACTGAATTGTGGGTGTATATCTAAATCTGAAGCTCCCTGGGTCTGTCAAGAGCTGAACCAGTCTTGTAGCGAAGATGCCATAGAATTCAATGAGCTGGACATATTCCTTCGCCGCAACGAGGATTACAAACCATTTGCCGACGAACCACCAGTGCAACCACAGCAGCCGATAGGTGTGCCCGGTGCATATTCTCCGCTGCAGATGTTCCCGAAGCACGCGCCCTCGCGGTCACCATCCCCGTCCCCGCAAGCCGCATCAAGGGCTGAGGTAAGGCGCTGCAGACTCATGCGCTGTATTGGACTAATAATTCATCTCGTAGAGGTCTCCTGACGCGCTTCCCGCTGCTGACCTCTATGATGGCTGCGGCGACATTCTTCTTCATTTCATTCGTTATCCTTGCATCTTGCGTTCTGCCCGCTGTTGAATGGCAATTTCACGAGGAGCCACAGCAGGCGGAAGCCGTCTTACATGAGAAACCACCTCGGCCTCGCAGGCGACCCCGAGATGAGGCCAAGCCCGCCAATACTCGCAGGATGGCACCTAAACGTAGCCAGAGCTTTGGCTCATCCAGAACTTCCTTTGTAAGCTTTCCGCCTTTCCTTTAAGCTATCATGTCTTGTTCATGCGCAAAACCGTCTACTCGACAACAGCAGGTTCCTCAAGAAATCAAGACCGAAGAGATATCAGCTGAGATCCCACTGGAGTCAACACCCCTCAGACGCAGACGCTCCAGGTTGTCACAGCCGTCGGAATCTGAAGACTAGCAAGCACATTGTATTATCTCCGGAAGGCAATCCGAGTGTACCCAGCACCATCCAAGATCGCCCACGATTTGCAGAAAATCCAGTTTCCTACAGCTTGTGTCTCGGCTAATCATTCCTTCGCTGGATCGTCTTCCGGGGGCGCAATTTTGACTATGACTGGCGGCTCAGCATCCTTGCATTTCTCGCCTTCTTCTGCCGCCTTCTCATTCCTGTTCTTCTCGCCCCCCTTCGCAACCTTTGCTGCAGCCTTTGCAATGTTCTTCTCCGGCTCGGAAGGTCCCGCAAGCCCCGCCACTAATTCCTTCGCGTCGTCTCCACCCAGCCCGAGTTCTTCCACCAACGCCTGCAGCTCGTCCACCGACACACTGACATTCGCCAAGCCGAACTCCGCCAGCTCATCGCCGGCATTTACTTCGCCCTTCTCTCTTTCCTTGACACTACGACACCGCGCAGCATCGCGGATGACACGCTTAGCTCCCGCCCTTCGCCACTCCTTATGGTCTTCCAGTGATCGCGTCGCCCAATTTCGACGCGCGCGAAGGCACTTACTGTCCCAAATTCCACATTATCAAGCATAGGAATGTTCAACTCAGCCATCCCCGGCTTATTCCAGATAATGGAGAGCGGTGTAGAGAACTTCGGAAAAACTAAGGCCTTGTCGTGCATGTAAGCATCAGTGATGACAAGTAGATAGTCGAGACTTACAGTCCGTCGAGAAGTTGCTACTGTATGATTGTTTCCGCTCGTTATAGTGATGTCCACCATAAAATTCCCTAAGTCTATGTTCGACGGGTTTGTTGGAACTTGCAGGTGTAAGGAAATGTCGTACGCTTGGCGTGACACAAGCGCAGGTAACGAGACACTGGTGTATGGAGATACACCATCACTAAGATTATCATAAGTACGGAGACAGTCGGAAGAGGCTTTGAAAACGAGCGTACCCATATTGAAGGTACAAAGGTATCTCCCATCCCACCGCAATACTTCTCCACACAAACCACCCAGAAGAAAACGAAAAGAACAGTAGCGCAGGAATTGCGGATACAAAGACAGCCAGCGGAATAAGTTGAGGCGCATATGGTCGGACCAAGCGAAACCCCGAAGAGATGAAGTCGACGCAGAGTTTCAAGGGCGTGCGGATGACCCAGGGGTAGTCGGCAAGCTCATCTTGAGCCCGGTCGCCGGATACAACATGTTTTTTGTCATCTGCTTGGATCACCTCCATTCGTGTGAGTGTCTGAGCGGCGTGCTCGCCTTGTCTTGTATCGCGGCTTGGGCGCACGACTGATGCGGAGCAGCGTCCTGCGTCACTGAGACATAGCTATCCCCAATAAGGGAAAAATAAGATAATCATGTGTTTATCACAGATCCAGATCTTACTCAGCGCTTGCCTGGGTGCCACAACGTTTCTTGGCCTGGACCACGACGTCCTCGTCTCCCCATAATAAACTTGCGTAATGAGCTCCGCCATATCCAACCCCCTCGGTGCGCCTACCGGTCTAAAAGACCTTATACAACCGCAGTTCCACCAGAATAACTTCGCGGAAGAGAATTACGTGAAGAATGAGCTCGGGGTCAAGTTGGACAAGGGTGCGTACCGTATGTTCATGCCAGTAAGACCAAGTACTAACTAGAGCCTTTAGATGATCAAATATGTCGTCTGAATCTGTCCTCAACGGGTTGCCCTCTTGGCCCGCTGCACTGTCCACTGAGGCACACAACGCCGTCTACGCAAAATTTTCAGCCGCCGAAGCAGCTGCCCACGCACCCTCGTGAGCGGGAGCGTCTCTCTACGGTCTGCAAGCACTGGCTGCGTGGACTGTGTAAGAAAGGCGACCAATGCGAGTTCTTGCATGAGTACAACCTGAGGCGAATGCCGGAGTGCTGGTGGTACGCGAAGTACGGCTATTGTTCCGCAGGCGACGAGTGTCTGTACGCTCACCCGAAGGAGCGGCGAGTGGAGTGCCCCGACTATAATCGGGGATTTTGCAAACTTGGTAAGTGATTGCTCAGTGTGTATGGCTCGTTATCTGATCGTAGGTGACAGGGCCATCATGCCCGCGAAAGCATGTCCGTAGGGTCGTGTGTCAAAATTATCTGACAGGATTCTGTCCTTTGGGGCCAGAATGTCCTCGTGGCCAGTGAGTACTTGATTTACTGCACTGACTATATCGGATCCTGACTCGATATAGCCCGAAGCCGGATCTACCCCTCCCGAAGGCATACGAGCCCCCAGAGCCACCATCGCAACGCGATTTGGGACCTCCTCCGCCTGGTTACGGTAGATATGCGGACTTCGACCGTGGATTTGGCGGTGCAGGTCCGCCAGGTGCGGGAGGTACTCTTGGTCCTCCCGGCGGTCGGCGGAACTTGGAGGATGTCGTATGCTTCAAGGTAAGTCCGAAACACTGGTTCGCGGCCCCTTAATGTATCTGACTGCAGTTTTCAAGTGCGGTGAACGCGGTCATTACGCGAACCACTGCAATCGCCGCAACGTCCCTGGCAACCGTGGCGGATTTGACAGGGCGACTTATAAGAGATATGGCGAGGCTGAATGAGCTCCTCTCTGTAGTGAAGCTATGTGGTAGATACCTTTGTCCTATTTTTGGGCTACGCTATGCTGGATGTTTCGAATAAATTCTGTTTGAGTGATATCTAGTGCACTGCCTGCCTACTGTTGTGGATATTGGAAGCTCGAATTACTGGCCTTTCCCTACTAGAGGAGGGCTGTCTGCGCCGGCAGAAACCTTGCTTGGCTCTGGAGATATGGAGAAATTGATGACGAGAATCATTTGTCCAGTCGCTATTTCGAGCTAAAATACAGCCATGGTGGCGTGTGTGCACAGAAATAATTTCGGAAAAAGGAGCCAGAGATTCTTATTTCTCTCAATCTATGGCATGTCATAAAAAGGAGCCAGCAATATCGCTTCACCACCTGAATCACTCGTTCGTGCGAAACGTACGGGCCTTCTTCGCAGGCGATCGGTTTGTGGATAAAGAAGCCGTTGGGTCGTTGACTCAGGGCAAAGCGTCGCGTGTGGACCGGCGAGGAGCTTCATATTGACGATGTCAGCTACGAAAGTGTCGGACGCGTCTGCCTTGTTCCTACTTCCGATGAACCAGTGCATGAACGTGAAGTAGACAACCACAAGAGTGTCCTTCAGCTCTGATCGGACTCGTACTTCGCAGGTGGGAGCAGGGTTCCATCGCGATTGTAAGCTGGAATTGGGTTCGCGATGTACCGGCGCCCAGATCAGCGAGCATGACCGACATTGGCTGAAAAGTTTTCTGGAGAGTATAAGATAAGGACAAGTAAGAGGGCAAAGGACTGAGAGGACGGCAACAATGTAAAGGAGAATGTCGGATGAATCGGATCAAGTCGGGTACGTGATTTGATGGCAATTATGCCTGTCCCAACATACCTTGGCAAGCAAGGTAATCCGAATTGGAATGCGGTTCCACCGAGGGAGCGTCATCGCGTCATCTCCCATCAATTTGATCTAGTAAAGCCTACGATAATACTACGACGACCTGCTCTGGTCCGTGTCGGTACTCGATCTTGTTCGAACATCAAATACAGCTTCATGGGCTGGCAGAAGACCTTTACTCTTTCCAGGCGTTCCAAGGGATGCCATCTCGTAACTGAAGAAATACTGGCGCAGATTGCGCCTGGTCTACAAGATGTCCGGGTGAGTGCTTTGTTCTGTTCTAGACTCAAAGCGGACAGCTATGCAGAACTGATATCGATGTACCAGGTAGGAATGTTGTTCCTATTCATGTTAGTATCCTCCGCCGAGTTGAGCTGAGGCTACGAATAACTTTGGATTTCCGTACCGTAGCCAGCACACCTCTGCTGCGTTAACGATCAACGAGAATTTTGATTCTGGTGCGTGACTATCCGCTAGATACCATGCACTGGACCACATCACAGTTCATAGATGTTCGCAGGGGTCAGTAACTCCCGTTCTTCGTGTTAGTAACGGCGCCAAGCTCTCTTTCGCTAATTTGGTTAGATATGGACATGGCGCTGGACAACATTGTCCCTGAGAGCCTGAACTGGCGTCACACAGACGAGGGTCCCGAGTAAGCATACAGTTCTTCATCGTACTCTATCCAAATATGCTGACAGATTCGCACACGGCTTCATAGTGATTCGTACGCATCCTGACCAAGCACTGGCGGCGTTTACTCATACTCCACGAATTAGTGTCTCGCACACGAAGACATCCCTGGTCGGCTCGTCCATCTCGATTCCCATCACTGATGGTCAGTTGAATCTGGGTACCTGGCAAGGTAAGCTACATGGCCAAAACCAAGCCAACAGCAACTGCATAGTGATTGCACTCCCGAAGGCATCTACCTCACTGAGTTCAGGCACGCGCCTCACACCCGAAAAATCGTTGCGACAATTCTGTAAAGTGATACTCTCCCGATACTAACGGGTGCTACTAACGATAACCATCCGCTGTGTCAGGTCATAGGCGCCATCTCGACTGTTCCTCTGCTAGGTAGCCGCCAAATACCGTTTTTCTGACAACTTACGGTCATTTGATGTTCAGCCGGAGTCCACTGCGCGTGGGCTATCACTATCTGTCATTTCTGACAAATAGACGTTTGTGCGTCGCAGCACGCACCATGCAGATTTCGCTACTCGAGAGGTCAGAGACGCGTTGGTATCTTTGCTGCACATTGTGCAGACGCTCTGGCGCGCGGATTAAATTATCTTGCGGAGATCGCTCGCATGCCGGACAGGAGTTGTATTGCCGTGTAGGGCCTGCAAATGAGAGCTTACTGGCCGCACTAAGATGGACTGTGCAGGCTGCGCTTGATATCCCTGTTATGCCATAGGTAGAAGTCGATTGCTCGAGATGAGGGGCAAGGACGCTGGCAACCGGCGACCGACGTGGGTCGCATGGACAGCCGTAGCAGCTGTGAGCAAAGAATTAATAATGACGCGGCTGTTGTCTATAGCCGCCACAGGAGCTCTTAGCTGACCCGCAGCCATCGCTACTAGTATTAGTGCATGTGACAGTTTGGATGTGGCGAAACGATCGATCCTGAAACTCTGGAAATTCGCTGCGGCACGTCGTACCCCGCCTAAGAGAGCCGCTATAAACAGTGCTTGTTGGAGTCCATGTCCGCCTTCGGGTAGACCTGGCCAGAGGGAATCGCTACGAGTCGGAAGGCCACCGCATCCAGGGAATGGCGAAGCGGGGCTGTGAGCGCGGCACCAAGCTGTCGGTACAGGTTCGCTGTGTTTTGAAAACCGGGCGGCAGATTCAGAGCGCGAGGCGAGCCGCCGTGTGTTGGAGAAATGAACAGGAGTGCACAGGTTGCGAGACAGCAACGGCCAGAGCCGAGATCTTCTTCAGGGAGCGGTCGGATGCAGAGAATGGGAAAATAGCACTCGAATGGGGTTTGACGTGATAACGTACGGACGGCACGCGTATAACTGTGCCGCGGGGCAGTCTCGGGCGCTCCCATGCATCCTCTGCCGCGAGCACCCTCTGTGCAAACACTCCCCGTTCGTTAAAACGTTTTCTCGCAGACGACTTCCCCATCCTAGCCTCCCTCTCCTCGACCGCCATACCCTTGTCTGACGCACTGCAGTTACATGCCCAAAGCCTCCGCTTCCACGGGCCGCACGGCTTTGCGCAGAAACCAGGTACTTTACTACTTCTGTCTCCCACCACCCCGTTTCTTACAGTTGCTTGCACCTAGGCTTGCCTATCGTGTAGAAAACGCAAGCTGGTGCGTGATCAGGTCGTGCATGTCTCGAGCTGAGCTCATTAAGTGTGACAGAAGTGTGATGCTGCGCGTCCACATTGCAGTACTTGTGTCAAGTGAGCGTCCCACAGGCCCTCAGGCTCAGTCCGTCTAAGAGCTGACCCCTTATACTATCACAGACAATGGCAAGCACTCATCAGCGTACCCCCGCCTGTTGGATACGCGTAAGCAGACGACGCTTCTTGGACATGTAAACCCATACATTAACCCGTGACCGTGTCAGGCATCCAACTGAGCCTCAGTGCTCGTATGATCCAGTCGAAGGGCTGCCTATAGCACCGGATACCGACCCTACCGAGCGAATCCGTCTCCTGGAAGAGCACATTTGTGAGTATCCATGGCTTCACTGACCTCACAACTTCTCACACACCTTGCTTAGCGCAACTTCGAAATCAGCTCAACGAGACACGGCATTTCAGGTCGGGCTCTGCATCACCACCTCAGCGTCGCGCTTCCTCAAACCAACACATCAGCTCGAGTGCGTCAGTTGGCTCCTCAGGGCGATCTCCCACCCTCAGCAGTCCGAACGGAGGTTCGTCGGTGGTCTCTCCTACCCTGGAGATAGCCAGTGGCGTCTCCATGGAGAGCCCAGTATCGCAGTTACGTGGGTCTTCTGGTAGTCCGCAGACGCTACAATCTGGTGGCAGTCGAGGCAACGATCCAATAATGATGGACGTCCTGTTTTCGGGCTGGGATCCAGATCTACCGGATCCGGAGGTGCTCAATCACTAGTGAGCCGGATGCACACTCTCTACTCGTATATGCATTCTCATCTTGTTGTCTTAGCATCGAAGTCTTCTTCAGATGTGATCCGTGTGGTTCCCGCGTCTTACACAGGCCGTCATTCCTGGCCTCGATGCATCTGCACCCGAAAGATCTCGGTTTCCCTCATTCTGCTGTTTTGCATGCTATCGTGAGTACACACAGTCTCTGCGTAGTTTGATCTCATGGCTTTGTATACTAGTGTGCATCTGCCTCCCGATGGGCTTCCCACGACATCATCACCATGCCAGACGGCACCCGCCGCGACCGCTTTGCCGAATTCCACGTGAGCAAGACGAGGTCCTATATTGACAGAACGATGGCCTCTGGGCAGGACATCTTCCCTGTAATGCAGGCCTGCATAATCCTCTCGTGGTACTTTTACCAGGAAGGCCGCTGGGTCGAGGTTTGGATCTTTGCGGGTTTCCAAACCCGAGTTGCAGTCCCACTGCGGCTCAACTACCCTGGCACGTTCTCCGCTGCGCAAGGTGGAAGTTCTCCCGGGGCATATCTTGCTCCCCCGAAAGACTTCAAGGAGCTCGAGTCCCGGCGTAGGACATGGTGGATGACCATTATGTTCGATCGCATCGTATCTGTGGGCGGATGGCTACATGGCGTAGATGAGCGCGATGTCGGAACAGAATTTCCCCTTCGAAGCATCGACTTTGAACAAGATGTGAGTAGTCGATGTTTGGTCTCAAGTTGTCTTCTGATGGGCTGCTAGTCAAATATTGCGAGCAACCCGCAAGATTTGGCCACTAAGGACGTTTTTGTGCGACACATATCAGCATATACAGACTCCTTCCTGCTCTTCCTAAAGGCAGTGATGCTTTTCGGACGTGTGACTGACCACAATACACGCACGAACTTGCGAGCACCACAACTGAAGAGTCAAAATCCTTTCTCACTACCGGGCTTTGAAGAGCTTGATCGGCTGGTATGCATCGAGTTCCTGCAGTGCATACCGACGAGTTTCAAGCATCTTGGCCTTGGCGAAGGCGGTGCCCTTGACACCGACCTCTACATGGTTCACATAGTACCACATGCGTATGTGTCCTGATACTCTGTGGGAAAATACTGATTTATTTATCTGACCGCAGTGCAACGATCACTCTTCATAATTCTTACATTGACTTCAAAGACTCACAGAGTGTATCGACATCCCGCTGCTTGCACGCAACACGGTCTATTCTCGCCGCATACTACAGTCTCTCCGAGACATCCCTGGATATCAGTAGATTGCATCCGTTTGTCACGGTCAGTGCATGACGATAACATCCTGGGGCCACAAAGCTTATCTTCTCGCAGATTTGTTGGTATCTCGCTGCGGTAGTGCAAATACAGTTGTGCAAATATTTCATAGAGATCAACGACACTGCTAGGGAGTCTACAGTTTGGGGCGAGATCAACGTTTTGAGGTGTGTCTTCCCATTCTCATACGACCCCAGGTGGGCTTAATACCTTCGCAGATTTGCTATGCTCGAGTACGGTAACCGTTCGCCCATTGGCAGTCAGTAATCGCCCTGGTTTCCAACACGGAGTAGCGCAACTTACGTTTATTCTTCAGCACGTCAAGAAAAGCTCCTGCAAGGGCTGATGACCGAGATTGTTCGTATGACCACGCAGATGCACCCGCTCGAAATGGGTGTGCCTCTCTACCCTTTCTCACACTCGGGCGTGTTCCCAATAAACAAGGGCGGTTCCGGAGGAGAGAGCGCAGGCGCACCTCTTCCTGACAGCACGCCGTACGACGAACAGACGAGCGGGTCGCCAACATCGCTTCGGGGCGCCATGCACACGCCGTCGATGAGCTTCCAACGCCAGCAACACGACCAGGCCTCAATGGGCTGGCACTCTCGGCCGTCCACATCCTCAACGGTGTCGAGCACCAGCGCGCGGACTTATATGACGCCGAACATGCATCCTTCTCATTCGCAATATTCGCCATAGTGACTGCGCACTATGCTTTGCTTGTAGTTATGTCAAATGTCTCCTTGTTTGTCTCTTCGCTTTGCCTCGTCGCACTGGGTTCATCAACTGGACATTCACTCTGTGTACGTTGGATATGTAGTAGGTACTACCGCTTCCTCGCCGTGCTTTCCTAGCTTTCCTTTGCTTCAGCTATCTGGACATGCATTTTGCTTGATCTCATGTAACAGCATTATCTCGCAGATCTATCCGTATCACTGCAATTCGCCAGGGCGGACCATCAGGTGGCCCACTGCTCGCACTGTGGCGAACTGAAGTGAGAATTACATACACGTTTGCGTACAAGGAAGCGTTTTTGTCCACAAGGCTCAACTACCCCCGATCTTGCGTTCAGCCTCGAGTATGGCGTCGAAGCGAGCCTGTTCTTGGGCGCGCTCCGCATCGGGGTCAACGGTGCCTGCTCCATTGTTTGCAGACGGAAGTCGCACGTTGTCGGCATTGCGAGTACGCTCATGCTGCTGTCGCAGGACGTCCCACGACGATGGCTGCGCTGCGCGTGCGTTAGCCGTACGGATTTCGTTCCAGCGGCTCTTGGGATGCTGTGTGACTTGTGCAGATGCTGCGGCTGGTACCGACATGAGCGAGAAGGCCGACCGTGTCGCGACTGATTCACCTACGTTCGTCTGTCATTGGGACTACAGCGGGGCTCTGCTGCACAGGGTTTGTGGCAGTCCACGTCACGTCGCTTTCGACAGGCTGCGTCGTGTCGCCGTGCACGTCCGCGCGTGGCACGCCTTCTCGCGAGGGCGCGCCGACCCAACCGAGCGAGCCAGGCTCGCCGCCGAGCCGCCCGTTAACGTTTTGCAGCGCCTGGAGGAACTGCGTGGAGTCGTCGAGGCTTCTGATGAAGTTCACGTGCGCAGAGGCGCGTCGTATCTGGCCCGCGAACGCGCCGACGACGTACGCCGTAGAGCTAATTATGACCAGTCTCGGCTGGTGCCAGCGGGGTTTCTTGTAGAAGGCGCCGTATGTGGCAGTCAAGACCGTCGCGGTAACACCGCCTGTGTACTTGACAGTTCGTGAGAAGTGTTGAGGACGCGGGAGCTAAGGTGTGCTCACAGGGTAGTAGCGATGGTAGCCTGGTAGAAACTTTGTAGCCAGCTCGTAGTCATGCTCAGAGATGGTGCCATTCTCGAGCTCTGGTCGAAGCAGTTCCTCCGCTTTGGCTCGCGTACTGAAGGTTTTGTCGAGCCATTGCACAGTGCCGTATCCCTGGCTCATTCGACCAGCCTCGTGTGCGTTATGGATGGCAACGCGTGAGTTGGTCGTATCTTGCTCAGACTGTACTTGTGCTGATACCCGTGGAGTATGTTAAGGGCTGAGCCAATGTCTCTGTGCGGGTATTCTGGTATGTGTATCTCTAGCCACGGCTGGTTGTTCTCGAGAGTGTCGCGGCGGACTCACAGTTCGTCATTACGGGCGCTTGTATGCTAGAGGCGCGGATCAGGCCGCCGGCACCGCAGACGGGGTTTAATTATTAAAGTCCGAGCTTGAGAGCATGGAGAATCAACAGCGCGCTGGGCTGCACTCTTGGCTTTTCACACTCTCGCCATGCTCGGTATTTTTTTCCGAGGATATTGATGGCGGCCGAGACGAACGTGTCTCGGCATGCGATGTTACGTAAGCTACTCTGGGCTCGGAGGAGCGCCGGCGTTGTCTGCGACTATGGTAGGATCCTAGTCCTCCCATCCCGATCTTTCAAGTTCGCGCTGTTCTCTGCGTGCCAGGCCGTTCCTTTCTCTGCTTCCACCACGCTCCTTCATTTTCTATAATTTCTCTCACATAATCTACACATGAACGGCCATGCACAGCGCGACTATTTCCCCTCAAAACCGTTACCGTCCCCCGCCAAAGACGACTTGCCGCCAATACCCTTCGAGAACGAGCCTGACAACGGCTGGCCTTCTCCTGGTCCGCATGTTCCACCGAGGACTCCTGGCGACAGGGTGAACAGCGCTCCCCGAGGTAAATTCGCCGGCTTGTCTCCCATTGACCCTTCGGCCCTAAGTCCTCACGATGGTATGTCCTCTCGCGTCAATGTATTGCACCCAGATAATGTATACAAACATTCGTCGCAGGCCCAGGCCATTTTGTGTCTGCAATCACTCCGATTAGCCCGGTGGACCCCTCTGCACAGCAGTTCCCGGTGGCCGATGGCAGGACAAAGAAGAAGCTCAATCCACTGACTGACCTCGTTGAGACCGAGAAGATCTATGTCGATTTGTTGACAGGAATAATGCGGGTATGTCTAGTGTCGGTCGATGTTCAATGCCGTTTTGACGTAGGCTGTTAATGTCATAGAAAGTTGCATCGGCATGGTCAAGACAGAACCTTCCACCGCCTGAGCTTGACAAAATGTTCCGCAATATTGAGAGCATCTACAAGGCTAACCGCGCGTTGCTCAATGTGAGTATTCTATGCGGGAGCATTATTTTGTGGTCTGAGGCTCGTATCGCGTCGCTCTAGAAACTGAGAGAAATTGGCGCGAACCCTTCATCACCCAAAGCGCTCGGAGATCTTTTGATGAGATGGGTATGTCAACCAGGAACAGGTTTGGTCACCCATGCTGACGTCTCGGTCAGATTGAAGACCTTGAAGCACCTTACACACACTACGCAGAGACGTATGCCTCTGGCTTCGATGATTGGCAGCCCGTACAGTCTAATGAGAGGCTACCCACGACCCTGGCTATGTTCTCCTCCTCTAACCCTCCCCCACTGCTGTCATCATCACCAGAGCATCCGTCAGAGCCACCAATATGGACTTTAGACGAGTTGTTCCTCCTTCCGAAGGGGCGATTGCGCTATTACAGAAAGCTGTACAGCCGGTTACTCAAGAGCACGACTCCTGGACGTAGTGACCATCGCCTACTGACTGGTGCCCTTGAGAAACTGGATCATTTGTTGTCTGTGACTGATCGAAGGGCGATCATCAAGGTCTGGGGCGATAACGTGCCGCCACCCGCACTCGAGCCTCCTCCGATGGAAGATGAAGTGGTTATTGACCTCCGGACCAGGGACAGTACACTGCCACTGGACATCCCATCGAACCGTGGAAGTGGCTCTACTCAGGGCACAGGTGGTCGTAGCATGTAAGCGAATACAATACTATCATCAGTACTTTCTCATTCGTTATGCAGGAGTGCCGTCTCGCAAGACACTGCTGCATCCTTAGTGGATGCCGATTTCACTGCCGGCTCGTCGGCGCCTCTTCCCGTGAACGATCTAGAGCGTCGGCTCTCGACCGAGCGCACATTGGATATTTTCACCATGCAGCCAAAGGTCGAGTCGGAATATTTCCTTCCAGCTAGTGTACCTCTCTGATATCGTGCCAACTTGTAGCAAGTCAAGCTCCAAATCTCTCCCCCTGTCCTTCATTACACTCGCGAGATATTCGCTTCCGTCGACGTCTACATGCAACTTACTCCCCGTTCCACTGGCATTGAGGTTTCACAACAACGAGGACACGTCTACCTACTGACTGATCTGCTATTGATGTGCGAACACATGTTGCCGCAAGAGGTAGCTGAGCGTGGTCCCAACGGTCCAGATATGTGGCTTCTCTACCCGCCGCTGGCTGGTAAGCACGTGCGAGTTGAGGAGGTAGAGGGATCCAGTAAGCATAAAAGAGGGTGTGCGCTTCTACGGTCATCTAACTGTTTCGCAGCAACCGCGATCGCTGTCATCATCTTACGGAAAGAAACGGTCATAATGCATACCAAGTCACGGCAAGACCGTGACCGGCTGTTGCATGAATTCAGGGAGTGCATTGACCGGGCTTCAATTCGTGAGTGTCGCGTATACCTGCGTTATGCACTCAGAATCTGACCTATGGGTATCTAGTCGTACCAGTGAAGAACCAGCAACCCCCACCTCCGGTGCCGAAGCTCCCCGAACAGGGCGAAATGTTTCAAAGCAACCAACACTTCGGCAATGGACCTCAGTCGCGACCATTCTCACCGCCAGGCAATATGCCTTCTCAATATCATTCCGGGGAGCGCGTGCAGTCGCCTCCTGTCGACGACATGTCCAGGATGAATGTCGGAGGACCACAAGCCCCAGGAGGCCAGCATGGTCATTACGGGCCGCCACCGCATCCTGGAGGTGGACCGTACCCTCTTCGATCAAGTTCCACTGGCCAACCTGAAAGCCTTGAGTCATCCTTTGGGCCAGGTCAAATCATACCTCCTGGCCCTGGCCAATACATGCCCCCACGATCTCCTGGTCCTGGCCAATACATGCCTCCACGATCTCCTGGCCCCGGGCAATATATGCCTCCGCGATCTCCTGGCCCTGGACAGAGGATTCCTTCCGGCCCTGGACAGCATATGCCTCCCCCAGGCCCCGCACAGATAATGCCGCCCAATGGAGTTGGACCTGGACAGGCCACAAATCCGGGACCGAGCCAAATGCTCGCTGCTCAATCTATGCCTGGGCAAGTCGCTCTTCCGCCACGAGGTACCAGTCAGCGTGCTCCGAGCATGCCCCCTCCCCAAGGTTATCCTGGTTCACAGTACCCACCGGGTTCCATGTCGAGGGCGGCGTCTCCGTATGGTCCCCCGAGATCGCGTCCTCCTTCTGACCGCTCCTCAGGATCGCTTCGCAAGTCTAGCTCATCACATTCACTAGCATCCGAATTTGAGCGCAGGCAGCACAGTGTTCCTGGTCCGCATCCACCTGTTCCCGGCATGCCAGGTGGCCTTCCTCCTCCGAGCCGACCATTCATTGCTCGCAGCGGCTCGTCAAGTTCATTGTCAAGCCTTGGTGCCGGCGCACCACTCAAGCTCGCCCTTCCGTCTGCCCAGTTCAGTATTAAGTCGATCTCATCCTTCGCCGACCCGAGTCCGCCAACGTCCCCCGTGGAGGAGACGCCGAAGCGTACAGGTCCTACAACGTCCTCGGTCACAGCGCAGATGAAATGCAAGGTGTTCCTGCAGGAGCACCACGCCAAGTGGAAGAGCCTCGGCGCTGCGAAGCTGATGCTCTACCACGAGTCGCCGACGAACATTAAGCAGCTCGTCGTCGAAGCAGACAGCAATAAGAAGACCGTGCTCATCTCGACAATCATCGCCGAGGACGGCGTCGAGCGCGTCGGCAAGTGCGGCGTCGCGGTCAACCTTACAGACAAGGGTGTGTTTACGGGCGTGGTCAACATGATACAGACGAAAGGCGAGAAGGACGCGAGCACGCTGTTCAACGCGCTCCTTGCGGGCTCGGTCCGGTCGGAAGTGCGAACGTAAGGCGAGAAGGAAGGTACCCACGCGCATCTGTATGCCCCATTCATGTGGATCTTGGATTTGGACTCTTCATAGTTTCTCACTCTTTCTTTGCTCACGGACAGGGTCTCTGCTCTCTATAGGGTTCTGATGCATGACAAGTACTCTAGATCTCATTAGTCGCCGCATTTATCACCGTCTTCCTCTCTTCTATATTGGTTCTCAGATGTCCATGTGATGATTGAGGTGGAGCCGGGCTGAGCAACCACGGGAGTATTCCACGTGAGCTCTGCACTGAGAGAGATGTGGTCGCTCCCGCACACGTCCTGGCGAGGCAGGCCGGGGACGAGCTTTCCTTCCAAGAACGGCTCGGCGAGTCCAACGACGCTCACTTGCCTATCCGGAGGATCGAGCACAAAGATGTAGTCTGTGGGTATCGTGTCCAGTCAGCCATGATCTCTGCGAGCAACAGAGAATGCCCAGAGACTTGCCTAAGACAGTCTTCCAATACTGGGGGATAACAATATGAGTGCGCGATCGTCGACGCCGTCCATCCGGCTACTTACGTGTGTATAACTGGTCCACACCGGCTCGAAGGCCCCACGCCTCCCGTCCGGTAGTTTAACTCTGCTCCCATACGCGAGTCCGTCTCGAGCCTTGCCATCTGCGGCGCGCAGACCCTTGTCGTACGCGCTGATCGGCCGCGTGCTGCGCGCGAACAGTGTGCGAAGCTCGTCGTCGGAAAGCAGGCCGTCCGCGGGCCCCGCTGCTCGCGCGTTCGTGATCACCTTGTCCGGGTCGGACTCAGCGGCCTCTGCGCCCTCGTCGTCCTGCTCGTCCGCCTTGGGCGCTGTCACAGGGACGGAGGGGTCAATGCTCCGGTGCACGACGCGCGAGAACTCGAGGTTGGCGGACTGCCGAGATAGAAGGGCATCGCCAACGAGGAGAGAATAGGCGGCGTCGTCGGGCTGAAAGTTGAAGTCTGGGGGATAGGACGTTAAGGTTGGAGGGTTGTGTTACCAGTGGAAGCACATACCGCCAGCAATAATGCAAGGCCACGACGATTGGCCCAGCTGCTCTCTGAATATAGATATTTCGCGGAACAAGATGCCAGTTTGGCTGTTGGCAGCTCTGAGTATGGTAATGGCCACAGGCCGGGCCATACGCACCGTGCACGTTCGTACGTATATCTTACAGAAGCATATTCAGTAGAGCGCGACAGAAGTCCAATTATGCATACCTAGGGTGCCAGAACAAGTGCGTGGTTCCAACAAAGAATCCTTGGTCGCTGTCCCGCCGCTTCAAAGCGACAAGGTTCGCGATGTTCTTAGTGTAGAAGCTGCTGCCTCTGCGGCACCTTTCATCTCCGTCTTCGCGTACTTCCTGTTCGTCGTAGAATACACAACGATCATCTGCTATCTCAAAGTTATCTTTGCTGAACGCGATAAGACTGCCGTGCTTTTTGCGGGGGCCCGTTTTGTAGACAAACGCGTAGCCGGCCTCTGCCAGCACTGGGAAGAGCTTCTCGGTGCGATCTACTTCCTATGTAGGATTATAGAGCCCGTTGCAAACGAACGGTGCGTCGGTGGGGGACTGACCTGCAAACAGTATATATCGGCTCGGTGAGACAGGATCTCTTTGTAGAGCATGTGCTCACGCTGCGACGCTTTGAGACAGTCACTCGTGGGAAAGAGCTCTCGTCCTAGACAGCGTGTTCAGAACGCCAGGAGATCGAGACGCCACGGCACACTCACGAACCAGACACTGCGCAAGCATCTGACGGGACAGATATCATCAACGACGAATGTGGAGTGTTTGAGGACAGAGACCGACGTTCCAGGTCGCAACTTTAACGACCCGTGCGCCGTCTGTAGGTTCTTTCAGCTTTATCCACTGGCGGTCGAGTATCTGGCCCCTTGGGTCCAACTGCTTTGCGGCTTTCGCCTTCGCCTTCTCCCGTTCTAGCCTCTTCAGTCGCCGTTCTTCCGCAAGAGCCAGCTGCTCTGGTGTGAGTTCATACCGGTTTCCTGACATTCGAAGAGACGAGGAAAAGCGGTGTGCGCTGCCGGCGCATGCGCGTCGTAAGACAAGCAGGAGAGGAATCTTGTCGGAGAGAGTGAGTGCAGTGACTTGAGCTGCCGCGAAACGGCGATTCGCGAACAGCAATTCCCCAGCAACTTGGCGGAGGTATGGGCGTCTGATTAAGTAGTGACCGGTGATCGTGCACGTGGTGGTCGCTTTAAAGTCGAGGGTAATTGAGCAGCAGCCTTCGTCCGTCTGAGGAACACTTTCCCTTTTCACATCTCTACTTATATCTATCTCTCTTTCCCATCGATACCCCTTCACGACCATGGATACCCAGGGCTTTGTCACCGTACAGCACAAGAAAGCCCGCAAGAACCAGACCCGCACGCCTCCGAGGAGACGGGGCAGACAGACCTCAGGCTGGTCGAAGCATGCAGGCCAGGACCCCGCCCAGGAGTGGGCGGAGCAGCTGGGGGCATTCCAGCCCCAGGCGGACGTTGCGGCCTGGCAGGACACACCCGTCCCTGAGGAAGACGATCCCCCCACAGCCTTGACCCCCCACAACCTGAAGAAGCACGAGCCACAGTGCGAATTTAACCTCGACCGTCTCCACTACTGGATTCCCTTCTGGAGAGACTGTGTCTCTCTTGCCCTCGACGGGCGTGATTTCCCAACGACCATGGAGTTTTACGACAAGCTTTACGAGGAGGTCGGCCGCCTGGGCTGGAAGCTCAACGGCGGATACGGCCCCGTCGTAGAGACAGGGTGGGGTCTCTCCTACAATGGCAAGTGGGGCAATGCCAGCGACGCAGGGTGGAAAGGCGGCAACGGCTTTGGATGGGGACGAAAGTGGGCTGATCCCGTGGCCGACGCGGTCGACGAGGGTTGGAATGCCAGCGCTGGTAATGGTTGGAATGCGGTAGATGCCCAAGCGGACGGACGCCAGAACGACGACGGCGAGAACGGCTGGAGTGCGGAGCGCGAGCAGGAGGAGCGCAAGCCGGCGGCCAAGAGGCCGCGCCGTCGTCGTCCTGCGAGAGGGAAGCGGACACCTCAGGGTGCTGCTGACCAGACCGTTCCGTTTGGGCAGACCAATCGCTGGAAATAGATGTAGGAATTCTTTTTAGTGAGTCGCTTAAAACGTATCCATGTCTTACGCTGCTCACGTTCCGTCGCAGTTGCCGGCAGGAACGAAGGTGTAGCTGATATGAGGCGGCTGAATCTCACTACTTCGCCTGATTTGCTTTCTTTCCCCTTTCGCACATCTTTGCGCACTGGACGTTTATTTTCATTGCTAAGTATTCAGGACCCCGTTGGTTGTATAATAGTAAGTATTTCCTTCGGTTTAATTTGATACGCTGTGCTCAAAGCTACAGAAGGGACTAATCACGCTTTGGCGCCGGGTGTCTGCTGCCGGAAGTTATCTCATCTGTGTCACGCCTCCTCTAGCCTCTCTACGAATATTGTATTATAGGATGTCAAGGTTTGTGCGCAGCACTGAGTCTGTGCTCTGTGCCAAGGCTGTGTCTGCGCGTGACGTGATCGGGAGTGGTGTAAGGATATTACCGTAAATGGCGGCCGGCTCCAGCCTACATATAGCGGGGCGGATCCACTCTGCAGTCTCACAGTACTCTGCACACATTTTCACTCTCAATATCATCGACATGTCCTACGATCCCAACGAGCTGCCAGAAGGCTGGGTTAGGGAGCTTGATACGACCCATAACCACCCGTTCTGGGTACGTACAGATCCTCGTTCGGTTTATGTAATCTCACTCGTGCCCTGCAGGTAGATACTAAGGCGAAGCCTCCACGCTCCATCTGGACACATCCTTACGACGACGAGCTGTTCTTGCGCGAGCACCCCGATATCAGAAAGAGGCTTGGCAAGAACCGCGATAAGCTTTCGCCAGACGATGCTCCTCCGCCGTACTCGCCCAGACGTCATTCGTTTTCGGGAACTTCTACCGCAGGTCCCTCGCGCCCAAGGCCGGGCTCGATCCGCGACTCAGCCTCTCAGCCTGGCACTCCCATGCAGGTGCCAGGGGCTGACAACCAGAAGCACCGCGGGTTCTTCGGCAAGCTGAAGGACAAGGCGGTTGGCACGAAAGAGGAGCGAGAAGAGGCTAAGCGGCAGGAGGCTTTGGTAGGTCTTTACTCGCCTGGTAACAGCGAAGCAGCTAATGTCGCACATCAGCGCATGCAACGTGTGGCAGAACAGCGCCGGAAATATTATGAGGAGCTGCGCCGCCAGGAACGTCAGGCGATGTCCTCCAGGCAAGACGGCTACTACCAGCAACAGCCTCGGTACTGCCAGCCTCGGTACGGCTATGGCCAGTCAGTGTATGCTGCGCCGGTTGGCAGCCCCTTCGGCGGGGGATATTCGCGCTATGGCGGCCGACAGACTTACGGCAACAGTGGTTTCGGTGGTAATAATCTTGCACTCCCCCTGATTGGTGGATTGGCTGGCGGATTGCTACTTGGAGACATGTTGGATGGTGGATTCGGTGGTGGCGGCTTTGGTGGCGGGTTCTTCTAAGTTTATTGAGGGTACTAATTCTCCCACATTGCTTTGGACTTTTTCGTCTATGCGTCCCCGTGTCTAGCTCCTATGTTCTACCTGATACCGGTCTTGAATTATCTGTAGTAGAATATACTGTACAATATGCGATGTAGCCATACACGATAATGGTGGTGTGAGCAAGTGGCTGAAGCATCATTCCGGGGGGAGGTCCGCGCCGCGCTCATCGGTTGCCGCCGAAAGCCCTACTATCGCGCCGACGTTCATTGGCATTAATTCTCGCGGAACGAGTTGCACTGTTTGCTGCTCCACTGTGTTCCTTATATTTTGGAACGTTTGACATCCCATTAGTTGCTCTACTAACTTTCCGAACAGGCCCAACCGGCGGGACCAGCTCACGATGGCCCCAGCGTTACCGTCTTCGCTGAGCCCGCATATATGCATCCTGCAGTCCACAGACGTGCAGCAGCTTTTGGCAGATGCTTCTCTCCCACTTTTATCACAAGTACTACAGTCGTTCTCTCCGCTCTCTCAAGGCAAGTATATATTGACCATATCCCCACGAGACGATTTCGCTGACTCTGGATGGGCCCTGCTTCTGACCGCGTCTTGCTCTCGTTTTGCACAGTTACCACTCGAACTACAACGCTGAACTCTGTTCCGCATGCATCGTTCGCACTGCGCTTCTCTGAACTCCCAGACGTTGAGTCTTCGCTGCACGAAGACGAGGAGCAGCGTGCCGGTAGGACTCTCGACTGGATCGGGTCGCGTGTAGGTGCGCGCAGTGCAAGATGGGTTGAGATGGTCGAGAAGAAAGGAAGGGACGACAGCTCGTGGCGAACGCCGTGGTGGGATGAGGTGAAGAGGTGTGTGGAGGGCGAGCACGTACCGAGCAAGTATGAAGGGTGGAACCACCCTGTAGCAGGTGCGCTAGCGGGTTCACGACACCTCTCTTAATCTGTGCATGACTGATTTGTCACACCACCTACAGTGATTTATGCCGTCTCTACCATGGCTGCAAATCCCCTGCAGGCGTTGCAGGACCTGCTCGCACATCCCGTTGATTTCCCGCTGTGGGTAGACAAGATGTACCTGCGTTATTTTCTCATCATACATCCGTCCAACTCCCCTCTTTCCGAAGCTATGTAAGTGTGCGATATTATCACCACTTTGTTGTGCTAACAGGGAGCGCAGAACGGAGTCCCTTTTTAATGCGATCAAGAAGCAATACGGGCTCCATGCCCACCTCCTGCAAATAAGCTTCCCCACAATGCCCCCGCCGCAACCCGTCCAAGTGCCTCTACCCGTCCCGCATCTTCCCCCACTCTCCACGATGGAGACATCGCCTATGCCCCCATCGCAACTCCCCACCGGGCTAACCGTTTCGCCGGTGCCAACGCCCAGCATACCACCGCCTCAGTCACCTGATCCATCTGCTATGGCAGGTGATGGTTCCCAGTTGCCTGCCGGCGGTCCAGGCACATTATTTCTATCCCAGGGTGATATCCAGGTTATCGGTCGTTTCATTCGGGAGTTTGTAGTGATGAGCTTGGTGCCGTGGATGGAGAAGTGTGTCATTGAATGGAACGAAGCAGTGCGCCTCTTACCTTATATACCAGGGAATTACCGTTAACATCGCTATCTTAGTACTCATCGTCCAAACGACTTCCTTCACGCCTCTTCTCTTCGACACGTCGCCTGTTCGGGTCAGGCACAGCCTCTGCTTCTGCCCCAGTTACCCCTACACATGGCAGCAACGCTTCGATTTCTTCTAATGCAGGGCGATTTGGCTCTCATGCGCCTAGCAGCTCTGTGACATCGTTGTCATCAGTGTCGTCCCTCACTGGAGCATCTGAAGGCACGGTGACGCAGCAGCGACGACTTGCTGAATTCGCGACTATTCTGGGCGACTTCAAGTTGGCTGTTAATGTATGGGAATCGCTCAGAAAAGATAGCAAAGGGGGCTCTGTGAGTATGAGCATGCAAGGCGGTTCATTTTGTACTCACCAATACACCTAGGACATCCTTCCGCTCCTTGTGGCGTCATCTCCGGCACTGGCGCTGCACGCATCAAATGCGATAGCAGCATTGCAAACTGTCGCTGCCGAGAAGCCTGCGTTAGCACAGTTGCGGGCACTCACATATGCAGTCCGTTGGGAGATCGGGATCGACACGCGCGAGTTCGTGGGGCCGATACTCGAAGGCGAGCGATGGCTTGTACAAGCTGCTGGTGCTGTGCGTCCATATTCCATTTCTCCGTTTTCGTTCGAGTCCAGGGCTCCGCATATATGCGCCGCTTGGTTTTGACTTATCCGCCTGGGTATCTGAACTCACGTTCTGATGAACATGTTCAAGGCAGAAGAACCACCGGCGGCTCTGTTACTCGCCCACGCTGCTTTCTTGACTTCAAAAAAGGGTGCCCTAAGGCGTTCAGCGCTGTGGTACCTTTTCTCCGCGGATCGATTGGAGAAAGCTGGAATAGTAAGTAGCAAAGAAGGTTGTTCGAGGGTAAGCTGATGCGCCTGCAGAAACCCGTAGCTCTGTATCTCTTCCGCCAAGCGCATCAGCTATACTGTCAGCCTCCAGACAAGAACTTGTCGCCCTCTTTCTGGGATAGTGAGGATCGCAGTCCTTCGCAGTGGAGAGGGTTTGATGAAGTACTCCCCGGTATTGAGCATGAGCTCGGTGAGTTGGACTATGCATCAGAGAGAGCTAGTTCTCAGCTGTGGTTACGCAGGTCGATTATTATATACGACAGGAGATACAGAAGGAGCAGTAAGATATTTTGTGGGCCTTCTCCGCGACCCGGGCCTTCGCGTTGTCCCACCGCAAGGCCTAGGTTTGATCAACGACGATAGCACAATTCCTGGACGCGGCGCGTCGACAGACCGAGTATACCTAGAAGACTTCCGTGTGGCCCTCAAGGTAAGCATGTCCAACGTATGTACCTGACCCCAGACAGATCAGTATACCCCTCACAGCACTTCAAAGATACCGAGCAAGAGCGCTTCAGCTCTACAACCCTCGAGCTTCCTGTGAAGTTCTGCCAGCCGGGGGGGACCCGCGTCAGGCTTCCCGGAAATGCCATGAATGGCGATCCGCAGCGGTGGCAGCAACTCGAGGAGCAGTGGACGACCTTTTGGAGACCCCGAGGGAAGGAGCGGCTACGGTCTACTGGGAAAGCCGCAGTACATGGTGGGCGATATGTCTTCAAGTTAGCAGCGTTGCTCAACCTTCTACACAGATCCGTTCTGGGTCGACGTCATTCTCCGGAATCCGCTGAACGTGGAAGTGACGATCTCTGGTCTTACTGTTATTGTTCAAGATGCTAAATCAGAAGAACAAGCGTCCACATCCGACTTCGTTGAGGTTGAAGTTATCGACGACTTACAACTAGGTGGGAGGGAAACTCGGACGGTCAGTAGTCTTGGTTGGTGTTACAATATCTCTTCGACTCACCGGCTTGCACAGATCCCAGTCGCAATCAGCTGCTCGCGGACAGCAACCTTGGTGATGACACACGTGAAATTAGACTTCCTCTCACTGCTTCCTGTCACGGAGTCTCTCGCTGTGCGTGGGCGGAGATTGCACGACACGCCTCATCAACGACAAAACAAGGTGTATGCGCCGGACACTTTCATCGAAGTCGAGGTCGAGGATTCTGGCTATAGGCTCCAGGCTGGATTCGTCGATGACAGACACCTCACCCTTCATCAGGGGGAGCGTCGACGTGTTGATGCTCGACTACATAACTCTGGCAGGCGGTCAATCAACGAGCTGTGGCTCGTAACTGATCCTTCTGCCCAGCTCTGGGTTGATAGCCCTGAGTCTCAGCTGCCAGGTATGTTGAATCCTCTATGGCTATACTCACAGTGTTGAACCCTCATTAATAGGCGCAGTGGAGAGCATGGAGACACTCCAGTCCACAAACTCACTAGCTTCTCCTGAACCCTGTCTCGTTGATTTGGCGCACGTGCACTCGACACCTAGCCTTGAGCCCGGGCAAGAGCTAAGGTTACCACTTCTCCTGTACGCTGCCCGCAGCGGAGAGCATGATCTCTCACTTCTAATGGTCTTCCGAGAGGTAAGCAAGACCACACCTGTTATCCAGCTCGCGCCAATCACCTGTGTGCAGACTGGCGACGATACCTTCTACTCCGCACGACTCACGCGACATTATGAAGTCCAGCATTTGCTTCACATAGAGTCCTCAACGATGACCGGACCGTCGCCAGATATTCCCCACTCCGTTGAACTGCAAATTATCAACGTGGCTTCAAACACTGTCCGGCTTACCCAGGTGACCAGTGTTAGTCATATCTGGGATTGTTCTTCCCTGTCGAGCAGTGGGATGTATGTCTACTCTCGCCTTTCAGTGTGGAAACATGCATAACTAACCCTCTTCGGCGACAGCACTGTGCTACCCCCACAGCAGAGTACCCGTATCTATGTGAAAGTGGAGAAGAGTGACAACGAGTTAACTGCAGAAGAGGTTTACGATTTCGTATCAATGCAATTGCGGCGTGCCATACAGGGGGACATGCCGGCGCAAGACACTCCACCAGCCATCACACTGCGTTGCAAGCATCTTATCAGCGTGAGTTTGCGCTACCTTGAGTTGGCCGTAAAACTAATCTCATCACACACCAGAGCGAACATCTGCATCCAGTTAACCTTCCGTCTACGCGGCATTTCGTGGAAAACAGTCGAAGAGCCATGACAGCTGCCGCGAATTTAGCTTCCCACCCCAACATACCGCCTCGTCTGCACCCTCACATCTTTCCGATTTATAATCCAGCCTCGATTGACTTTCTAGTGTTTTGGGAGGTGCCTTCACAAGGCCGCTCAGGGCACTGCGTGGTATCCGGCCTACGCTTCGGGGCGACTCACGCGGCTCTGAGGGAGGTCATCGATGAGGCGGTGAACGCGAAAGCGAAACGGAGCATGTATGCAGAGACGCAGCGCGAACGTGTAGAGATGCTCGAAGCGATACGTAACTCGGAATGGAACTCGGAGACAGACCCAATGACCGTTGTCACTCATGACAGCCAGCAGATTCAACATGATTTTTCTGTAGGGTTCGTCATAGTTATTGCTATCATCTGCCCCACTGCTGATCACAAAATAGGCCGTGCCAAGCACCGGTTGCTTTTACTTTGCGCAATGTCTCACTGACTCACTCAGTGAGATATACATTCAAGCTATCAGCGATGCCTTCGACGAGCTCATCTCACTCGTGAATATCAACCTTTGCTTTCGAAAGCTTATCCGCTGACCATTGTCCACACAGACATCAGCTGCCGCCGCAGTACAGTGGCCGGATGACACATCGCGGCCAGCTAACCGCGTCAGAGGCCTGCACAGTTCGCACACAGATAATAGTAGATCGGCCTGGCTGCTACGCGCTTACGTCCTGGTCAGTCGAGACCGAGGTCGGAGAGCTGCCTGCGGATAATTCTGCCCTGTGGAAAATCCGGCAGCGGTATCAGCAAGAGGCTCGTTCGAAAGATAGCTCTTCCGTAACCGTCGTAGACGTCTCAAGACCGTAGAAAGCCGCTTTGCTAGCTTATGATGCCTTTGTAGACTATATGCCATTGTAATTGGTATTGGTATTGGAGAAGAGAAGCCATGTACGTTATACATTCAGAAGAGCATGGAGAAACACGACGCTTGTGCAAACCTACTCCTCCTTACCTTCCTTCTTCTTCTGCTCCTGGCGCTGCTTAATCGCTCCCTTCTTGATCATAACACTCAGAGTAGTCTGAGGGCTCTCGGTCAGTCGTGGAACGAAACGATTGATGGAGATACGCGTACCCCGATGACGAAAGTGATGCTGTTGAACCATGGGACCCAAAGCTGCAATGCCACTGAGTTTGGGTGACCGGTGATTCAAGCTAAAAATACCATACCTCAGGAGGTAAAAAGTTTTGTGCGACAATCATGCCAAGTGGCGTTGACACCAGAGATATCTGAAAAGACGGCGTCAAGTGCCTTTTCATTCTATCGGGTAGAAACCGACCTTGATGATGCCCGCAAACCTAGGTTTGACGAAGTCAATGATCTCCTGCTTCGTCCTCGCGCCTTGGATGACAGCAGTGCACGAAAGGTATGCTGGTGGATCGTGTTTCGTCAGGCGTGTGCGTCCCCAGTGCTGTACGATCACTTACAAATCGCCGTGAGGGGCGACGAGATGAGCAAGCTCGCGAGGATCTGCGCTGCCTTGCCCGCGAAGGTGTTCGTTCTGCCCGCGAACATACGCTGCAGCATGCCCGTCGTGTAGTGCGAGAGGGGCGCCGACACGAAAAAGCCATAGATCAGCATCTTGAAGGCCCTCGAATCGAGTTTGAGGCGCGCCGCGAGCTTCTCGTACAACGGCGCGTCTTTGGGGACACGCCTAGGAGGTACGCCCGCAATGTGATTCCCGAGAATATCTTGGACGAAGTTGAAGATGCCTGCGTGTGATCAGAATTGTTGCAGCGTA